AAATCTAAATTCAAAAACAATGCAAGAAACAAAAACACAACTCAACAAAATAGACAACAACAAAATTATACAAAAAAAAAAAAGAATACTGCAAATTTTGCCCAAAAGAAAAACAAAAAAATTGTTAAGCGAACAAAAAAGAAAACCAAAAACGAAAGAAATTACTACAAAACAAACAAAATTATATACATACATATAAAGATATTCACTTGACAACAAAAAGACAATTTAATTTAAACCCAAACAAAAAATAAGGCATTATTTATATATAAACCGAAGAAAGAAACCTCAAAAATGTTACTTAAAAAACGAAAGCCAAAAAAAGAAAAGAAACCGATACAAAATTTTGTGTGGTAAGTTAGAAATTGTTGGTTAAAAAAAAAATACAAAACACAACAAAAATCTACACTTAAAATTGCAACAAAACTTTAGTTGTGACAAATTTTTCTGTTCCATTGTTGGTTTTTAAATTGCATAAAATATTATTACTTATCTGTTCGGCAATGCTAGATGTATATAATGTAGTTTTCCCAAAAATAGTTGCAATTTCCAATTATCATTTCCCAATACGCTCTCGTCTGTGTGTCTATATCGTTGTTGTGTGTCTTTATTAGTTGAAGCTTATTTAATTTTGCATTTTTGTATGATTAAAATCTTACAACAGGTGCTATGATTTATAAAAAATATTTGGAACGATCCGAAAAGAATACTTTCTTGATTAACTAATCAAGTAAAAAATCGAGAAACCAATCCGACAATTAAATATCAGCTTAAAGTACGGACAAATAAGACAAAGAAAAAAATTCCGGTTACTATACATATGATAAAGCTGCCTTGGAAGCGTTCAGAGCAAACCACTTTTTTATTCTTTCTAAAGATAGGCGAATAAAATGTAACAGGATGTTATTTCATGAATTCAATACAACGTAAATGTTTATCAAAATTAGAATAATCCGTTAGGGGATCTATATCTTCTTATCTTTATTTCTTGATTTATACCGATCTATGTGTTTTACTTAGAACCTTTATTGGGGTTGAAGAAAGAAACATTAAAAAAAACGTAATGCTTCTAAAACTTGAAATTTAAATGCTTTTTATACTGCACCAAACAAAAATCGATTAAAGATAATTGAAAACACACATTATAACTTAAACAATTTTTTGTTTAAGCATACATTTTTTGAAGACCAACTCATCACACAAAATCAATGAGAAATTAAAAAGAATATCTTTTTTCCCGACAAAATGAAAACCAGGGGAAGTTCTACAACTCTAAGTGTCGTGTCTCTTTCTTTACCCCAAAACGCCAATCTTTCTCTCTCTCTCTCTTTACATATGGCATTTTTGGTTGATTAATATTTGGAAAAACTATAAATATTTTTTGCCAGCTTATAGAAAATCGTTCATATTTGGCCCAGCTTTCAAATACTTTTTAACTAATTATTATCTGTAAATACTTGTAAAATATTCAGTTTGCTTGCTTTTTTGCGTAAATGCTGTAAATACACACCAAAGTATAATTATTATGGTAATTATTTCTGTTAATTGATGGAGTGTGAAACCAAAAAGAAAACAATTGGTGTTTGGGGACTACAAGCAAGTCATGGATGGGGTTGGAATCCTACCCCCACAAATGGTTGGGCACGCTATTCGTTAATTAGTGCTAGAAAATATTCGTATGTACATTGTGTACAGCCTAATTAAAAACATTAATTGGTCTCCAATTCTGATGATTGACTAAGTAAAAATATAAATAAATTTCCCACTATTTGTAGACGGCTATTATTCAGTCACGGTGCGCATACCCAAACGTATTACAGTCTGTGAAAATCTATGTCTTAGTTATAGGCTCGCCGATTAGAAGGTAAACCCAAACACCGATGAACTTCAACTGTGATTCAATAAAACCATGTACTTGCTTGGGACGGTCACTAAAGAACCACAATTGCTTGCCTATACACTTTTGATAATAAACTAAATATATATTCTATATGTAAACCATGTATGCTATGTATACCCTATATATACCCCATATGTATATGTAACCCTATATACAATACTCAACCCTCTCTAAGCCACACATATACTAATGATTGATCTTTATTCGTTATTTGTTAGAGGAACAATGGGAAAAGGATCTGGAAGCTGAACTCAAAGACTACGAGGTGGTGGACGAAGGTGGCACTGGCGGAGGAGGCAGAAAACCGAGGAAAGAGCAGGGCAATGCCGGCGATGAGGAGGATGAGGAAGAACCGACAATATCAAACTTGCGCACACGCTCGACCAACAACGACTGGGAGGAGTACGCCGATTTAATTGAGGATACCGATGATTTAAAGTAATTAAGAGCTTATATCGTAGTTTCTTCTAAGTTGGCTCTAAGTTTATAACTATCTTTAACTTATCTTTCTTTTCCATTCCTTTCTAACCCCTTGTTTAATCTTTAATTGAAACCCCTATTTGATTGTTAAACCCCCTGACAAATATTAAAATATGAAAACAAACAAATCCAATACCAACTGCAACCACAACAGAACTTTGAAGTGCCTAAAGCGCACGATGTTGGGCTATCCATGAGATGAGGCCTGCTCAGTAGCGCTCTTCTAGTGCCCGTCTGGGGCTTGCCTCCTGGTGGCCTATTGGAAAAGTTGGTTCAGATATATTGGGCCCCACCCCTAAGCAGATACGTTTTATTCAGTTCACGTTCAGACATGATATAAGACACTAAAACCAAAAGAAAATCGATTTTATTCAGCCTTAACGTTTTAGCCGATACAAAAAGCAAAAATCCAAAACCGATTCGATTCCGGTACACCAAAATATATATACAATACATATATGTATGTATATGTATTATATCTCTTTACTATATTCTCTTTTCTTTGGTTGACTCGCGGTAGAGCGAAGTAAGGGGAAGAGTCGTCGGTATTACTTGCCAATTGTTCAGCACACGAAAAAGTCGAGAGAGAGATCTAGCAGTCAGTAACAGAAACCCTATTAATAAGGACATACATACTATATAGAAAACACTCGAGAAAAAACTGGTTAAAGCTATAGATGCAGGAATCGTATTTGAATATAGAAACAAAAAGCAGTAAAAGAAAACGAAAAACGAAAGATAAAAAAAAAAAACAAAGCTTCAAAGGGAAACATTTTGTTATTTATATTTATAAATAAATTATATATAAATATATATATACAGAAGATAAATTAATGCATTTGAATTTAATGTGTAAAAAATTATTATAATAATATAAAAATATAGATATATGAGATATATATATATGCTCCATATAAATATGTAAAGATACGAGAGACACACAAAATAAAACGTTGAGAAATTTTAGTTGTTCTTTTTCTTGAAAAAAAATAAAGACAAACATTTAGCATTCCATTAGTTGAGAGCATGAAATGAGAACATTCAAGAGTATTATTTCGCCCTCAAATAAATTATAATTAAACGGAAAATATAAAAAAGAAAACCTCATTGATTGATGCTAAACGGAAAAACGAATGAATTGAAATGAAAATGAAATACCTTTTGTTTAAGCTCAATTTAAGGCGCGCCAACAAGTTCTCTCATTTGAAAATCCCCCACATATAACTCACCTTTTGCTGTTCCACTAACGAGACACTAACGATACTTCCTTGAAATGAAACTATAAAAACTATAAACTATAAAAAATGCCAAAACAATAATTGATTCTGAATTGGACTACAAATTAACAAACGCAATTAACAAATTACAAATAAAACAAATGAAAAGTAAACGCAATTATAAACAATAAGCAGTTCAAAACCCTTGAAACAACATATATATTTATATATATTTCACTAGACAAATTTTTATGCATAAGCTAAAAAAAACACGACAAATTCTATATTATCAATGTTTTTGCTCTAAATGTCTAACTAATTGTTAACAAAAAACCAAACAAACAAAAAATCAACATTATTTTCTGCAGAATGAAAAGTTAAATGAAAATGCTATAAATGTGTAATTATTTGTTAGCAAATGAAATGGCAAAAATATATCTTAACAAATAAAAATGAGGAAGAGAAGGGAAGAGTACGGAGTACGTAAAAGTTATGGCATTAAATTGTATATTGTACATTTACTTTTAAAACGCAAATACAAATGAAAATGAAAGTATTTACAAGACACCACATGAATTATAATGATAAACGAAAAAACATATTTTAAATTTTACATTTACTTTGTGCGTTTTTAAACATGTTGGCGACACAATGACAGGCGAATTAGTGCATAAACTAAACTAATAACTAAATAATAATAAACAATTAAAGACAAATAATGTAATAATGTTGACAACATATGTATGTATTTTACCGAACAGCTCAGAACCCCAGAACCCAATCCAAACCCGAACAGAATCCCAAAAGGTACATACATTTTACTATATCAAATTCCAAAAGCATCAGGGCACCCCCTCTGTCACACACATATTTTATTGTCTATTATTAAAAAAAACCCCAACCCTGAATAAGGCAAACAAATTAAATAAAGTTGTACGAGCAAACGTTTGTTGAGCGGCATTCCATAATTATAGCATTTCAAAAAGGAAATAAAATAAAATATATGTATACATATGTATGTACTAATTAAAGTATATCACCTACGAAACCAGAATGTATAATTTAGTTGTTTAATAATTGATAATGATATTTAGAGACCCATGTGGGGGGGGCCAGGAACCCCAAAAGCAACAGAGAAGTGCTCCTTGAAATGCCATAGAAAACATTCTTAAATCGATGTAGATCCAGAGAAATGGAATGGATTGGAGTTTCCCTGAAATACTAGGCCCACACACACACCGCAAAACTGACTGTAAAGACCGAACAGATAGGCGCCTGCAGGCTACAGACACCACATACGAGTATATACACATAATATCTATATATGAGAACAATTTAATGAGATTAAAATCAACTAAAGTAATAAAGGGAAAGTGTATAACTATTAAAAAACTAACAAACAAAAAGTCCCATTGTTTCATTTTCTCGGTGCATTTAATTTACAAAAAGTTTTAATTTCAATACATAAATAGACGACGACTAAACACTAAACGGGTTAAAATTTAACAAGGTTTTCGAATAATTTAACATATTGCATTTTGGCTTAAAATCTGAAATCAAATTTCTACTTAATCGAATCGATCTGAGTGGGGCTTCTGGTTGCTTAACGCTAGTAACACAATTGCAATTTGAATCTCTTCCACCTTACATATTACCCTACATACAAGACATTCCACCATTTCACTTTTTCTATCAACTGGAGGATCATTGCCAACGCCGCCTATCGCTACGCTCGTAGGTGATGCTCTTGAAGCGGGAACTTCCTTCCAGCGGCTGCTTGGGGGCTGGTGGCTGACCACGGTTCATGATATCCTTCCATATCATGGTTAACAGTATGAAAAAGGCACCCACAATCTTGTTCAAAAACTCTAGGATTTGGAACAGAATGGGCGTAAGGGTGTGCGTTAGCCGGCTTAGCTCGAAGAGGAATCTCACGGCGAAGATTCCCAAGAACCGCAAGGCTGCAATAGCTCCGCCCCCCATTGAGAAGAGGAGTAAACCCAGGAAGCGTATTGTGCCCATGATGTTGTTTTTGTTTACATCGTTGGCCATAAAATCGTAGGTGGTCTGTTTGATGCCTTCGCCCCACTGCCGCAGCACATCCAAGAAATCGGCCAATCCCAGTGCAGGAGGCTGATCGGTCACATCGCTCTTTGTGGTCAAACTATCGCCTGCTACTGTTATGGCATTGCTTGCCGTGGTCCTGTTCATAGAGATGGATCTTCTTGGCGTTGCCATTAGCTCTGGTTCAACGGCTCGCACAGTCTTCAGCTTTAGCAGCACTTCCTGGTCCCGAAACCGCAGCGTTCTGATACTGAACCAATATTCACCGAAGGCCAAGTCGTTCAGCTCCGCCCAAATGCAGGTGTCTAGCTGGCCAGGATGTTGTGTGTGCTTGTAGTTTCTCATGCTACCATTTGATATGCCCACCCACATATTTGGCACAAAGCGCTGGTAGAACATCTGCAGTTGTCCTGCACTGGTGAGCAGGAGTTTCTCCAGCTCCCGTTCGCTGCGTTGCAGGGCTATAACGTCTCTATAGTCCCCGATCTGCTCCACAAAACAGCGTCCCAGGTAATAGCCGCGAAAAAGTCGCGACTTGAAGATTTGTTTGGTCAGCGACTGCATCGCCAGCTCTTCGGGTGGCATCATACGTGCAGACGCCCTCGACACCGTCGTTGTGGTATCCATTTTAAACTCTATTATAAATTCATAATAATTATTACACCGACTGAAACACTATTGCTCCGTTGACCTTACCTGTGATTATGTGGTGATTGTCGATGGACTTTGTTGCACTCCGCTTTCGCCGCTTAGTCAGCAATGAGTTTTGTTATTGTTTAACTATCAAAATAGACCAAATATGGGCAGACACACCCTCAAAACCGATGCGAGCGAAAAGCAAGTAGAGCTTTACTCTACTGTGTTAAAGTATTGGAAGAATTGTGCATTATTGCAGAAGTCATTATGTTATAAATTATATACAACTATGCTAAAAATTTAACATTTAAACAATAGATAGAGATAATTAGATTACAGCTGGTGTCTCGATAGGCGATTGGCAGTGAGTTTCATGGCATTTTTTGCGATAGTTTTTCATCCAGCCCATGTTTTCTCATCGATAGTTTTAATGTGACGCAAAAAAGGAAAAATAAAAAACATTGTTCTATCCATTTTTCGTGCACAATTTTACCCGACACCCTTAGTTCAACCACCGTCAAGATTGTCTCCAGACACCGACTTAAAGAATTCTTTAGGATGACTTTGGTGGGACTAGCAGCACGCAAGCTAGCGCAAAAACAAAGGTAACAAAAGTAGCCGGGTGGCGTGGAAAAGTAAACTAACTAACCTTCACGTCTCTCCATAGGTCGGCAAAACTGGCCGCCGCCTTCCCCAATGGAGTACGCTGCCAGAAGTGCTTGCAAATGGGCCACTGGAGCTACGAGTGCAAGGAGAAGCGCAAATACGTGCATCGCAGCTCGCGCACAAAGCAACTTAGCAAGCATATCGCAGATAAGGAAGACGCCATGGCCAACAAAACTGCTGCCGAGGCGGCAGCAGCCCAGGAAGCCAGTGCTGTAGCGGCTTCGAGTAAGAAAGAGAAACGCAAGCGGAAGAATAGCAACAGCTCCTCGTCCTCAAGTTCCTCTGGAAGTTCTGGCAGCAGCTCAGGGTCAGACTCCTCTGGCTCGGACTCCAGCGATTCCAGCTCCGATTCGGACGAAGATGGCAGTTCTTCGGGCGAAGAGTCCGGCTCGTCAAGCAGTTCCGGCTCCAGCTCAGACAGCGACAGCAGCGGTGATGAGGTTTCCAAGAAAAAGAAACGGGTCGACAGCTCAGGAGAATCTTCTGACGGTGGTGCCCAGGACCCAGAATAATTGAAGGCCATCAATGGTTTTTAGCGCATAGCTTTAGTAGTTTAGTTCTACTCTTTCGTTCTTTGGTAATTGTAATTTTACCCCTATTTAATTGTACACGTATGTAAGTGCACGAAAGATTTTATTATTTAAGTTCAAAGTATGTACACGTATGTATGGTCTGGTTTGTGTGGTCTGGCAGATTCATCGCCAGGCACCAAGCACCGCGAATAAACATTTTAGCTACCGATTCTCAGTCCGAGTCCAATTCCTCGTCGTGTTCCAGCTTGCTTATAAAGAGGTCCAAATCGATTTTCTGCTGATTAATTTGATCCGGTCGCATTGCCGCAGGTGTGCTCATGTGTGGAGTTTCATGCATATCAAAGTGGGTGCGATTCGAAGGCGGCACTTGCTGTGATTCGCTAATGGTACGCTCCAGTCCCAAGGATTTCAGATGCAGTTCCTCCACCTTTGGGGCAGGAAGCAAGTAAAAGTTAGTGTTTCTGGCATACTGGTGGGGTTCGATGTCATACCTTTAGCGAATTCAAGGCCTCCTGGATAACAGGCACCACCTTCAGCAGCTTCTTTTCAATAGCCAGAAGTTCTACCTGCTCCCGCTGCAGCATACGGTTGGACTGCATCATTTTTGTTGTTGTTTATTTGAGTGCACATGTACTTTGAGAAATATCGCTCGCGGCGCACCACAATCGATAGCACGATGAATGCAGCCCTAGTGTAGCCCTGGTCGCAAATGGCAGCAATTTTAACCATTCGCGCCTTTGGAAAAATTCACATTTTGTACAGTCAAAACACAACTGGGGATAAATTTCGGGATCCATCAACAAATAAATAGCATAAAGTGCGCATATAGCTACCCGAATTTTTAACAATGGATATCTGCACGGAGGGCGGGACGGCCGAGATGAGCAACTTACGTTTTACGGCCAGCTGCAGTCTGCTGGATCTGGACCCAGAGATCAAGTGGAAGGCACTTGCCGCCTATCACAAATCGAACGCCGATGGCGGGCTTACCCAAAAGCGCGACGTGCAAGAGTGGCTCTGCTGTGCCGTCTACTGTGAGCTGCAGCGTGTGAAGATTAAGGATATGCTTGAGGCCAAACTCAGCACCGACGATACGACGAATGCGGTGGAGAAATCACGCATCAGCTGCTGGAACTTGTCGCTGACCAAACTACTCACTGCCTTCAAGGTGAACATAAGTCAGTTTATGCGTCGAATGAAACAGTGGAACATGATGGTCCAGAACGAAAAGGTCTTTCAGCTGGAAATCGACGATCTGCAGAGACGGCTTAGCATAACCCTGATCCTCAGGCATCACTACCAGCGCGTATTCGATCGGCTGTTCGTAATGCCAGAGAAGGGCACGGAGAACACAGAGAGCCATTCCCTCTACCAATCCCTGTACGAGTTTGGCTGGCTGCTGTTTTTGACCATCCGAAACGAGCTGCCCGGCTTCGCCACCTCGAATCTGGTCAGTGGATGTCAGGTACTCATCTGCACCCTGGAGCTGCTCTTCGTGAATGCCCTGGAGGTGGGTAACCCCGACGTGATCAACATGTCCTTTGCCGGTGTGCCCAGCAAGTGGGGCAACGATGACTTTGACAATGTCCTGATGCTCAAGTACAGTGCACTGGAGGCCATCTGCTCGCTGATCCCAGAGCTGCCAGCGAAGAGTGTGCACGTCATGCAGAAGGCCTTCTTCCACAAGGCTCTGGTGGTGCTCTTCTTGGATCAGAATCTGCTGGGCAACGACACCTACATGCGGGAGATCATCAAAGAGGGCCTGCTGGACGTCAATTTGGGTACACTCAACCGCAACTACACAAACCATGTGGCCGACATTAGTGAGGTCGATGAGCGGGTGCTGCTGAGCCGCAGAAAGGCAGCGCCCGCCAAGAATGAGCCCAAGAAAGAAGCTTCCGCTTCCCGCTACAAGCAGTTGCAGGATCTACCCAATGCCATGCCCTCGGTGATCACTGACGCCTTAGACGCAGAGGATGCTGATGTGCTCAGCAATGTGGATAATTTCCTGCGTGACTTCGCCCGTACATTCGCTGCGGCCTCTCGGGATTGCTTGAGCACGGAGGCAGCTGGTGAGTGTTTTACGCTGGCCAGCCGACTCTACTACCAGTTCCTGCAAAAGATTATTAGCTCAGAGCTGGTGTTGAAGCCACACCTGAAGGTGGTCCAGCTGTTGAAACAGAGAACTTTCAATGCCACACTGATTGCCTGCTCCCTGGAGCTGGCGCTGCACATCCACGACGAGCGCTTGGAGCAGCTAAAGTTTCCCTTCATTTTGAAATGTTACGCCATCGAGGCGTACGACTTTCAGAAGATTCTGGAGCTGGTGGTGCGACGCGACACTGATCTGCTCGGTCGCGATCTAATCAGGCACCTGCATGCCGTCGAGGACGAATGTCTCGGATCGCTGATATTCCGCAACGACTCGCCGCTATGGAAACTATTGGGCAAGGATCATCGTTTGCCGAGCTGCAACGATGTGCAGGCCAAGGACAAGGAGAATACTAAGCGACCAGGAGCAGAAGCAAGGCCCGGCTTTAGCATCTGTCTACGCAAGTTCTATGGCCTGGCCAACCATCGGCTGGTTAGCCTCTGCCAGAGCCTCGTCTTGATGGAACATTTTCCCAGAATCTGGCACATAGCAGAGCACTCGTTCACCCAACAGGCCGGAGATCTGCTCAAGGAGCGGGAACTCGACCAGCTGCTGATCTGTGCCATCCACTTGCATGGCCGCCTCAAGGACATGCGGCTCAGCTTCAGCCAGATCCTCCAGCACTATCGCTGGCAGCCGCACGCACACAGCCAAGTCTATCGGCTGGTTTCACTGGGCGATGGCCATTTTGGCAACATCATTGACTTCTACAACAAGATTTACATGAAGAGCATGGAGAACTTTGCCCAGGGTCTGCGCAAAGCAAAGGGGACAGGCACTGCGCCGCGCTCTATTCTGCATGAAAAACCGCCGCAAAGGAATCTAATTTCATTTAATATTTCCATTAGCACGCAAGTCAGGCCGAATAGGCGCTACTCCAGTGGCACGTGGATGAAAACAAGAAAAACACAGCCAGACTCGGCGGATGAGCGGACGTTGTTGGGGCCAGATGAACTGACGATGACACCACTGAAGCGTGGCCATTCCAACAATGAACTTGGTCTGCTGCCATCCCCGAATATATTCAAACGTCAGTGCATTGAATCAGTGATCTGATCTGATGTGATCTACCAATCTGATCAATATTTTTGGCTACATTTTACGTAGCATATAGATTATGCTAGCTATCCACGTTAAGAAACCATTGTTTAAGAAAGCGAAACGCTCATTGTAAATGAAGTAAATTGAAGTAACAAATAAAATAAAGACAAGCCTGTGTACATTTACGGAAATCCAATCCAATCCCCGTACTCCGAGTATTTTGTAAATATATTTTTATTATTGAATGGTTGGTTGGTTGTGTGGTTTGTATTTTGAAACTTGGATTCAAATAATTGTGACTCGACTGGTACGAAACGAAAACTAAAAGAATTGTTACACGACGAAATAATAATAATAAGCTTACGAGGGGCTGACAGTAGACGACTTTCTTTTGGGCATAGAGAGAGAGGGCGTGGAGAAGGGGTGTAGAGTACACATAATACATAATGAGAGCGTACGATTTAAACTTAATTAGTTTTTTGTTGGCTTATTTAAAAAAAGGAGTTAAGATGGTGGAGCAACGGCTGGTACAGCCACAGGAGCCACAGCGCTGGCCGGAGGAATGCTTGAGACAGCAGGTGGCAGCACCACCGATCCTACAGCCGGTGCACTAGGGACCTCGGCCACAGGTGCACTGATTGTCGGCGGTGTGGTATCTGCAGAAACAAAGAAAATCCATTAATCTTTTCCATTTCATGGGAAACCATCCCTCTATCCCATTCACTTACCCATCGCTGTGGGTGCCTGAGGTTGCGCCGCCGCTGCGGCAGCTGCCGCTGCTGCTGCCCCTGCCTGTTCGCTGGCAGTCGCCAAAACGACTGGAATGCCTCCTCCTGTTGGAGGTGGTCCACCACCAGCTGCTGCTGTCGCCATGGGCGGGGCTGCGAAAGGCGCCGCCCCATTTGGTGGCGGACCCACGCCCACCGCTGCTATGTGCGGCGGCAGTGGCTGATGCTGTGCCGATGGAGCTGCCAGCGGCTGGGTCTGCACTTGCGCCTGATGGGGTGGAAGTGGCTGCTGCTGCTGTGGTTGGGGATGCAGATGCTGTGGCAGTGGCTGTTGCTGTTGTGGCTGCTGTGGTGGCGGCGTTGGCTGTTGTTGCTGCTGCTGTTGCAGGATCATAGTGCCGGCAGCGGCTGCCTGACCTTGCATCTCCTGCTGCAAACGATGATGCGCCTGCTGGCGGGCACGGAACTCGGCGGCCTTCAGCTGCTCCAAATGGAATTGCTGGCGCTCTGTAATCAGCTGCTGTCTCTGGTACTCCAGGCCCTCGCGCTCCCTCTCCATGGTGGCCTCCAGCTCCTCAAAGTGCCTTAGCTTGATCTCTAGCTTCTTCATTTGCGTCTCGACCAGCAGGGCCACCAAAGACTTGATCTTGCGCTCCTCGAGTGCAGCCAAATGTTTGGCCTTGACGGCCGCCGAGGCCAGTGCGGCTGCTGCTGCCGTCTGCATGTTGTTCTCACTGAAGGCTCCCTCCTTGTTGCTGCCCTGCCCACTCGAGCCATCTTTGGAGCCATCGCTGCCATCCTTGGTCTCCCCATCGCCACTATTCTCCTCCGTTTTGATGTCCACATCCACTGATGTTCCGCCCACTCCACTGCCACTGGGTACTACTGCTGCTCCGGCTGCTGCTGGGTCTGTGGGTGAGGATTTGTTTGATTTGTCTGTTTTGCCTGCTTTATCCGACGAATCTTTCGGTTTCTTATTATCTGTAGTTGTGTTCGTGTTGCTTGTGGCTGTCGTTGATGATGATGATGTGGAACTAGAGTCTGTGCTTGTGTTCGTCTTGGTATCCGATTTCGTTTTGTCTTTGGACTTGGCATCGTCTGTGGTGTTGCGGATTTTGGTTGTTGTGTTGTACGTTTTGTTTTAGTTGTTGTTGTTGTTGTAGAACATAAACAAACGAAACAAAAAACAAATAAATGGCGGCCACATTTGAAACGAAAATACAAAATTTTGTCCATTAAAATCAAATAAAAAAAAGAATGGAAACACATCTTAAAATCTCTACACAGATATCCATTAAATTACCGTCTTTCTTGGTTAGATCCTTCATTTCCTCATCACTTGCTGCTCCTCCTCCTGCTGCTGGGCCACCGGCCGCTGTGGCCGAGCCGCCGCTGCTGCCATCCTTGCTCTCCTCATCCTCCTTGTCGTTGCCAGTGCCCGCAATGCCGCTGTTGGATAAACCAAAGTTCGGATTGAATTTGCCGCCAGCGGAGGCCTTCTTCACGCTCTTTATATGGATATCCATAATGGTGGCTGGCACCTCATCCTAATGACAAAAAAGATTACGATTAGGATTACGATTAAAGGTCGAAAGACCAGAAAAACGAAGGAATTTTCCCCACCTTAATGGCTGCAAACTCCTCCATGGCTGCCTTGGCGGCTGCGGCAGCCACACGGGGATCCACCACAGAGGCCAAAAATGCCACTGTGGACATAATGGGATTGCCGCTCTTGCTGAACGGTATAGGCTGACAACCCAGCGGACCCAGAAAGCCGCCATCATCCTCCAGATAGGGATCCTCGATGGGCAGCCGCAGGAAATGCAAAATGCACTCGTCCTGCGTGCGAGAGCCCACATGCTCGCACACCTTATTCCAGTCATCCTTGTGCATCTCCAGGCCTTCCAGAAGAAGCAGCGTCTCCTGGTCGGTCCACTCCCTGGACATGCTGGCCGCCGTACGGTTCCTCATGGCAGACGGCTTCTTGGCATACTGATCCAACTTCAAGCCGAATTGGCTCACGCCAGAGCTCAGGCCACTGGCGGCTCCATTCTCCAAAGCCTCCGTTTTGATTGCGCCAAGGGTGCCGCTCTTATCGCCGCCGAGGCTCTCCAAGCTACCATCCTTGCCCAGCGCCTTCTTGTCGAGATCCAGCAGTGTCTTGGCCGCCGATGGCTGTTGAGTTTTCTGCGGATTAATGGCCTGCAGGCCCGAAGGCGTATCCGACAGTATGTGGAAATGCGAGGTAGGCGGCGGTCCCATGGGCGTGGGACGCAGATCGGCATCGATCTGGTAGTTGATCAATCCCCACTGCTCCAGGAAGGCATGCACACGCATAATGGCGCACACATCTCCCGCCAGATTTCGTCTGCAGGCGGTGCTGGTCAAGTACTCCGTGGGATTGAGTCTAAAAGAAAGAGATTACGATAAGAACTGCCAGATAGAGCATATTATATAGGGTGGAGCGGTACCTGTAGGTATCTATCATAAAGTTTCTATAGGCCATGTAAATCTCTGGGGTTTTGGATTTGTTTTTGCTGTTGAAGAACTCTGGCATGGCGCGCTTCTCGATCACATGGATGGAGTTGTAGTCAAACCATGCCGAATATGAGGGCACAATGATGTGATGCGTCTGCTCTGTCACATTATCCTCCATATCCTCCTTGGCCGATGAGGAGAACTCCTGCGTGTTGCTATTGTCGCTCGTCTTGCCCGTCTGCGAGTTGTCCCCATCCCCAGTGGACAGTGCCTGGGCAGCGCTGCCCCCAGTCATCTCATCGTCCAGATCCGTCATCGTTCCACCTAAATAAATGCCAAAATATGCCAAATTTTAAAATTCAATCCGAAAAAGTGTAAGAGAGACTTTCACTCACCCTTGATGGGCATCATATCGTTGTCGCCGCGTGACTTGCTACCTGGTGCCGGACTGGAGGTCGATTGTAGTGCCGTGCTGGCCTTGTGCACCTCCTGAACATTCGGCTCGGCCGGCGGATCGTCCAGATCCCGTGTCAGATCTTCATCTTCCTCATCGTTTCGGGTTTTCTTGTGGATGACGGCCGGAGAACGCTTGCGCTTGCCGGGCTTCGATGTGGATGTTGTGGGCGAGGGCGAACGGCGGCGCTTCTGCTTGCCAGTGCTGGTGCTGGGCTTCTTCTTTTCGTCGCCAAACGACATGATGTCGTCAATGGACATGCGCTGCTTGTGCGTCTTTTTTTTGCCCTGCTCATCCACCTCATAGTCCTCCTCGGCCATCCATTCGTTGTACTGCTCCAAGTCGAGTATCCAGGAGGCCGAGACGCGCCACCTCTCGGCCGGCGATTCCGGATTCTCGGGAATATTCTCCGGCAAATCGAAGCTGTTGACCGTCCACGAATCATAGGACTCGGGAAAGTAGTACCAATGCAGCATCACATGGCTGCCACGCTTGAAAATGGGACGCGCATACTCGTCCGGATGCGGATCCACAATGGGATAGACAATGTGCGTGGCATCCTCCTCGTCGGTGACGATTTCCACCCGCCGATTGTCGAGAATCTCGCGCAGCCGTCCCTCAAAGCCCTTCTCGATCTCCGGCCTTATATAGATGTAGGGTATGCGGTATAGATCCGCCTCCACCAGAGCCTGCTCGATTTCGATCAGCAGCTGAATGTTGGGATCCTTCCTCGTGGGATTCTTGCCAATGGAAAAGTCAAACTTCTTTCCCCGCTGCTCCGCGCGGAACCGGAACATCGTGGAGAAAATTATGCACAGACCTCCGCCGTTCTTAAAATCCAGAAAGCAACGCATCTGATGGGAGGGAGAGAAGACATTTTAATTAGCACTAATCGTCCGTTTCCCCATCTTATTTCAAATCTCATCCCCGAAATTATAATATTCGCATGTACACACGAACGCACACAGACCACCCTGTACGTACGTGCAAAGAACACCCTTACACACTATTACTAACCGGAATTCTAGTCGCCGGTGGCTCGGCCGAGTTTTTGCCAAGTTTCGCCTCCACATATTGCAGAAATTGTATCAGCAATTGGGCCAGGGACTCCTTGGTAATGGGCTCCGAGCTGTGCGCCAGGTACTAAAAGGGAAAAGCATTTTCAATTGATTGTTTTTTTCCACGAAGTGAAGCGCCATTTTTGTTTTGCGTCGGCGGCGTTGTTGTACTCACCTTTTTACAATTCTTTTGCAGCCATTGCCTAATTGATTCGAAGCCCTGCAGCGTCTCCGACGACTGAAAGAAGTCAATATTCGGACTTCCGTCCTTCTTGGGGCCCAGTGTGTTCATCATGCAACACTTTTTATGGGCTTTTGTCAATTATATTTGCAGTTTTCCGGGAAAAAGAAATCACTATCGAAAACGCAGATGAAAGACGCACACGATTCACGATACAATTGTTAGCGAATGCGATGTTTTTGGGTGCATCGATAAGTATACTCATCGCTCATCATCAAGTCTTAATATCCGACAGAAACTACAGAATATAGTGTTGATTTGCTACAAATTCGGAAAGGTACTTTATAACTGATCATGACAATACGAAAATATCTTCGCCAGATCAAAATGGTATAATCAATATATTATCTACCAAATATATTACCGATATATTGATCAATCGATGTATCGTTATAGTGCCAACACATCCCCAACCAGACCGCTACATCTCCGTCTCGCTCTGACATCTGCTGTTTGTCTATTTCTGTCTCCCTCACACCGCCTAAAAACTGCATGTTCCGTGCTGAGCCAAGCACACTATAAATGTAACAGGCATCGGAACAACATGACTCCTGAAAACGAAAAACGAAAATTAAAAAACACCGTGCGGACGGAGAGTGTTTGTGTCAGCGTGAAGCCCAATGTTAAGTTAAAACATTGATTGTTTGCGACCAAACGACATTAGCCGCATTCTAATTAAATACGCCACGCCGGACCGAAGCGTGTATGCATGGGAATGTGTTCGTGAAAAATCAATTGTGCGTGCGTGTGCGAGTGAGTAAGAAAACGCGATTTGTGACGCTGCTTGCGAAAAAAAGAAAAAAAAACTTTGAACGCTGCAGCAGCAGAGCAGAGGAAGGAGCAGGGGGAATTGTACAGTTTTTGGGAGCAAAGCAAACAAATCAATTAGAAAATGAAGAGCGCATGAGTTGAATTGCAAGTTGCAAAACCTTGCGCGAGAGACTTGCAAGTCGCGTGTCGCCTCACAAAAGCTGATTGCTTGCTGGGAGGGGGATAAAGGCAGCACGCCGCCGACGACGCTGCCGCAAAACGCAACCATTGCCAAAGGTGAGTGATATAACATTAAAAAAACATGCATATCTAATGGGTACGTACACGTTCTCCATAATAGCAGCAGCAGAGCAGAGCTTTATTCTCGCCAGAGAGCGAGATTATTTCATTGGTATTATTTCACATGGGGACATGGGGGCGTTGTGTTAGCTGAGGGTTTCCGCTTATCGTCGACCGCGACTGCGACAGCGACAGAGGCGTTGCTAGCGCTTTGCTTCCGTTGCCCGTTTCCATGTGTGTGTGTGTGTTATTGCTGTGCTGCTCTCTCTCACATAGCACGCGGGGCCAAGGGGGCACAGTGTGTTTTGATAAGAGAGGAGCGAGCGCCAGCCGACGCAGCATTGAAGAAACTTTATTTAAAGCTCCGAAGCATACATTTGCTCTCGATTTGTCCCCCACTACTCTCATAGGAAGTCCATTGGGGATGGGGGTTTGTTCATCCGCTTTCAGATGGATAACAATTTGTAATAGTTACAGCGGATAACGGATAGCCCTGGATGTACAGTCGCGGTCAGAATTATTCATATAAACGACCCAATAAGAGCCATCTTTTGCAAAACAGATTACCTTTCTGCTTCTTTTGTGAGTTTTTTTTTCTTTTATCGCTTCGATTTTGCTTTGATTCTTGGCATCCCAAGTGAAATGCGCGCCCCGTTCTAGTATTTTTAGTCATAGCACATTGCTCAATTTGTTTTTAGTCGTTTGCTATTTGTGTCGTCCGGCCAGCGGTCGGCCCATTCATTGGACTCTATTTTGTGTTGTTTTGCCTCGGTTTCAGTGGGTGGACGGACTATAGACGCCAGGCATCAGCCAGCAGCGTAGCAAAAATGTCGAATGCCCATACGTTAGGTGTCCACGTTGCCGCACAACGCGCTTTTGTGCCAGTATAGGCAAAAGGCAAGGCAATACGAGTACGAGTACCAGTACCAGAAGAAGCAAAAGCAACAGAAGCAGCAGCAGCTGAGCCACAAGCCACAGAGCTCTAGCACCTGTATTTATTTATGGTCTGCTGCCGTAATCGACGACAAGCCCCACTGACGGACTCACACTGCTGGTTGGCCTGGCCTGGCCTGGCTGCAGTCTATTTTCTCTCTGTCTCTTACTGGTTACTCGTTCTCCCCCCTTGTTTCTTGTCGTTTCTCTTTGACTCTTGGGGTAGGGCGGCTCTTGAACTAGTTTTCAAAACGGAGCTCCAACTTTTTGCATACCCTGCTACCCTTTCTTGAGAGGTATAATACCCATTTCAAAGATGTTGGAAAACACACAGAAATGTGTATTTTCTTTAGAAATAATCTAACTACTAGTGTATCTAAATATTCGTCTTTATTTTGTTTTAATTTTACTGACCAATTGTTTGGAAATTTGTTCTCTGTGCCATTTTCCTTCGCAGTTCGCAACATTTCTGACATTTGTCGTAGTTTCGTTTTCTTTTCTTTTTTTTGGTGACATTAGAAAAGCATGAGAATTATTTGAATATTCAAACGGTATTAGTTGGTGGAACTAGATGCTGTTTTCTCTGAAAGTGCGTCATTTCATCTACATATAAAAGCCATTCCATAAGATACTCAGAACTCCTTTCTGTTTTGTTTGTTTTGCCAATTAATTCAATTGGTGGTTTTCTATTTAATGTGCAGCAGCAGCAGCAGTTTGTGCAACATTCTGCGTAGCAGCTGTCATAATATTCCATTATTGTTGTCTAAATAAATATTGAACTCTCTTTCAGTATAAAACAGTCGACATTTGGACCAAAAATGTCTGTGGATCTGGGGCGGGCAGCACAAAAGTTTCCATGCCACATGAAAAAACCACGAAATTGTGCTTTAATTTTGAACTTTAAATTGCGACAAACTAAATATGGAATGTACATGATATTTCTAAATAAATGGCTATGCCATGTGTCCCCACCTTAATCGTTCCGTTTATTGTCCGTCCGTTCACACACCATATTGATAATAATGAAAATGTGGGCTCATTCAAGCGGCAGGCAGGGGCTTATCAATCGCTAAAAATGTATAAATAAACATGCAACCTCCGCACAGAGCGCCCCACACCACCCCACACTCCCATAAGCCACATGGCAGACGTAGACCCTAAAACAGTGCGCGACAATGGGTGGGTAAAATCAATACAATAATTGCGATGGCGATTCGATTGCCGTATTTTGTATTTGTCGATTTTCATCTAATGGAAATTTAATTACAATTGGCTACAGGCTACACGGAATTTTCATGGGCAGTGCCAGAACCACACAGCAAGGTCGGCACAATATAGATGGATATAGTCATCGATATAGTACGGACTTTTTTGAATGGCTTATCCATGCGACACATGTTCTACTCCACCCATACAAATGTTTTTTTTTATGATATTTACGCTCGGTTTTTACTTTATCTTTTCTTTATGTCTGTCTGTCTGTCAGTGTGTGTGTGTTTTTTTTATTGTTTATAGAGGATTGCACGTTTCTGCAAATATTCTATGATATACGAGTACCATCGTAATATTGTAACCTTTAGAAAATTTTTCGAAAACTTCTTTTACTTGGTTCAGTGAACTTTAAGTTTCTGTTTCTTTGCTGCTTATCTCTTTTTTCAAATAACCATTCTCCCTCCCTTCCAAATAACACACTGATAAGGCACCTAAAAAACTGTGTGGACTGTGCTCCTGCCTTGTGTTATCTTATTCTTCTGAATACTATATTGGTAATCCCCCCCTATTGGGGAATGGAATGAAATGCTGGTTTTTCACCATTTTGATACCACAGTGCAGTGGCTTTAAATTCCACTCTGGAATGTGACTGGCAAAAACAGTATCAGTAATAAAGTAATGGTAGTTTAACCTATTAATTTAGGAATATTTCCAATCTCAATTCATCTTAAATATTTGCATCATTTAAAACATTTTTTGTATACTACAGCTATTAAACATGAGATGGCACTTTTTATGTGTACTCAATATCGATAGCAATTTGTTATTTAATCGAAAAATATCCCCAGAATCGCTCGTTGCAAATGGTTTCTTTCTCCATCTCTTCCTCTCCCTGTGTCCGTTCGCTTATTTGAAATTTTATTTGTAAAGGGAAGAATTAGCCCGTGTGGGGAACAGGTGTATTATGTATTATTAGTCTTCGCTTTCTTTCTCTTTGGGTAAAGGAGGAATGAACACTATGACCAAATAGTGAATAATGCATTTATGGCTGGCTCATAAGCTGATGGAAAATGTGGCCAGAGTGCAGCTTAAGATCTAAGGTCGTGTGCTGAATGGTGCTGCTTTCGTGCGATAACTCAGCACGGAGGATACACATTTAATTGAAACACAAATTTACCCTTCGTTCATATTAATTGAAATTATTTCGAGTCATCCTCAACCTCTTCGTAGAAATTTTTGTGTTATCGCACGGAAGCAGCACCGTGCAGCATTCCCCCCATGGTCTATGGCCTGCTGCATAATCCGTTGGGCTTTTTGCTAACAAAAGGATATATGCAAGGGTTGCATCCATCCGCTGCACAGCGATTGATGTGCTTTCAGGACATGATGCTAATGTCGCCCAACGCCCAAAAGCTATTTGCCAAAATGTATTTAAAGGCGCCATTGTCCTCTCGTTTATCTCAGCATGCAAACGAGTTGCGTAGCCAACCAATCCCGGGTACGACGATTCCGTCGTTGATGTTAATTATAAAAATTCGACTGACCCTCACTTCGCATCAGAAATTGCTGTGTTGTCGCACGGAAGCAGCATCATTCAGCATTCGAACTTAGACCTGCAGCTGCAATTGAGCCACATTTTCGTTCAGCTTATTGTACGCTTGGCCAGCCATAATCGCATTACTCACTGTACTGTATGGTCATCCAGTGTCCCATTCCTGCTTCGCCCAAAAAGAATGCAGCAGAAACGCATAGGATAGGCACTTTCGCTAACAAAAGGATGTGTGCAGGAGTTGCACGCATGCGCTGGTTAGCGATTGAGTATAAATACAGTCCATCAAAAGATGACAGTAAGTCAGTTTCAAATTAGCCTCCCGTGCACAACACACAAAAGCTCCAAATATTGAGTAAGCAAAAAAGAGTGAACAATTAAAAATTTAATACAGTGTTGCCATTAAACAAGAGAAGTGAAAATATTTTGGAAACCCGTATCTAGAGCCCAGTAGCTTTTTCTGTTGATCCCATGATACTGGCGTGATTGTAAGTGGTCTGAGAATATGATGTAGATGACAGATGCAGCAAAGAAATGTAAAATATTTTCAAATTGTACATAAATCATAATCTCATATATTTATATACTGACTGAGTACGGGGTATAAAAGTAGAGTTGCATCCACAGAAGCGACTCACATGTTCCTTCTCGTTTTTTTGTCGCTGGCTGTTCAAAAGTTGTGATTTAACTATTTATTGTGGGCTTAAATATTAATCAGTTAAGCTGAAAATTTCCGAGTGGCATTATATTGTTATATTCTAAAACAAAATCAAAAACGTAATACGATCAGAGCGATATAAGGTATAGGTGATATATATACGAAACTCGGTCAAAATATCGAATAATCTGTATATTGAACTTTGAGCTCAAGTCTGCACCTTTAAACGTATCGGGGTAAAACTTTTAGTTTTGTTGTTTTATACCAAAAGGAAAATTGTTATATCCTGACACATTTTGTTTTTCGCCCATACCTATAAGCGCAACCCTAATGTAGGTATGGATATGGGTTTTCGTCGCCACTTTGTCAGGTTCTACGTACGTAATACGGTTGCGCTAGTACCGTTGTCCGTGTCGGTAGTCTTATGAAAATGGCGTAATTTACTCAATTGTCACGTTCTGCTCCGGAACGAACGCTTACGCTTCAACGGTCCGATGCCAGGCAGTCAAGTCACCGCACCACACCACACAACAGAACCATTGTAAACACCCATTCAAGCAGTGAATGAGTCAATTTGCGAGAATCCCCCCAACCCCATTTCTTATCGACCAACACTACTGGAACACTGAACAAGAAATCCTCTCACTACACAGTGAGGGGTATTAAATGGTTGCCCCTCCTTTGCTCCTTTGTCCACGTGGCCCCTGTTTATTGGTGCTTGCAAACTGCTACAAAAGGTACTGCAAAATGTAATAAATCTATGTTTTCGACCCCATCAGACAGACAGGTTTGGGGGCAATGAAGGGGTGGCAATAAATGGCAGTAGTTTATGGCAGTGCATCGTTATAATGCTAATGCTAATGCTAATGCTAATGCGAGTAACTAATAGTTAGAATAAATATATGTATAGATTATAGAATAATACAACCACACAACCCCGACAGAGGGTACAATAGGTCACTCTCTCTCTATGGCATTATTATAGGTACAAATAATACACACATCATAAATTCACGAGAGAGATGTAATTTTCATTGGCCTTGACAATAGCTTGTCTACTTTATTTATACCTGTAATTTGTACGTCCACTTATGAAGTTTTTTAGTCTGAATTTCGCCAGAAAGGGATCCTAAGATGATCCTAATTTTCCAACTCAGCGTGTATTCTACATTTTTTTCTTTGAGAGCAGCAAAAAAAAAATCCTTTCGAATCGAGCATCAATGCACACGACATGCAATTTGGCTTTGCATTTTCTGGCGCTAGTTTTTGCTTTCTTTGAATGCCTAAACTCATAAATATTTTCTCTATTTTCTCTTGTACTTTTAGATTAGTTACATAGAAGAGTAGTGGAGAAGCGAGAGGATACCCATCGATCCCTTACAGATCGGAACACACACAAATTGTATCACAAATCTCCTCCATTTGTATAATGACATCTCGGTAAGAAAACGCTCTTACACAAAGAGTTTCCCCCACTCATGAAATTCCTACCTCATTATAGACTCGATCGACTGTTCATCCTACTCGAGTCGGGGTCCACAGCTGCCACACGTCAAGCGGCCGCCAAGCAGATTGGCGAAGTGCAAAAACTCTATCCCCAGGAGCTGCATGTGCTGCTCAATCGATTGGTGGGCTACCTGCACAGCCCCTCATGGGAGACGCGCATTGCGGCGGCACAGACCGTGGAGGCCATACTCAAGCAAGTGCCCGCATGGCAGCCAGAAGAGCAATTGGGCGGAGGAGCAGTCACAGCAGCAGGAATCATAGTAAAGAAGGAGCGAACCTCCAGCGATGCAGCAGCCGAAGAGGATAGTTGCCAGTCGAGCGGATCCTCGACAACGGGCGGCAGCGAGCGGATGCTGAGCTTCGATGAGTTTGATCTGCAGCAGATCCTCCACAAGGGCGCACGTCTGATTGGCTCCGAGGGCAATGAATTCGATGTGCAGGAGGAGCAGCCAGCGAGTGGCGGTGGGGCGGAGGAGGAGCAGCAGCGGAGCGTGGCCAATCGCCTGAGTCGACAGCGAGCGCTGCTCAACGATAAACTCGGACTAACAGCAGCCGCCAAGATGGGTGTTAATCTCACGGACATGATCACCGACGAGGATGTGGCACTGGCGCGGAGTGGCAGCAACTACAATGTGAATGCCGAGAAGCTGCCCGTGGAGCATATATTGAACATAAAGCCACAGGCGGCAGCCAATGGGAAGGCTTTGAGCTGCAGGGAAATGAATCGAGCGAAGCGTAAGGCACGACAAGGGACGACGACGACGTCTGTTGCTGTTGTTGCCTCTTCCGGGACGCCCACCTGCAGTCGCCGCAACTCGAGCAGCAATCACAGCACTAGCAGCAACAGTAATGGAAATGGCAATGGCAATGGGAATGGTGCGGTTTCCACCGCAGTGGTGACAACCAACGCGGCGGCAGTGCCAGCCGCCGCAGGGGATGAGCCAGAGAAAAAGAAACTAAAGTCGAGCGTTGGTCAGGAGATATTTTACAGCTTAAATGGTGAGTGGGAAGACAAAAGCCATTAATTACAATTAATTCATGGATTAAAACTTCTCTCTCTATCTGTCTCTGTTTCTGTCGGTTAATTGTAGCTGCCGTACCGGATGCCACTGGCACTTGGGTCGATGCCATGTCGTGGCCCTTGGAGAACTTTTGTTCGCGCCTCTTCATCGATCTCTTTCATGCCAAATGGGAGGTACGCCATGGCGCCGCCACAGCACTGCGCGAACTGATCAATCAACATGCCCAGGGTGCTGGGAAGTCGCTCACTCAAACGCGAGAACAAATGCAGGAGGCGCACAATCGCTGGCTGGAGGATGCAGCACTACGTCTGCTCTGTGTGCTGTCCCTGGATCGTTTCGGGGACTTTGTCTCCGATCAGGTAGTGGCGCCCGTGCGCGAGACATGCGCCCAAGTGCTTGGCACGCTCGTCAAGGAGATTGATGCCTCGAAGGTGCAGCGGATTGTGGACATACTGCTGCAGTTGATTCAGCACAAGAACGAGTGGGAGGTGCGTCACGGCGGATTGCTCGGCCTGAAGTATGTGTTTGTGGTTCGGGAGGAGCTGCTGCCCATTTACATTCCCCAATCGATATCCAACATATTGATCGGCCTGCTGGACGCCGTCGATGATGTTGGGGCAGTGGCTGCGGCCACTCTGATTCCCGTTTCCGCCTGCCTGCCGAAACTGCTGCAACCCGCGCAGGTCTCTTCGATTGTGAAGATGCTGTGGGATCTGTTGCTCGATCAGGATGAGCTGACGTCCGCCTGCAATAGTTTTATGGGTCTCCTGGCGGCCATTCTATGCCTGCCGCAGGCTGCCAGCTGGATAGAAATGGAACCGATGGCTATGCTGGTGCCACGCCTGTGGCCATTTCTCTCCCACAGCACCAGCTCGGTGCGCAGATCCACCCTCAAGACGCTCCTCACTCTGACCAGTGCGGATAAGCAGCTGAAGATTAAGGAGCAGGATCAACCCAAAGTGAAGCTCAACTTTGGGGTCAAGGATTGGAAATCGGAGCTGCTAAGGCAGGCACTCAGGCACATCTATCAGCGAATACTAGTGGAGCCGCAAGCGGATATACAGGGACTGGCGCGTCAGGTGTGGTCCAATCTCATCGAGCATGCGGATCTGGGGGCACTGCTGATTGCCGCCTGTCCGTATGTCTCCTCCTGGATCTGCCTGTCGATGCAACCGCCTAAATTGGCCTTTGATCCGGGAGTACTTATCAGAGCAGGCAGCGGCGGTGGAGATTCAGGGACGGGAATCGCCTCTCGCAGGCGTTCTGCACGAATTGGCGATGACTTGGGCGGTGGCATTCTGGCGCATGCGAATGCCCAGCAGAAGCTATATTTGGGCGGCAGCGAGGCCACGCCTTTGGACCTCAGAGAGGCGAACTTTATGCGTGCCAGGATCTCCTCGTCGCGGGCACTTGGGGCCCTCTCCCATTACCTGGTGCAGCCAGCGCCCGGCGTGCTGTACACACCACAGATGGAGAGTCCCACGGAGCTGTACACCAAAGTGCTGCTGGGTCATCTGAATGCCCATTCGGCCGTGCAGCGCATTGTCTGCGGATTGATTATTGCCTTTTGGGCGCTGGACGATGAACCCGTGCGTCCGGGGCCACCGAATCTGCAGGAGAAACTGCATCAATGTGTGAGCGAATATGTGTACTACGATGAGGTGGCCACCTCGCTGACGCGACTGCTCCAGGAGGCGCAGGACTTTATCGCTACGCTGAAGCAGAACAAGATTCCCATCAATGACTTTAACAATGCCAAGATTCTGACTCTCGATCAGATCGAGGCGGTGGCCACCACACTGAGCGACAATCTGCGTAGTCTGGCTCTAAAGCCGAAGCTCCTGGACATGCTCGAGGAGCGGCGACGCAGCCTGCAGGCCTCGTATCTACAGACGACCAGTGAGCAGGGCGCCTACCATGTGAGCGCACAGGCAGCGCTCGCGGGTGCCATCTGCGCCCTCCACTGCCTGCCCGAGAAGCTGAATCCAGTGGTGAAGCCACTGATGGAGTCCATTAAGCGGGAACAGTGCGTCCAGCTGCAGCAGCTCTCCGCAGAGTTCCTGGTCCATCTGATGGATCAGGTTTGTGATAGAAATCCTAGTCCAAACAGCAAGATTCTCAAGAATCTGTGCACACTTCTACGCAGCGATGCAGAGCACACGCCGATGCTGGTAAGGACTCGAGTGGGAATCAGTAGAATCGACAGCACATGACAGCCATTCCTCTTCTCTCTCTTTTCATTCAGGTGATGCCACACCAAACCCTCAAGCAGCTGCAGGGACAGCCACAGATCGCTTCAAGTGCCAGCAGCTGCCTCTACTACGGCATACTGACGCTCACCCTCCAACAGGCCACCACCAGCAGCAGCAGCAGTACTCGTGGCACTCCCACCACTGGAACAGCATCTAGTGGAACTTCCCGTGGTCCAGGACGACCGCCAGCGAGCGAGATCCTGGCTGCCGCTGCAGCAGCCTCGGCGCATGTGGAGCTGAAAGTGCAGCAGGCCAAGGAGGCGGAAGCCAAGCAGTGCCGGATTCAGCGACTGGGAGCCGCCTGCACCATTGCCAAGCTGTGCAGCACCTTTGGGGCGCACATACTCGATAAGGTGACCATCTTCCAGGAGCTAATGTTCGGCAAGGTCGCGCAGTTTGTCCAAGAAACGGACGAACTGCGGCTGGCCAACACGCTGCCAGAGCTGCAGGCATGCACCGAGCTGATTGGCTCCCTGCAACTGATCGAGACAGCGGCCCCGCATCTGCACGAGGCACTGCATCCGCAGATGTATGCGCTGCTGCCGCCACTCGGATGCATTGTGCGGCATCCGCTGAAGGCGGTGCGACACATGGCCGCTCGCTGCATTGCTGTGCTGGCGGAGATCGATGCCTGCCAGACGATGCAGTTTGTGGTGCAGGAACTGCTGCCGATGCTGGGCAGGATTGAGCAGCTCATCGAGCGCCAAGGCGCGGTGGAGGCCATTGAGCGTGTGGTCAGTCGTCTGCAGATAAAGGTGGTGCCATACATAGTCCTGCTAGTAGTGCCGCTGCTCGGTGCCATGAGCGATCCGAACGAGGCCGTGCGCCTGCTCTCCACCCACTGCTTTGCCAATCTGGTGCAGCTGATGCCCCTGGATGGCGGCTGCAAGACGGAGCAGCTGAAGAGCGAGCCGCTGCAAGCGCGAAGAACGCGCGATCGGGAGTTCCTCGACTACCTGTTCAATCCCAAGTCCATTCCGAACTACCAGGTGCCGGTGCCGATCAGCGTGGAGCTGCGCTGCTACCAGCAGGCGGGCATCAATTGGCTGTGGTTCCTCAACAAGTACAACCTCCATGGCATACTCTGCGACGACATGGGCCTGGGCAAGACCCTCCAGACCATCTGCATCCTGGCCGGCGATCATCTGCAGCGTCAGGCGTCGACGCAAACCAATCTGCCGAGTCTCGTCATCTGCCCGCCGACCCTCACCGGCCACTGGGTGTACGAGGTGGAGAAGTTTCTCGGCCAGAGTTCCGTGTTGCGGCCCCTTCACTACTATGGCTTTCCGCTCGGACGCGAGAAGCTGCGCATTGAGATTGGGACGACGTGCAACCTCGTGGTGGCCTCCTACGACACGGTGCGCAAGGACATAGACTTTTTCCGTGGCATCCACTTCAACTACTGCGTCCTGGACGAGGGGCACATCATCAAGAATGGCAAGACCAAGAGCTCCAAGGCCATCAAGCAGCTGCGGGCCAACCACAGGCTGATCCTCTCGGGCACACCCATCCAGAACAATGTCCTGGAGCTGTGGTCACTCTTCGACTTCCTAATGCCGGGTTTCCTGGGCACCGAGAAGCAGTTTATCCAACGCTTCTCACGCCCCATTCTCGCGTCGCGCGATGCCAAGAGTTCACCCAAAGAGCAGGAGGCCGGTGTGCTGGCTATGGAGGCATTGCATCGCCAAGTCTTGCCCTTCCTTCTGCGCCGTGTCAAGGAGGATGTGCTGAAGGATCTGCCGCCGAAAATAACCCAGGATCTGCTGTGTGAGCTGAGTCCCCTTCAGCTGCGTCTCTACGAGGACTTTAGCAACAAACACCTGAAGGGCTGCTTGGATAAGTTTGGTGAATCGACGGCAGTGGCGTCGACGGAGAATCTCAGCAACAAGACGCACATCTTCCAGGCACTGCGCTACCTGCAGAACGTGTGCAATCACCCCAAGCTGGTGCTCCGCCAATCCGAGGAGCTGTCGCACGTGGCCGCCCAGCTGGCGCTCTCCAACAGCTGCCTCGACGACATTGAACACTCGGCCAAGCTGCCAGCCCTCAAGTAAGTAGTCCCTGGACATTCTCACACTCCCCAAGGATTGCCCCTCATTCTCTGGGTCTCTTGCAGGCAACTACTCCTCGACTGTGGCATTGGTGTGCAAACGGAGTCGGTTAGCCAGCATCGGGCGCTGATCTTTTGCCAGCTGAAGGCCATGTTGGACATTGTGGAGCACGATCTGCTGCGGCGGCATCTGTCCAGCGTCACGTACTTGCGTCTGGATGGCAGTGTGCCCGCCTCCCAGCGTCAGGATATAGTCAATAACTTCAATAGCGATCCCAGCATTGATGTACTGCTCCTGACCACGCTGGTAAGACTGTGCATCTGACACATCCCCCATTGGAAGTAATTCCCTAACATGATTTGTGTTTTGTAGGTTGGCGGCCTGGGTCTCAATTTAACTGGTGCCGACACCGTCATCTTTGTGGAGCACGACTGGAATCCCATGAAGGATCTGCAGGCCATGGATCGTGCCCACCGCATCGGCCAGAAGAAGGTGGTCAATGTGTATCGCCTGATCACCCGCAACTCGCTCGAGGAGAAGATCATGGGACTGCAAAAGTTCAAAATTCTGACCGCCAATACGGTGGTGAGTGCCGAGAATGCCTCGCTCCAAACGATGGGCACCTCGCAGATCTTTGATCTCTTCAACGGTGGCAATGGCAAATCCTCCGGCACAGAAACACAATCTGCTGCTGCTGCTGGTGGCATGTCCGTGAACACGTTCATCGAGAACATGCCGGAACTGTGGTCCGAGCACCAGTACGAGGAGGAGTACGATTTGGGCAACTTTGTGCAGGCACTGAAAAAGTAATCAATCTTCCCCACATTCACTTGCTCCCACAACCACTCGCTTCCCACACACTCTAAGACTTCCAGAGAAAAAGAGTTCTGTTTTAGGCTAAGGTTGGAAAATGCATTCGGAAAAACTGTTTCGGAATGTTTTCTTGTTCCTTTTATAAACTGCAAAACAAAAACAGGAAATTTTTAGCAATAAACTGAGAAAAAATTTTGGAAAATTTAAAATTGCCGCCGACTATCGATTTTATCGATCTTTTTCTTTGCACAGTGGCGCCTCGTGATGTGCGATCATTTTTCGAACTGCGGAAATTTAGTTTCATCAGTGGCCGTTGATCTGTGGAGCGCCATCATTTTAAGAAATTGCACTGTGGCGCTCACACGAAAAACGGTTAATTCTCGAACTGCGCTCATTTAGTTCACGAAATCGTCGCTAACCAGTAGGGCGCCACTGTAAGTAAAAATTATTGATAAAATCGATTGTCAGCGGGTCTTTTGAAATGCTTTTTCATAGCTGCCAAGAAAACTCTTCATGGATTGCAATTTCGTTTCATTTTTATTTATTCTTGTTTTCTATACTGTAAATTGCTCTAGAACCGTGCGCCTTGAGGACTTTGCAGCTCCCTGGCTGGCCTCGTCATTGTGTCCTTGCTGCAGTCGATGGTTTTTGAGGGCCGTGCCCTGGATAAAACGCTCGCCGCATACCCCACACTGATACGGACGCTCGCCGGTGTGGCGGCGGATGTGGAGCGTCAGGTCGTTGGACTGGGTGAAGCTCTTCTCGCAGTAGGTGCACTTGTAGGGCCGTTCGCCGTTGTGGATGCGCATGTGCTGCTGCAGTTTGTAGGATCTGGCGAAGCCCTTCTGGCAGACGGTGCAGATGTGGGGCCGCTCGCCGGTGTGCGTTCGTCGATGGCACTGAAGATCGGAGGAGCGCGGGAAGGCCATTTCGCAGTAGTCGCACTTAAAGGGCTTCTCGCCCGTGTGACGTCGCATATGGATGATGAGGTTCGAGGAGGAGCTCACAGCCTTGCCACAGAAGGCGCAAAGAAAGCGCTTCGGCTCCTTGGGCGACGCTGGACGGATGGGTGCGCGTATGACGCTTGGGGTTCCTGCCACTGGGTTGTGGAACTTCTTTACATGAGCCGTCAGCCGATCCTTGCGATTGTACTTCCTGGGGCAGAGGCCGCACTGAAAGATCTGGCACACAGTCTTCTGCTCCTCGGGCTCATCCAGGGGTGGGTCTTCCTGTTCTTCGGCCTTTCCATGCTGCAGCTGCATGTGCAGCAGCAGATTGGACTCCCACATGAACTTGTAGCCGCATTTGGCGCAGTTGAACTGCTTCTCCTGGTTGTGGCACTGCACCCGCTTGTGGTGCGCGATAATATCGGGGGAGACGCTCTTGAAAATGCATCGATCGCAGCCATCGGGGATCTTCTCCAACCTGTGCATGGCCTGCTGGTGCTGATGCAGCTCGTACTTTCGCACACACCGCAGCTGGCACATGCCACACGTGTAGGATGCAGGCGTGCCCGGTGGTTTGGAGTCCTCCTCATCCGTCTCCGAGTCATCCAAATGCAGCTCGAATCCCATATGGTTGGTTATCGAGTAGTTCTGGTGAGACGACAGCTCGTGGTGACTGCCCGACGCCATGGTCTCCAGATGAACGCGAAGGGCAGCGATGCTGGAGAAGCTCAGGCTGCACACTTTGCACTCCACACTCTTCTGCCCATTGGGATGGCCATAGGCATTGAGGAGAGCTTCCGCGTAGGGCAGCTGGCTAGCTCCGATGCCGTGCCGCTCAATGTGCTGCAGGAGATTGGCCTTCCTGTAGAACCGGCGGGCACACCAACGACAGCGATAAATGCTCGATTCCTGGGCATGCATCAGCGTGTGCCGCGTCAGATCCTTCTGCATCTTGAAGCTGCGATTGCACTCCCCACACTGCAGCTCGAGCTCGGCCTTCCTGCTGGGTTCCTCTACAGCTGGTTGGATTTGTTCCCTTTGCTGATGGGAGGCACTGACGTGCAGCTTTAGGTTTTCCCGCCAGCGGAAGCGTAGCGGACATTTGCGGCACTGGAAGCGCTTCTGGGTATTCCGGCAGAGTGTCCGGTAGTGATGCGCCAGCAGCGCCTCACTCACGAATCTTGCCTGGCAGTGGGCGCACACAAGCGACGCCTCCTCCCACTGGTGTTGCTCCAATTGGTGGGCATACAACTGATGCTTCCGCTTTACCTCCAGCTGGCAAATGTTGCATGCGTACCGCTGCTGCTCCGCTTCCTCGGAACTCTCGTCATCCTCCTGCTCTGAATCCGTTTCCGTTTCACTGCTCTCCAGCGAGAGCTCAATGCCAGCCTCGTTGGTTATGGAAATGAATCGCTCCAACTCCAAGCCGCTTGCCACATCGCTCATGATCCTCTCCAGCAGCTCCTGCTTATCCAGGGCAGTGCCCAGTTCGGGATACAGCGAGCGCGAGGCACTGGCAATATCCCTGTCCTGTGGAAAGCCCGCTCCATACTGGTGCCCGCTGAGGTGAGTCCTCAAGTCGGCGATCTTCGAGTGGCGCGAGAGGCAAATCATGCACTGGATTTGCTTGCAGCCATTTGGACGGCATAGTTGGGTCAGCTGCTCCCCGGTCATTCTCTGAATACTGTTTGTAGATGTCGACTGGGCGGAAGAAGGCTGCTCCTCATTTACAGCCGCCTCCTGCTGCTGCTGTTCGTTGTGCACCCGCATGTGGGACTTGAGGCCATCCTTGCGATGGAACTTGCGGTCGCAATGGGCACACTCGTATTGGGCTGCCGACGGATGGCGATGAATTCGCTTGTGTCGCGTGAGATCCTTGTGCCAAATGAAGACCTGGAAAAACAATGACAATTTTAGTAATGCTGCGTTTCTGGAACTATAGAAGCTGACAAACCTTTTCACATTCATCGCACTGTAGCTTGACGGGCGAAGATTTATATTTTCTACCCTGCTGGCAGTCCTCCGACTGCTCCTGATCCTCATCCTTGGAGTGGTACAATCGCAGATGTTGCTCGTAGTTCGATTGCCACACAAAATGAAGATTGCATTGCTGGCAGTGGTATTTTGAGTGCTTCTTAGCACAGGATCGTCTGCGATGTTGCTCTAGCAAGGCATCGGACACGAAGCCAGCGCCACAATCCTCGCAAGAGCAGGGATACGTGGTGTCCTCTGCGCAGTGGAGTCTCCTCTGATGTTGCAGCAGCTGGAGCAGACGAATAGAAGTCTCTCCACACAGCAGGCAGATGTGCAAGAGTTTCGGCTTTTCGTCTGTTTCGTGCGCATCGCCCTCCTCTGTTTCGGAGTCAAAAATATCCAGCTCTTGACCACTTCCCGTGCAGGCGTTGTAGTAGCGTCCAAAGTCTTGGGCCTCATAGTCCCCAGCTATGCGGGAGCTCAGCTCGGAAAGGCTGCAACCCAATCCGTTGGGATAGTAGGAACGAAAGAAGGTGGACTTCTGCTCCGGATCAATGCCACTCAATCCATGTCGATGGGTGGCCAGGTGTGCGCGCAGCTGCCTCAAGCTGTACAGTTGAGCATCGCACAGGCAGCAAATGATTTGCCTGTACGACTGCTCCTCCTTGCGATGGGAGCAGGCATGCCGCTCCAGATTCTCCAGCCACATGAACTTCCCCGGACACTTGCGGCAGCGATAGCGTTTCACTTTGCTCTGGCACTGGGTCCGCTGGTGCTGTTCAAAGAGCCTTGCACACACGAAACCAACTTTGCACAGGTTGCAACGCTGCGAAATGGGCGATTGGGTGTGCTCCTCCAGTGTGTGACGCATCAGGCGATATTTTCGCGTGTACGACTGATTGCACGGGTCACAACGATACGGTGGCTCTCCACCGGCAGGCTCATCGTCCGAGTCGCTCAGGCACAGCTCGTAGCCGTGGAAATTAACCACACACGAGTACTTTTCCAGCTGCCCTTCGGCTATTTCCGTGCAGACCCGCTGCTTGATCTTTTCCAGGTCAAATGGCACACTGGCAAAATGTTCCTTGACCACATCGCTGTCCGCACGCAGACTGGTCAAACCATCCGTGCGAGTGTGACTCAACAAATGGGATCGGAGCTCCTGCATTCGCTGGCATTTCAGGCCACACAATTTGCATTGTATTCGCTTCAGTCGCCCGGAGCTGTACAAACGCTCCGCGTATCTCCACTCGTTCTTCAGCTGGAGGGCCTGGCACTTGGCCTCTCTCTTCTCGTGCGAGCGTAGATGGAACGTGTACTTGTCCTTGCGCAGGAATCCCTTGCCACAGATGTCGCAGACGAACGAGGCCTTTTCGTAATGGACGCGAGCGTGTCGCTTCATGTCTCGGAACCAGGAAAACGTTTTGCCGCACACCTCACAGGCATGACGACCTTCGGAATTCCTAGACTTGCTTTTGGCGAGACCAGGAGGACGTCCGCGACGCCGCTTGTTGGGCGGCTGTTCCTCCACTTCACTATCCGCCTGTGGCTTGACTTTGCGTGAACTTCGTCGCAAGGCATAGGGCTGCTGCTGCTCATCCCCATCATCATCTCTGCAGGGAAAAGCAACAATTAAATACTTTTTTTCTTCTGCACAAATTTGATCTACTCACTCATCGTTTGAGAGTGCATCGGCATTTTCATCCTCGCTGTCACTTTCTGGCGTCCATTTGTACTCAACAGAGCACGCGCCAGCCGACTCCACATCCACATCAGACAATCCCTGTGCCTCTCCAGAATCACTGAAATCTCTTTGCTCCTCATCAATGTCGATCTCTGTTTTAATCTGCTCCTCTGGTATGTCAATGGGGCTCTCCTCCAGACATTCCTGCAGCCGCATCAGCAGCTCTCCATTGACTTTTCTGGCCTGCTCCACAAAGGCGTACGCGTTCTTCAGCCTGTCCAAGCAATCTGTACACAGATGCTGGGGCAGATTGTCGTCAGCATTCTCCAGCAGAGGCTAGGGGTGAGAAAATGTATTCAATGAGTGGTATTGTTTTATTAAAATATGAAATGCAAGCGCTTACATCGATCTGCGTCAGTTCTTGGAGTACATCATAAAAACTTTTATTCGTATACTGATCCAAGGAAGTGGACAGGGCCAGCAAATTGTTTTTATGCAGGGCACACGTACGGCAAATATTGCTGGGCAGCATTTCTTCCTGCTAAACGCTATTTAAACATATTCTTAATAGAGGTGTCAAACCATCGAGAGCACTATCGATAGTATCGATGTTTTGCTGCTAGCCGCTACTATCGATGGTTTTGCGACTATCATGATAGTATCGAGCTACAGTTGTTGCGCTTTTGATATGTTTGGATTGGCTTTTCCCATTTGAAGAGCGTTCAACAACTAGACTTGCCACCATTATGGATCCACGATACAAAAAAGAAGGATTTCGTTTACAGATCAATGCTGATCAAGCCGCCGTTTTGTTGGAAAACATGTTGACTAATTACAACGGAGAACAACCTTAAGAACCGGAAGCAGAACAGCCAGTACAAGTCTCACAAGAGCAAACTCAGCTTAAGTTTATAAAAACCAAAATAGAAAAGAAGAAAACCATGGCAATCGGTCCAACCGTTCTCGAGTTATAAGTGTTGTAACAAACACGACTTTCTTTTATATATAGAAGATATATATTTATATATTAATAACTCTTACATCTTATGCCCGCATTGTGGGGCTTGCGCTTGCCGGCTTCTCCTGACTTTGACTGCTTACTTTTATCCATTTTATTCAAGTTGTTAATAAATTTCACTTGTTATAAGGCGTTGTGTTTTTCCTAAAAACATTCATGCAACTTTCGATAGCATCCATATCGGATTTATCGATAGTTTTCTTTTTATATCGGTTCAACAAAATTAGAATTTTGTAGGTCTATAAAATAAATAATAAATAAGCCCTCGGTCGCATATTGCAAACATTTTCGGGCTCACTTTTAAAAACAGACTTTAATTTCTCCAAAATTCGTAAATTGCAAAAATTATCCGTTCCAAACGGCAACTAATTTCGTAAAAAACATCGATGACATCTGCTATCTGGTCTCACTAATTTTCTGAAAACGGGCGCCTGTTTTATGTTTACTTTACAAGAATATGAATATATTGGTTTTATTTTATAAAGATGGTTTTATTTTATGAAGAATATGAATATTTTATTTTATTATCTTAACGCCTAGTTAGATTTAGGGGCAAGGTGCATGTGCATTAGATTATGGATTGAATGTGGCAGTTGCATAGCCTGGTGTTGTTGCGGCTGCTCTGCCTGGTGCATTGGCATATGCATAGCGAAGGCTCGATCTGAGATCGCCGCTCTTGCCTCTCCCTCAGCGACGACGTACGTGGTCCACCACGGCCACCACCACGACCAGGGCCACCAGGACCACCGCCAAAATGGTAATGTTGATGGTAATGTAACGACATCTGGAAATGAAAAGCAAAGCTAGCATAAGAAGGTTTGTTAGCAGTACATTGCAGTACATTGTTAGTGTATGAAATATGCTGTGCATATGTATGAATATACAAACAAAACATATGAACATACAATTCCATGCACACATTATATATATATATCATATATACATATATATATTATATATATATATATATAAAGAATAAATTATATATAAATATTACCACTTTAAGAACTTACCACTTTTTTTTTTCTCGAAATGCGATTTTTTCTCGAATGCGAACAGCGCCACCGAAAAATCGAGAAGACCCCGGCAGTCGACGCCACGTTGTCGGCGTTCAGTTGAGCTAAATGAGCAGCTCAATTATTGAGCACAAAAATAAATATATATACTTTATTTTTAAATTTAGCTGCCAAGCTACATATATTGTTGGATTACATTTCATTTTATTTTTTTATATTTTCTAGAGCGAACTAGAATCCGGATTCAGCATATATTCCAGAAACCACTTTAATTTATATTAAATTTAAAATTACCCGCAAAGTCAGCCATTTATGTGCTCTCATTTTGAGCATTTGTTACGAACCTGTTTTAGTGGTGGGGCAAGGCCGGCTAGCCAGTCATCTCAGGAATGGGTTTTTCCCAGGCCCCCAGGTCGCACAACAAACCAGCTGTTCGGGCATCTTCGTAAGTTAGGAACTCCTTCTTCACCTCCTCTAGTTCTTCAGCTTCTTTCTCTTCCAGGTCCCACGCGTCCACATGTACGTTCTCCTGATGGTCTTCGGCATATTGGCTGATCTGTGACATCTGGACTTCGGATATCTTGGCATCGCTGGGCGAACTTGGATAAGCTCCGAGGACTGTGGGAGCCAACGCGAACGACCTCCAAAAATCGACACCCAAGTACATGACTTGCTCCAGGTATGGACAGATGTAAAAGAGAACGTCCTTGCTGATTCCTTTGTACTCCACAGGGATTCTCGCCTTGCCGATTATGGTCCGGTCCTCTCCTGCGGCGGTTTTGACGATCGAGACATAGTTGTCCATCTCCACCCCGAGGTCTTCTAGGAGCTCACGACTGCCCTTTCCGAGGACACTTACGGATGCCCCAGTATCCAGGAGTCCGGAAATCTTCCGTCCTAGGATTTGCACCTTGGCAAAAACCCTTGGGTCACGTCCTGCTCCACGCCTGACTGCTTCAGCCACCTCCTTGCGAGTCTGTCTCCTTTGCCGGAAGCGTGCCCGGGCCTTCTGGAGTCTACGGCTGACACCTCGCATTCCACTCAGCTGATGTCCGTCAAAGATCCGATTTCGGACTTGGGTATATCTCCTCATCCTCTCTTCGGCCGGTAAGAATTTTAAACTATATTTTTCTACACTACTTGGGTTAATATGCTTAATTTTTACAAACTCCAACAGTGCATCCTTCACTTTCTCGCGGGCCTTCGTCCCGAGCTCTGATGTCCCGCCTTTATCAAGCCCGTTCTTGCGTTTCCCGAACAGTTGGGACACTTCGGCGTGTACGTTTCGGGCTTTCCGCAGAGGTAACAGAATACTCTGCGTTCCTTTGCCATACACTCTCGGAACCCGTGATCAACTTCTCCGCAATTCCAGCAACCCAGCCTCGGCTTCGCTGTCAGGTGGGTTTCCTCAACCATCAACTCTTCCTTTCCTTCCAACAGCTCCGAATCTGGCTCTATCTCCTCGACTCGCTTCCCGGATTGTTGGAATTTTGTCGTCGGGCGAAAAGCTGACCTTCGCTCACGTCTGCGTAAATGGTATTCCACCTCTACACACTCTTCCCTCAGCTGCTCCAGGTTCCGGACTCGGATCGCGTACACATACCGAGCGATCTCCTCCTCGAGTCCCTTCTTGACGACTCTGACCATCTCGGAATCCGCTATCGGTGTGATAAGCCTTGCGTCCAGCCTCCGCATAGCTCGGAAGTAGTCTTCCACCGATTCTCCAGGTTCTTGGCGTCGCTCATGCAACGCACGCAGCCGCTCGTACTGCCCACCTACTGCACGGAATCGGGTCACCAACTCGTCCTTTAAGTCCTCCCAGACTTCTGGAGGCCTCTCTCGGACAAACTGCCAGTACCACTCGGCAGCCCGTCCTCTCACCAGATGGTGAAAATTATTGAGGACTTCGTCCCACGAGCGTCGACTCTGCCTCTGGAGAAATTCGACCCGAAAGACAAAATCCTCCACCGTCAGTTTGGCTGGGTCTGGGTCGCCGTCGAAATGGATGTCCCACTTGTCGACGCGTCCCCATCTCGGCTATCTCCACTCGTCTCGCCTCTCGTAGGGCGTCGTGAATCGCCGAGCTCCGCCGTCTCCTGCTGGTTCCCGTTCCAGTTCCATCGGTCTCGTTTCCAGACCGCCATCTTCCACCATGTGGGCCCAACTTTGGCTCCGTCTCTCCGGCTTCCTTGGAGGCGCTTGTGGAATATGCTCCTGTTGTTCCACGGAACCTTTGGGTCTGGTGCCGGTACTCTGTCTTCGCCATTCTGGAGCCGCTGGACCGCCTTCTCTGCCATTTGGACCATTCTCCCAGCCCAGATCATGGATCAATTCTCCCTTCTGGTGCAGGGGCGTCATTGCCTCCGTTATGGCACCCATCAGCTCCATAAATCCACGACGGATCTCTTCTTGCAGCGTCCTGCTGATGGTGTCCGCCATAGCACCTCTCTGCGTCTCCTGCGCTTGTGCTATGGCGACGTTTATGCCCGAAAGAATTTCCGACGGCAATTCTTTTGGGGTCTTCGGCGGGTTCCAGCTGTCGTTCTCGCCTCCTTCCGCGCCCTGACTATCTCCTCCTCGCATCTGTTCAGGCAGGTTTCCTGGCGGAGGAGTCCTGTGAGTCATTTTCCCTTTTGACCGTAAGTTGTAGCTGCTCATAAACTTTTCTAACTACCTAACTTTCCTTTCTTTCACAGATAACTACCTAACTCCAACAAAACTCAACACAAAAAAAACAAATAAAAAAACTGCAAGATCAACCACAAGAGGGGAAAGTAACCACAACTGCTACTGGAGCCATCTGCACTTGGTTCCCTACGTCTTTGCTTGTCCAACGTCTACCTTCTTAGTCGCGAGCGCTGTTGACTTCTCATCTTCTACAGAAGATTAAGTGTCAAGGGCGCTCACTCTTCTACCTAGCTGCTTCTGTCCCACTACTCTACTGAAGGATATCCTCGGGATCCTGTAGCTGCTCCAGGTGCATCGCGTGACCGACTAAATGTCCCCACGGGCCACCTACAGCAAAAATCTCTACGAGATACTACCTTCCCGCCTCCTCCAGCGGTAAGTAGGGGAAGCAGCACAAACAAAAACTACTCGACCTTAACTAACTTTGGGTATTTTTTCTTTCCAGGCTCTCTTTCGTCCACCAGGCAACGGGTCGGTTGCTAACTGGCTTGAGGATTATCCTCCGTCAGTGCCAACCTCACCCCCTTGAGAGCTCCGGCTTCCCTCTGTCAGATAAGTTTAAACACAAACTACAAAAAACAATTTACTTTGTGGATTCCTACATTTTCAGATCCCTCAGTGCCGTGCATCTGCGAGCCAACCTTCACAGCTCCTCCCAGGCCACCGGTACACAGACGGACCCTTAATGCAGACTACCACTCGAGATCGTTCCTCTCGGCTGGACATTTATAACCTCCTCGACCTTTTGTGATTCGCAGCCGTACTCTCCCACTTTCGTGTTCGAGAACGGACTGCGACTCACAAATTTGTCTTAGATTGGGCGCCATTATTGTTACGAACCTGTTTTAGTGGTGGGGCAAGGCCGGCTAGCCAGTCATCTCAGGAATGGGTTTTTCCCAGGCCCCCAGGTCGCACAACAAACCAGCTGTTCGGGCATCTCGAACAAATATGACAACAAAACGACGATTCAAAACAAACCAACGGACTTTACACTAAACCTCACGGACAATCATCTCCCCGACGCGGAACAACTACAAATCTCCTCTTTTCCTCAAGTGTAGCGGCCGATCTCCATTTCGCCGCTGTGGTCCCCTTTCCCCCCCATACTAAACACACTAGCAATTCATATTAAACGTTATAATTTCACTTTAAATAACATTTTTCACACATTCTTTTTGTATTCTGTAACTCCTAGCTGGTTTAGGTCGACCTCCTAATCCCCATCCTAACCTCTTCTATTCTGTGACCTAAATTATGGGCATGGGCGTATCAAATTAACTATGATTAAATAAATAAATAATTATAAATAGTGACAATTACATATATAAGAACAAATAAATAAATATAATTAACGGTAAATAAATAAATAAGTGTATACACAGATATGCGACGGCCTAGTGGGTTCTAAATTACATGTAGGTATTTAAATCGGGTTTAATAACATCTTTGCTGGAGGACGGGGACGATATTCCGGGGTCCACTTCTAGGCCGGGCGAAGGACCATGCCGCTGTGGACAGGACGGCGGAACTGGGCACAGTTCTTGGTAAATTTACAAAAAAAACGGAGTGTAAATTGGGATTTTTCTCCCCCATTGGAGCGGACTCACTTTGTTCCTTTTTTTTCCAGCTTTTCTAATATATCCGCATCGGTCCCGCTAGGCAGCTCTACTTCCTCCTTGCTATTCGAGGAAACGTAAAACAAAAAAAATTCACTTTGAGTGATGACCACTACCCATCCTCATTTCACTCACTTTCTAATTATTTTTATTTTTATTTCTCTGAGACCCGATCCGTAACCGATTTTTTTTTTTTGTACCGTCTTCCGCCAACGATTTTTTTGATCTGTCCTAAGCCTAAGCCTAAGCCTAAGCTTTATATCGTTGGTCGCCAAGCCCCATCGATCTCTTCTATTGCCCTTGAACCAGGTTCAAGGGCATGGCCTACTCTTCTTGTAACCGCTCTCTCTCCCCTTAAGCGTGTGTGGGTGAATTGGCTCCGGGACACCGGCTCTCCTCTCTCCACAAGGGAATTCAAGAGCGCGCGGATCTCATAGTTTTAAGATCGCCCGACTAGGGGGCGCCACCATCCGCTCACCACTATCCCTTCAACCTCGGCCTTGCCACCCTGTCTGGAAACCTTCCTCTCTACCATGCAAATTATTTCAATCGATTACCCTGAAATGCAACACATTTTGCGTCCATCCTTTTTCCACCGAGTTGGCATCATCTGCTATCTGGTCATACTAATTTTCTGCAAACCGGCGCCGGTTTTTGTTTAGTTTTCCTTTTTCAGCAATGGCCGATGAACCAGAAAAACATAAAAAACTCTACTTCCATGGGACGAGCGCCCATGGAACAAAGACCTACCCGTTACATTTAGAAGATGGGTTGAAGTGCATGGCCATGCTTCCAGTTCTTCCAGTTCCAGTTCTTCCAGCGATGTAAGTAAAGTAAAGTATCAACATATATTTTATATTTTCATTTATTTATATTTTCTAGAGCGAACCAGAATCCGGATTCGCAAGATGCGAAAGATGCCGAAGAACTATGCTGAAAAAATCCTTAGAAAGACACAGAAAATTGAACTGTGAATTTGGACCAAAGAAAAAAAATTTCGGATGCATGTACTTGTCCATATGAGAGCGCTAGATCAGGTGATCTCAGAAGGCATCTGAGTCGAGTCCATGAATGCCACGACGAGGAGCCTGGCCTGTCGTAATCTCCGGTTCAGCCGGCGAGAGCTAAAGTGCTTTGAAATCATGCTGTATCACAGCGAAAACCAGCTAATTGAGAGTTATATGCTGCAGATAGATCAATTGGAGTCTGGGGCCGCCAGACAGCCAGCGGAGGATCCGCACCTGATTGAGTACGAGCAACAGCTGCGCTCCGCTCTGTACAAACTGTCTGAACGCGTCAAACCGTTGCCAAAGCTTCCCGGCAACAGCCAGTTCAAGGTGCATTTGCACACAACACAGACAGCCTTTGTCCAATTTAGCCACGAGGCACAGTACAGGAGTTTCCCTGGCTGTAGGCGGCTGAGACTCCACAGCATAAGAACGCGCCATCGGCAAAAGTCTGCCTGCTGCCGCTGGCCACAGTCGACAATGTGGGATTGAAAATGCAGGCGAGCATCTTTGGTTGAGATGATTGTTTTTTCCGGTTGATAATTGTTTGTATTAAATCAAAATGTTACATTGAATAAGTGTGTACTACATGCACTACATACATTCTAGAGCAGTCCTTGACGCTTCAAGTCTTCAAATGTCTTGCGATTGACCACATTGCCCCGGGGAGTCCTCGTACTCCTCCTCCTGGTCGGCTATCCAGCGTTCGCTCAGCTTTTGCGACTTTAGCTTCTCCCACAACGTGATAGCGTCCTCGATCTGGGTCACATTCGCATAATGCGCCGTATTGGCGCATGCGTGCGCAGCGTCAAATCGAAATGAAATGGGAGGGAATTGGACGAGGAGCACAAGTTGACGCTCCATTCGTTGCGGCCCAGCGTGCATCCAAGGATATCCGGAACAAGGTTCCGTGGCCGGTTTCCCGGCCAGTAACACTTGGGCCAAACACTTGCGCTAAATCGCATTCTGTTGAGTGTGACCCTTCTTTATTTTCGCTAGCTCACATAAAATTTTGGCCATAAAGTATTAACCATAAACGGTCACCCCTTGACTACAGCTGCTACTGATAAAAAATTGTTGTTGATGGGAAAAAACTTTATCAAATTCATGTTTTAAACTATGACCCGGACCTGCAGAATCTGTGGCGATACAAATGGGCGTTACTGGATTGAGACGCCGGTGGATAAGTATGCCGAGAAGACCTTCAATCAGCTGTTGCTGGAGCTAACCAAGATTGAGGTGAGCGAATCGTTGGCAATTCCAATTTCCCACTTTACACACGGCATAATTCCAGTTGACCATGGTCCAGGCCGAGAAGTTGCCCCACTGGCTGTGCTCCAGCTGCTCCCAGAAGCTGGAGAGCGCCTATGACTTTGTGCTGCAGGCGAAACAGATGCACAAGCTGTGGCTGCAACAACTGGAAGATACGGGGCAGATAATGAGCACTGGAGCGTTGGAGTGCCTGCGGGAGACACCCATACATCTGTTTGAGATCGAGGGTGTTACCATCAAAACCGAAGCGCTGGAGTCAACGGTTGCAGACAATGGGAATAGCTCATCCGATCCTCTAGTCCGCACACGCGTCAAAAAACGGACCATTTTTCACTTTAGCGACACCGAGGATGACCAGGATGATGTGCCGCTAAGGCAGCGCAGGACGGGCAGTCAAGTGAACAGCTCATCAGCTAAGCTGCACAAGTGCAACCTGTGCGGCAAATCCTTTAGATATATTACAAATCTCTATCGCCACAAGAAAAGGGATCACGGCTATCCAGGCCCTTCAAAGGGAGAGAGCTCCGAATCCTGCCAGGACAACACACAAAAGAGCGCCGTGGCAGCGCAGGACAGTTCCAATTTGGAGTAAGTAGTTGCCAAGAAAAACAAAAACCTGCGGTTTCTTATATTTCATTAAAAAATAGACAAAATGATGATGATAATGATGGGGATGATGATAACTACTACAAATGCGATCAGTGCGACAAATCCTTCAAGTACATAATGGTGCTAGTCAGGCACAAGCAGAATGCCCATGAAGCCAATCAATATCAAATGCCAATCAGATCTGGTCCCAAGCGAAGAAACAGAAGGGACGTGGGTGAAGCAGCAAGTCCAGCTTCTTCGGGGACATCCACACAACGAACCAGAATCAGCAACGACAGCCTTGTCCATAGCCTCATCAAAACAGTGCAGTAAGATTAAGATCAAGATAATATTTCGCAAAGTTTTTTTTTTTTTTTACTGATTTATGTTCTTTCTAAGGTTTTCGGATGAGGATGGAAACAACGGCCCCGATAACTACTACAAGTGTGATCAGTGCCACAGATCGTACAAATACATTGTAAGCCTCATCAAGCACAAGCACAAGGATCACACGGAAGCTGACAAAAACTCGGACGCCGAGGACAATCAACCATTAGCCTCCACATCCGCCTGCGCCTCCGCAGCCTCAGGCACTGCCACCAAGGCATCGCGAATCAATCGTCGCGTTCAGGGCTTTGACCTGCATCGCTGCGAGCCAAATGGTGCAAAGGAAATTCAGTGCATGATCTGTCTGCGGAAATTCACTAAGCTGCGGGAGCTGAGAGATCACCTGAGGGCGCATCCCACAGACTTTAATTTCCAGGCGCACGGCGAGCCCATCGAACGCATTGCCGAGGGCTTCTTCAAGACGGCTGTGGAGTCCACAGTGGAGGGTTTGAAGAAGAGAATTCTGCATGACCTCAAGATAGGCGTCTTCGGACGCTTCTATTCCATTACCAACGAGGCGCGCTACGAGATGAGTTTGGACAGCTCGGACACGGATAGCGATGGCGATGCAGATGTTGTACTGCGACGTAGCTATGCCTGCGAGCTATGCGACTCGCCGGAGGCCAGGTGGCCCCGCAAGTATCAGCTGCACGAGCATCACAGGCAGCAGCACACCTGGGAAGAGGCTCCGCATGTCTGCCAGCGCTGTGATTCGCGTTTCCTAAGTCTCCAGCTGCTGGAGCATCACACCCTTCAGCTCTGCCAGAACACACTGAAGCGATACATGTGCGACAAGTGCCCGCAGCGATTCTTCTGGCGAAGAAATCTGCGTGCCCATTTGGTCGAGCACAAGAGCAAGGTGGGATTTATGCACAAAAATTAGCCGACTCTAACTAATCTCTAATTTATTATCATTTGCAGCAAGACAACTATCCGTGCGACCAGTGCCAGCGTAGTTTTCAGGATAAAAGCGCCGTGACCAAGCACAAGTTGACGATGCATCGCGATGAAAAGAATCAGCTTATTCCCTGCCGCTGGTGCTCACGGACCTTCTATCGTCCCGCCCTCCTGCACAAGCATGTCGAACGGCATGGCTTCACCGGCGACGATTTGCCACTGGCAGAAACATTGCTGGCCGATGCAGCCAAGCCATCGGGCCCAAAGACTGTCCAGTGTAAGATCTGTGACCTGCAGTTCGTAAGCGTAGCAGATCTTCGTCGCCACAATGCAATGCTGGGCCACAGTGAGCGAATAACCGACTACATGATCAGCACCGAGGCTGGTTTCGAGCTGCTGCTGGAGGATACAGATGACAGCGATGACGACACTACGGGCGGTAGGTCCTACTCGTGCGATCTCTGTCAGATGACGTTTCGTCGCCGGAGGGAGATGAGCGAGCATCAGTATTCACTGCACGCTTTTGACAAGCTGCCGTATGGCTGCGAACATTGCATTTATAAGACCGTGGATAAGGTAGGAAGAGGCACTAAAACGCATAGGAAGTAATTTAATTTCCAATCTTCCGTTTCTTCCTCTTTAGCTCATGCTGGAGCATCATCTGCGCACACAATGTCTGAACAGCGAGAAGCCATTCAGCTGCTCCCGCTGCAGATACAAGTTCATGTGGAAGGAGAACCTGGAGCAGCACTTTGCCACTCAGCATCCCAAGCAGCTGCCCGCCCAAGAGCAGTCGTCTATGCCCCTGAGAAGAAGACGACGCTTCAGATACCAATGCCCACAGTGCTGGCGTTCGTTTGTGGTGCAGCCCAGCCTCGATAAGCATATAAGGGACATGCATGTGGCCAAGAGGAATCCGGGCAAGAAATACCTCTGCTCCCTGTGCGGCCTGGAGTCGCTGACGCCCAACAAGCTGAACATACATATGCGCCGCCACAACGGAGAAAAGCCCTTTAAATGCGATCTGTGCGACATGCGCTTCACCGTCCACTACGAGCTGAAGGTCCATCGGAGGAAGCACACCGGCGAGCGGCCCTACCAGTGCACCTTTTGTGACAAGCATTTCGCCCGACCCGACAAACTGAGACGCCATGTCTACATGCACAGTGCTCGTCGTTAGACATTAGTAAATTACGCTTCAATACAGATCCAAAGATGTCTCTCTATCTCTCGCTCGCTCTCGCTCTCTGCCCAAAAGCACAGTGGAGCGCATATGTAAAGTGCACCATTGCGTCATGGGATGAACGAGAGATGCAGAGAGAGTGACAACAAGCTTTTAAACGTGTATCTGTGAGATTTATTGGGAATGGGAGGGTCTGTAAGTCAACCAGTCTGTTTCTGAGAGTCCGGCACATCGCACACGCCACCGCATGGACATAAGCAACGCAAAATGACTAAACAAACAGCACCGGAATGGGTGAATAAACAGCTTTTTAATGGTTTGCTGGAACAGACCCACGACAATTTCAAGGCAATAATTAAATTCGCCACCAAAGCGGCCATCAGTGAGGGGGAAAACTACCTAACGATCGTGCTGCGTATTCAAATAGGAATGCAACTGAAAGGTAAGCGAGAAGGTGGCGTCTTATCAGCAAGTGTCTGTTATTGAGTAACAAATAATTGCAGATGATAGCGAAAAGGAGGTCAGCTATATACTCAAGATACCGCTAGTCAACGGGAGTGGGGATGATCATGAGTTTCACGACTTGTTCGTTGCGGAGTTTCAGATGTATGATCGTGTAATACCGGAACTGGAGACACTCTATGCGGCAAATAGCTCACTCTCACCCAGCTTTAAGCCATTGCATTTAAAGTTCCCCGAAATGACAACAAAATGTGACTATATCCTCTTGGAAGATCTGCGCAAGAGAGGCTACCATAATGCTGAGCGGACAGTGGGTCTGTCGCAGCTCGAAGTTGAGGCAGTGCTCAAGAAGTTGGCACAGTGGCATGCAGCCTCTGCCAAGAGAGTCACCGATTTGGGTGAATACGAACAGGGCCTCAGGGAGAGCTACTTTACGCCCGACCACCTGAAGTTGATTGAAGGATTCAACATGAGTTTCACTGTTCCTTTTCTGGAATGCATGCAGAAATATGGTCTGGATCCGGGACAACTTCTCCTGATAGTGAGTGAAAGAATTTGGATCAGACATAAATATTAATTGTATTGTTACCCCGCAGAGCGACTACACATCCCGCCTGACAGATCTATACATGGAGTTTGGGGCCAACGATCCTCAAGAGCTGAATGTGTTAAATCATGGGGATTTTTGGTGCAACAATTTCATGTTCAAGTACAAAGAGTCTGGGGAGGTAGAGGATGTCTGCTTCCTGGACTTTCAGCTGCCAAAATACGGTACCAAATGTTTTGCTTTTCATTTATAGTTGGATTTAATTTTGTTCCACTTTTAGGCACACCCGCACAGGACCTGTTCTGTCTGCTCATGACCTCCCCAAAGTTCGACATCAAACTAAAGAAGTTTGACTATTTTATAGAGTATTATCACCGGCAGCTGGTGGAGCAGCTAGCGCTGCTCAAGTACAACCAAAATGCACCCACATTGTCGCAGCTTCGAGCAAATCTACACAAAAACAGCCTATGGGGTAAGTTCATGGAAGATCATTGTCATGGTCATGAATCATGGATGAGGTCTTTTTATTGCAGCATTCATATGTGCCCAGCGGATGCTGCCCATAGTACTGATGCCTCCCGACGTGGGCTCCAATATTGGCAATGTCATGGGTGACTCGGAGGAGGCGTCTGCATTCAAGCGCAAGATGTTTCAGTCGCCAGCCTACGTGCTGCAAATCAGAGCCATTTTGCCCTGGCTTATTGAACACGCATATATAAGATGAGCAGGTGACTGCAATGGCAAACAGGTTTCGACCCGACCCCTCTCGAAGTATTTAAAATATTATAATAAATTTCATTAGGCACAAGGCAAGCCCCCAATCAATTGTTTCCTACGGGGATCGCTTATTGATAAGCCCAATCCCATTCATAATATGATGATGAAAATATCCCACAAATGGTTTGAGAAAGCTTTTATTATTGAGAGAAATGATTAAATTGAATTTCTTAAGCTTTTCGAGCCAATAGGAGAGAGGAGAGCGAGCGAGCAGATCGAGAGAAAGCTCTGTCTATCTGCGACTTGTTTTTTGTGTCTATGATATGTAGCTAGAAGCACCCATAATTACCAAAGCTCTAGAACTACGAACATAAAGCTGAATATAAAACTATCAGCTTCGCTTCGACTGGCGCCAGTCCACAAAACCGTGTCCAACCAGGCGTATACTTTATTTGCGAGCGTGTAAATTGCTGAACGAATTATCAATTATCAACAATATGGCGGCCAGCAAAGTACCCGACTGGATCAATGCGGAACTATTTGAAGATGTGCTCAAGTCCACAGTGCCTGGCTACACCAAAGTGAAGACCTTCAAGGCGGACATAGGCTCTGCCGCGGGAGAAAACTATGCAACGATTATGCTGCGTGTCAACATTGAAGTGGAGCTGGATGGTAACACACCCTGGCAGCAGGAGTCGTAGCGGGAATGTTCTTCCATTTAACCCTCCACGTTTTCAGATGGCAAATCCAAGGATGTTTCCTACATGGTAAAGCTGCCCCATCAGCTGGAGATGTACCAGGAAATGATGAAGAAGACCAACATCTTCGACATTGAGCGCCTGATGTACAACGACGTTGTGCCAGAGATGGAGGCGTTGTACAAGGAAGTGGGCGTGGATATAATTTTCGGCGCCAGGAGCTACGATTTCAAGGGCGCCAAAAGCGATTATGTTCTGCTGGAGGATCTGGGCCCCAAGGGATTCAAGAATGCCAACCGTCTGGAGGGTTTGGATCAGGCGCACACGGAAAGAGTGCTGAGGAAGTTGGCCCAGTGGCACGCAGCCTCGGCCGTGCGTGTGGCCACCAAGGGCTCATATCCGGACTTACTTGTCCAGGGTTTCTTCAGGGAGGATACTAGGCCCATGATGACCGAAATGATTAACGGCATGATGACGAGATTCCTCAAGGTGTGCGTCACCTACGAGGGTCACGAGGAGTACATAGAACAGATTGTAAGTAGCGAAATATAAACCGTGGAAAAGGGTAATCCTTATAGCTGATATACTGCTTTCCCTGTTCGATTCCAGAAAAAACTCATTCCCGTAACCGTAGAAGAAATGTACAAAATGGCCAAGCCCGATCCGCAGGAGTTTAATGTTCTCAATCACGGAGACTCGTGGTCCAATAACGTAATGTTCCAATACGATGCCTTTGGCAAGATCAAGGAGGTATATCTGGTGGATTATCAGATTCCCAAATACGGTACAGTGGCGCAGGATCTGTTATACATGCTGCTTTCGTCCACCAAACTGGAGGATAAGCTGAGCAAATTCGATTACTACGTCAAGTTCTATTACGACAATCTGATCGAACACCTGAAGGTCCTCAAGTACACAAAACCCCTGCCCACATTGCGCAGCATTCACATAGCCCTATTCAAATATGGAGTTTTCGGTAGGTCCATCCATGCAGTGGAGGCTGTTCGCAGAGTCATAATATCACTCCTCAATTATAGGTTACTCTGTGGTCACTGGAGTTATGAGTGCAGTTCTCTTGGATCCTACGGAGAATGCCAGCTTTGAGAACTTCGTGGGCGACAATGCCGCTGGGGAGGCCTTTCAGATGCAGTTGTATACCAATCCTCGCTATCGCAAGCATATCCAGGTGATCCTCCCCTGGCTCCTCAATCGCGGTGCACTGGAGACCAGTGCGCCCACAAGCCAATAATAATTTACACAATTTTTGCCTGTCTTGCGATAGAATTTAACGCTAGCCATTAGACCGTGTGATAATGGTTTCTTTATCTGTTGTTTTTGATAAGTACGAGTATTAATAAAAACTAAAATTGTTGGCCAAACCTAAAAACCGATAACGAGAGCTTACAATCGATTCGGTTTGCCAAAAGTCATTGTAAAACGTATATTTGGGATTGATGGGGGGTTGATAGTGAAGTGGGCTGTGATTCATGGTTTCCACAGAAAGCACACACAAAAGATAGCGTCACCACGCCACTTGATGTTCAAACAAAAAACGAATTGTTTGACTTGAATGCGAAATTGTCGTAGTATCAAAACAAAACACTTGCTGAAAAAGCTTGAATCTCCCCGAGCTTTTCTAACAGTGTTCTTACCGACAAAGCTTCTGCGCCAAATTGGGTTGGATGGATCTGATTATACTGATATTTGTAATGTTGAAATGGAACTTAGGCTTAAACTGAAGGCCGTTAAAGTTCCCTTGTGGGTTCCCATTCCACTGAAATTATATACTTACACCCGATTTGTTTTCTAATAATTATTTTCTGTTATTACTTTTGATTACACGCACAAATTACTGCCAGACTGAGCTCATTTCTGGCAATTTTTTGTCTCCCAAAAAAAAAACGTTTTCAAGTTAATAACCTACGTATCTAAATATGGGTAGATGGTTGTTTACTCCCCTACCTTATATGGTTTTAACTCTTTTTATGGGTGTAGCAAAAAGCTTGCTAGAACTAGCGTAGCAAAACAAAACACGAAGAGCGAACGTCAAATACAAAAAGCTCTCTCACTCCCACAGAGACATTAATTTGCGATTAGATCTTTTATTTTATTCAGTAAGCCAATCAGCAAACAACTTGTATAATAAAAGTTCTATACCTTGGAATGGCATTTGAGGACTTTGTATAAGATTGGACACTATTATATATAATTACAATAATGGAGCGATAAGAGACTGCCCTGCCCTATGCCTTTATTCGTTATGGGGTCTAGAGTACTGTCTGCACCCAGGATGTCTTGTTTGATTTAACATTAGGTATATAATATTATGTACCTGATAACCACACCTCGTCAGTTTACTAAGTATGAGATTATATTTATCGCTTGAATAGCAATAGAGTGCACCCAAGACTATTTAAAAGGCGCCACTCAAATAAAATGACAGAAGTGCACTGCTAGGTCTGAAAGCGAACGAATATGGACAAACAGAAAGACATAGAAATTCCAGACTGGGTCAATTCACAGATCTTTGAGGATCTGCTAAAACGCCAGGTTAAGGATTACAAGGAAACGAAGTCCCTTAGAGCCAGCGCAGGAGTCGCTAAGGGCGAGAACTATGCCACCATAATGCTGCGGGTTGAGTTGGATGTAGAAACTGAAGGTCGGTAACCGATAAACCAATCTGTTTTGGAATCAATAAGGTCTGTTTCCATTCCAGACAAATCACAGCTGACAAAAGCCTTTATGCTGAAGACACCCTGTGCTGCCCATCGCACACACCTGGTTCCAGGAAATAATATATTCGTTACAGAGCGGAGCATGTACTTTGAAGTGGTCCCCGAACTGGAGCTAATGTATCGCGATGTGGGTCTTAAGGTGAAATTCGGAGCTGAAGCCTACGAGTTACCTACTACCGATTATTATGTTCTGCTTGAGGACCTGAAGCCCCAAAAATTCCAGAATGTAGATCGTCTTCGGGGCTTAGATCAAGCCCACACCGAATGTGCGCTGCGGAAATTCGCTCAGTGGCATGCGGCATCGGTTGTGCGTGTGGAAACCAAGGGACCATACGAGGAGCAGTACACGAGGGGACTCTTCCAAAGTCAGCCACTGCTTAATTCGATCTGCAATGACAGCATTAAGTCGTTGCTGAAGTACATCGAACTCTACGAAGGACACGAGACGTACTTACAGGATTTGGTAAGCAATAGAATGGCACAAATGGCTGATCATCTTAATGCTATTTATAAACTGTATCTACAGCATAATATTTCCACAAAGTTAATGGATGTGGCTGTTGATGTGGGCCAGGCAAAACCTAATGAATTCAATGTTCTCAATCATGGTGATGCTTGGAGCAATAACATTATGTTTCAGTACAATGAGAAGAATGAGATATTGAATACATATTTCGTGGATCTTCAAATACCAAAGTGGGGCACAGTGGCGCAGGTGAGTAATCCACAACAATTCCATCAGGATTGCATGCTAATATTCTATTTTCTCTCAGGATTTGTACTACTTTCTTATATCGTCAACAAGTTTGGACATAAAAACAACAAAATTCGATTATTTCATTTGGTTTTATCACTCGGAACTCGTTAAGCATCTTCAATTGCTGAAATATGCAAAGCCCCTGCCCACGCTGAAAAGTATAATCCACGATCTCTGCAAGTACAGTGTTTGGGGTAAGTAAAATCCGTTTTAAAATACATTTGAAACTTACCCTCATATATTCTTCAGGATTCATTTGCACCGTGTGGATAATGGGTTATGTTTTAATGGATCCCACAGAGGATGCTGGGTTCGAGGCACTCTTTAGCAATGAGGAAAGTAGCTTTAGGAAATTAATGTACACCAATCCTAGGTACCGAAAGCATATGGAAGTCCTTTTGCCATGGTTGAAACATCGTGGGGCTCTGGAATAGACAATAAGTTATATATTTTTCATTTGGAAAACTAGTAGTAATTCTTTAATACAACGTAAACTATTTTAGTTAATACAAAAACGTAGTTTTAACCCTAAAAATTGAAAAGTCACAATCTTGCGATTAATTGATTTTTTTACTAAACAAAATGACTTTAATGCTTTTTGTCATGCTATGACTCTGCCACTTAAGTGAAGCTGCAAGTCCTTGCCAGTTACGTGTAACGTATAACGTAAAAAATGATAAAATGCTAATCTGTTGGATGATGACGATGACTGTAACAAACCCAAGCTCTAGCCACTAATTAAAGTTGGACGTACATTTTGTGCACACTCACAATGAGAACATAAATATTTGTGATAATCAGCTCAGCTGTCTTGTCTTGTCTGTCTTAAATGATAGTGTTTATCGCTCATAACAGACTATTTAAAAGCCTGCGCTAGAAGGCAGCACCCAGCACTACGAGTAAATCTCTGAAAGCGAAATAATCAACACAGTCAGGATGCCGCCACAGACCAAAGACGATGAGCAATGCACGGAAGAAGCCATTCAAATTCCGGATTGGGTGAAGCCAGAGATCTTTGAAGATCTGCTAAAACAGCAGGTGAAGAATTACAAGGAAACAAAGTCCTTGAGAGCCACTGCAGGTGTAGCTAAGGGGGAGAACTATGCCACCATAATGCTGCGAGTTGAGTTGGATGTAGAAACTGAAGGTAGGTGCTTCTTAAATCTAACCAGATCTAATCGTTTGTTTTAATAAAGAATCTTTGTGTCCATTTCAAGATCAATCACAGATCACAAAGGCTTTTATGCTGAAGACACCCCACGACACGGACGCCTATCGAAAGCTATTGCAAAAATCGAATATATTCGATACAGAGCGGGGAATGTACATGAAAGTTGTGCCCGAAATGGAGCAAATGTATCGTGATGTGGGCCTCGAAGTGAAGTTTGGGGCTCAGACCTACGAGATCCCTGCCACCGATAACTATGTCTTGCTGGAAGACCTGAAGCCCCAAGGATTTAGGAATGCCGATCGTCTAGAGGGTTTGGATCAAGCCCACACCGAGAGTGCGCTGCGGAAATTCGCTCAGTGGCATGCCGCATCGGCAGTCCGTGTGGATACCAAGGGACCATATGAGGAGCAGTACACGAAAGGATTCTTCAGGAGCCCAGAAATCGTTGATGCTCTGTTTAATGGCAGCATTAAGTCGCTGCTGAAGTACATAGAACACTATGAAGGGCGCGAAACATACCTAAAAGATTTGGTATGTAAAACAACAACAAAAAATTAGAATGAGTATCTTCGTATCTTATCTATAAATCTTTCTACAGCTCAGCATCTCGGAAAAATTTGAGGATTTGGCGGTTGATATATGCGAACCGAAACCCGATGAATTCAATGCTCTCAATCATGGTGATGCTTGGAGCAATAACATTATGTTTCAGTACAATGAGAAGAATGAGATATTGAATACATATTTCGTGGATCTTCAAATACCAAAGTGGGGCACAGTGGCGCAGGTGAGTAATCCACAACAATTCCATCAGGATTGCATGCTAATATTCTATTTTCTCTCAGGATTTGTACTACTTCCTTATATCGTCAACAAGTTTGGACATAAAAACAACGAAATTCGATTATTTCATTTGGTTTTATCACTCGGAACTCGTTAAGCATCTTCAATTGCTGAAATATACGAAGCCTCTGCCCACTCTGAGAGGAATTCGTAACGATCTGTCCAAATACAGTGGTTGGGGTAAGTAAATTCCATCCCTAGATTCCATTTTTCAATCATTAATTTATTCATAAATCTTTCAGGTTTAGTCTGCTGCATATCTATAATGGGATTTGTTTTACTGGATCCCATACTGGATGGCGATGGTGGTTTCGATACAATCCTAAGCGGTGAAGACAGTAGTTTTAAGAAGACAGTGTTCACAAATCCCAGATACCGAAAGCATGTGGATGTCGTCCTGCCTTGGCTGCATCATCGTGGTGCCATGGAATATAATTAATGAGCATTAACAGAGTCTCAATAAGGTTTAAAAGATTACAATAAGTATATTGCTGTACCTTTTGCATATATTATGATATGATTGTAATTAAATGCACTTTTGTTAATCAAAAGTTGCCCACCATATGCCACCAATTACGTGAGTGAAGAGAATACAAGAGAACTTGCTGTTCAAAGCTTTCTTTCGCTCCACATAAGTTTCTAGCTGTGCTTTTTTTCTCTCTTTTTCGCTGGATGTCTTTCAGTGTTTGGCAACAAAGCTCCTCCAATCATTTTATCCACGATGGCGGAAGAGAACGTATCGGTACCGCTCCCAGTCTGGCTAAAGGCAGAGCTCTTCGAAAATATATTGACCAAGGGTTCCGGCGATGCGTATGCCGGCATCAAAAGCTTCTGACCTGTGGCTGGGGTCAAGCCGGGAGAGAACTATTCATCGTTTATGCTGCGCCTACACTTTGTCCTGAAGAAGCTGGCCCAGTGGCATGCCGCCTGGGCCACGCGGGTGAGCTAAAGGATTCGTATACCCAGAACTATCTTACACCCACATATATGGACAGCATGAGGAACCACATCGAAAAGGTGGCAAAGACTCTGGGCAAATACTTGCTCAAGTGTCTGCCCCTTTATGGGGGCTATGAGGAGTACAGCGCGGCAGTGGTAGGTGATTGATGAATTCTGCCGAATAATTTTCACACATATCCTTCTATGTTTTAGCACAAACTACAGCCCAAGATTGTAAATCCTATGTATGTCATGAACAAACCCAATCCGCAGGACTTCAATGGGCTCAACCACTGCGACTGTTGGACGTTACGCTATAAATCGGGATCGCTAGAGCCCGCGGAGACCTATTTCGTGGACTTGCAACTGCCGAAGGTGGCCAGTGTGGCCCTTGATCTGTTGTATTTCCTACTGGGATCGACGCAAATCGATTTAAAGATAAGGCACTTCGATTACTTTATTAGATACTACCACGATCAGCTGATCGAATACTTCAAAACACTTAAATACCCAGAAGATAAGATCGCAACCTTGCGATTTCTCCATATGCAGCTACTCAAATACTGTTGAGTGGGTAAGCTCAAAGCTCTCTTTCTCATGGAAAAGCTGCTGATAAACCCATTTATTACCGTTTATACAGGACTGATGCTTTGTCCTTCTGTGCTCCTCGATCCGAGCGATTTAATTACTGAAGCGGAGAATGGGGATGACCTGAAAATGAAAATGTACTCAAATGATCGCTATAAGAAGCAAATCAGTGCCAGCATACATATGTAAGGAAATTATTTTTACTGGTATTTTACTGAAATTATATAATAATTTTCATAAAATAAAAGCCAAAACTTGTTTTCGAGTACTAAGAACTGTTTAGTCAGCTATTCCATATAAAAGAAACCCGGAAATAGGAGATATAAATACCCATAGAAAAAAGCACTGAAATTTTAATTTATCACTTAGATTTAAAAATTTGTGCCATTGATTTTCATCCAAGAGCGGTTGTAATAAAACTGAACATTTTTCACTTACATTTTGATCTTAATATGAAAATATTTGTTTTAAAAAAAATTCATATTTAACTGAAATATATTTCATATTTACATTGAGTATGTTTCATAGTTAAATTTATTATGTTAAACTACAAGTTTAATATATTATATTAATTTTATTGTTTTTTGTATTAAGATTAAATATGACAGTATTAAAAAGCCTTTTTAATACATTTATATTTGAATCAAAGCGAATTCTATTTCATTTTACTATATTTGTATTAAAAAATTACATATTTAATTCAAATATTAGTGCAGTTCTTTTTACTTTGCGGTTTTTTTATCAGTGTACTTTATGGAGTAGACTTGTATTATCTCTAATTTGAATTTCCAGAGATATGTATGCAGGAGATGTTGTGCCAACGCTATCGATGAGGAACATGAAATTAATTTGCATTCTAAGGAAACTGAAGATATTGATAGATCGGTGGAACACTGTAACATGCAAATTCTGGCCTCTAAAGATTACCAAATGTTCTACCCAAACTTTCGAGAGATTCTACACTGGAAACCTCGAGGAACATCTTGTGGTTTGTTGTCTACCCATCACATGTCTCACACTGAATCAGAGTCGAGTGTTGCTGGCGAACAGCAATTAATAAAGTATCAGAAAATAATTAGAGCGAATGGCAGGAGCAAAGAGAAACATGAGCACCCGATAAAGACATGGAAATAGAAACGAGAAACAGTTTTTTTTTCTGTTGTTATCAATCAAACAATAGACGACGTTTCGTTCCATATCAAATGTTTATAAAGACATCACTACCCGCTCCGACCCTCGGTGTTTCGTATGGGTGATGGCCGTCTCTTTTTGCCGGTTTTGGCGAATTGAATTACAAAATAAACTTCAATCGAATGCAAGGCGATAAGGAATTTCTTTTCGTATAGCCAAATCGGGGCAAAAGCGGTTGTCCCCGTATCGCGGTGCTCGTATTTTCAAATCGACAGTCGCCCGGGACTGCAGTCAATCGAGAGAGCTGCTCAAATTATCAGCACAAAGTTCCACTTACCAATTAAGGAATAAGGAAAAAAGGTTTGCACGTCCCCAAATCATATCATCATAAGTAGCTAAGGGTGGGTGACACATTCGCGGCTTCCACGGAAATTTCTTTAGTTCCTAATACGGGCATTTACGGCGGTGTGGTGTTCTGTGTGTTGGCAGGGGCCAGAGGTGTGAAAACATATAAAAACGGTTACAGATTAGAACCGAAATTTAGTATAAAAACCAACGTTTTGGACTGAAGCTAATAAGTCTGTAAATAATTCAAGTTAATTATCCTTATAAGAGGATAATAATACTTCTGTGATCTGTGCGCCGTTTGGTTTTCCCTGTTCATAAAAATAAAGGTACTAAGTATTGTCCACCGGTGTCGTAATATTATCGATTTGGCCTGTGTCAGTGTGTGTTTGTGTGTGTGTTCCAATAACTGACATGTGACCTGATTTATGATTTGCCTTCATTAAATAGCGATTGGGCTTGATAATTGCCTAATCAATGAAAGTTCGGTAATTACCCCGATTGCAAATAAAGCCCTATAATATTATATTACTCATGATTCGCATGAATTTATCTATGAAACGATATGTTATATTAATATATAATATTTTATATATGCCTGCCCGCATATCGATGCGCTTACACTTACGTTTGAGTGTTCTTCTCTATCATAAATTGCACTAAATGTTTCTTGATTCTGAGAAAACACTTGACAAAAGGTAGAATGACTGTGTGACAGCCTAGATACTCGTATAGATTAGAGCCAGAGCGGGTTTTATTGGAGGTTTTATTAGGAACTAAAAGATTTCTGATATGCCCCTTTTTATTAATTTTTTTCTGCACTGATTCCACAATATTATCTCAACATACTTTGATGGTTGCCGACACAGTAATCCTTAAATAATTATAATAAAATATGCAAAAGAAGATATCTGCTGTCACTGTTCAAACATAAATTCTCAATGGGTTGGGTTTCAATTTCTCGCGCCTCAAAACAAACAGCAATTGGCGCCACCTATGTGTGATTAGGCGTTGATAACCGTTATAAAAACTTGACGAAACTTGCCTTTTTAGTGTTACCATACCCTTATCAGGGTAAGATTATTTTTGCACGAAATTTTAAATTTATTGACAGAAATTAACGCGATAATCTTCGACAGGTCGAACATGTCTGCGGCAACCAATGGACACGATGAGGCTACGCCTGCTCCTGCTAGCAATTTGCCCGAATGGCTGTCAAAAATCACACTAGAGAAGGCAGTGCGGGCACAGATCGGAGACTTTGAGAAGATCATCGCTGTGACGCCACAGCAGGGCAGCAGTGAGGGCGAGAACTACTCCTCCCTATTCCTCCGACTGCTGGTGGATGTGGAGTTGTTTGGTAAGTGTCTTACGACCCATTACAATCTGAGAATATGCTGATCCTTTTGATCTTCCAGATCACACCACCAAGAGTCTGTCCTTTGTGCTTAAGGCACAGCCCAGCAACGAGGTGTTGGCCGCCATTCTGGGCAGGCTGAAGCTCTTCCACAAGGAGGACCTGATGTATCACTCGATTCTACCAAAGTTCGAGCAGCTCTACGCGGATGCCGGCAAGCCCATTCAGTTTGCCCCCAAGGCCTTCAAGGTGGACCGCGATCTGGGCGTGGACTACATCCTGCTGGAGGATTTGCAGAAGAAGAACTTCAAGAATGCCAATCGCCTGGCAGGTCTGGACTTGATTCACATGCAGAGGGTGCTGGAGAAGCTGGCCGCCTTCCATGCGGCCTCCGCCTGCTATGTGGAGCATCATGGCTTCTTCGGGGAAGAGTTCACCGTGGGAGTGTTCAGCGAGGCCAATCGACAGCTCTTGCAGGAATTCAATGCCTCTGGTGCCTTTCTGGCACAGCTCAAGAAATGGAAGAACGCTCAAAAGATATACGAAAAGTTGGTGGGTTTACAGATGGATTTCCCCAGCAATTAACAAGAGATATTTAATTTAATTTTTCTGGTCTGATTTACAGGCTGATAGTGACAATTATTTGGTGGATCGTCTGCTGCAGGATCAGCAGTTCAATGCCAGGGAATTCAATGTCCTGAACCATGGCGATTGCTGGGCGAACAATATAATGTTCCAGCACGATGCCTTTGGCACCATCAAGGAGACTCTTTTCGTTGACTTTCAAGTGGGAAAGTACGGCAGTCCGGTGGGCATAAAATATTAATTTGCATGTCTGAAAAGTTTCTTATATGTATCCTTTTCCCCCCTTAGGCCAATGATCTGTATTATCTTATCTTGTCTTCGGCTGCCCCAGAGCTAAAGACTGCCAAGTTCGACTATCTGGTGCGTTTCTATTTCGATAATCTAATCGAAAACCTGAAGCTACTGCAATACCATCGACCCCTGCCCAAGCTAAAGAACCTCCATGCAGCCCTCTTCCGCAATGGTTTGGCTGGTGAGTAAATCAAATGGATTTCTCTCCTACTCATTTGCTAATACAACTTCTGTAGCCTACATGGTGGTATCCAAAGTGCTGCCTGTGGTCATGCTGGACAAGTCAAACAATGACAATCTGGAGAGCTATCTGAATGATGAGTCCAAAATGAAGGTTGCCATGTTTACGAACCCCAAATACGTGCAAGTGATGACGGAGTTGCTGCCATGGTTGGATAATCGCGGCCTGCTCGACTGGAAATGATGATTATATTTTGGGGCCAAAATTTCGTCTCCTAATCATGTATATTTTATAGCAATTCAGTCACAAATTGTACAATTTTTGACAATCAAATACAATGGGGCTACAAAATACATAAATGATTTATATTTTTCAACCATATTTCCATTGCCCCTCAACGAGGGTTGTATGAACCTATTCGATCCCTGCTATCCCTGCCATTAATGTCCATTAATCCATTTGACACAATCTTCATGTAGGCTTTTTAGTCTGTTTCAAAATTCTTTTAGATTTGTTTACTGTATCCTTTCAGTTAGAAGTGTATTTTTTGTTTAGCTCGTTACATACAAAATTTAGTGAAAAAAAAAATAAAACAAATTCCAAGTGCAATGAAGAGCCAAAGAATGCCCGAATGGGTGAATGCCCTATCGCTGAATAATGCGATTCATGCCAGCCTGGAGGATGGTGAAAGGATCCTGGACGTTACGCCCGCCACTGAAGATGTGCAGTTCCGCAACTGCACCGTTCTGCTGCCCGTCCGTGCGAAGGTTCTCATGCGGGATCAGACCCTGCGGAAGATCTCGTTCATGCTGAAGGCGCAGCATTGCAGCAAGTTTCAGGCCAAGATTATGTCCCACCTGAAGCTGTTCTTTCGGGAGCACCAGATGTACCACAACATTTTGCCCAAGTTCGAGCAGCTTTACCAAGCGGTGGGCAAGAAGGTGACGCTGGGTCCGCGTGCCTTCAAGCTGGACAATAGCATCAAGGTGCACTATATTCTGATGGAGGATCTCAAGGCGAAAGGCTTCAAGAACGTGAGTCGGGAGGAGGGCTTCGATATAGTCTGTCTTAGGGCGGTACTGAAGAAACTCGCCGAATTCCATGCCGCCTCGGCTGCCTATGTGGAGTGCCACGGCATGTTTGGCAAACTGGTGGCCGAAGGGGTATACACGCGGAACAACAGGCTCATACTGAATAAACTGAACGATGCGGACCCATTTCTGTCGCAGCTCAGGCGCTCGAGTCTGGGCGGACGTTTCCACAAGCGACTCGTCAGCAAGGAGCGTGTCCTGGTGGATCGCATGCTTGACCTACATAGCCAAAGCCCACATTCAACGGACTTTAATGTGCTCAATCACTGCGATGGATGGGTGAACAATGTGATGGTGAAGTTCGATACTTTTGGCAATGTGGAGGATACGGCTCTGATTGACTATCAGGTGGTCAAGTATGGATCTCCGGTTGGTATTCTTTCCACCTATTTTATACCTAAAACTCATTCAATATTCCTCCCCTTTAGGCACACGATTTGTTCTATACCATACTCTCCTCCGCCCAAATGGAGATCAAGCTGGATAAATTTGATCATTTCGTGCAGTATTACTATTACCATCTGATGGATAGTCTCAAGACTCTCAACTACAGCAATCGTTCGCCGCAGCTCAAGAACATACGCGATGGACTGCAGAAAAATGGTTTGGCAGGTGAGAGACATTCCATGAGATTTTATATTCTATTGATCGTCCCAATGCCTCCCTTGCTGTAGCATATGTGGTGGTCACACGGGTATTGCCCATTGCCATGATGAGTCAAAGCGAGGACGAGGTCACCGATCGATATGCAATCAAACTAAGAGGTTCCATGGTGAATCGCAAGTACAGCAAGGCCATAGGTGACATTCTGCCCTGGATGGATGAGCGCGGACTGCTCAATTGGTGTTAGATCTCGTTTATTTCTACAAAATGTACTATGTATCAATGTATTGTAAACACAAATAGAAATACTAACCATAATTATTTCTTCATTGCTCCTATCATTATGAGGTTTCATGGCACGACGCTGTTACTATTCGATTATTTTTGCATTATTTCAAACATTTTATGTCGATTTACTCATATGTACGTACGAGTCAAGTGGTAAGGAAACCTAATCTCTGACGACACAACAATCTAAATTGATAATAGATTTTCTGTTGTTTTTGTATTTGTTTTTATAAATCAGGCCCACCAGAAATTGGAATCGCACGCGCCATAGCGTCAATTGTACCAATGTGGGATGACGAGACGCATTCTCGATTCATACATTCATTCAGTCATTCATTTCCCCATTTTCATTTCCCATTTAGCTACTCTTCTATATCGAGTATATACATATATGTATGTATGTAGATCTATTTACAGACGATTGATCATTCGCCTGGCAGTGACAGTGGACCACAAAGTGTTTCGAATTTTAATTAATTTGTTTGTACAACAAATACAATATGGTACTTTGTTCTTTTGTCAACATGTGTGTTCTGTGGGAATACATGGAGCGCATACATACATGCAAAGAATATTTAATCAAACATTCAATAGCTGTACGAGTAAACCTATAATTATATAAATGCACGAGTAGAATTAGTTGCATGTTTCGATCAGATTTGTCTATGTCATAATGATGATAAGGTATTCGCGGATTGCCATAAAACCTGTTCTGATAAAATTTCACCGCATATGGGAAATGGAAACGGATGGAACAGAATCACTTATAATATTCTTTATCGAAGCATTCCCAAGTTATATACATATTAAAACACACATTAAAGCGCGTTCATTTATTGTTTGTCTTTTCGCAGAACCACAGCAGAAGATTCGCCATCCCGCCACGAGTTGTTTTTTATATAATAAATTAAACTGTTGCTTTTTTTTTTGGTCAGAAATCAGTGAAATAATGTCAGAAAAACCCGTAAATCCCAATGAATACCTGGATATACCAAAGTGGGTGAATGAGGATTGCTTCCTGCCCATTCTCGAAAAGGATGTGAAGGGCTTTGATAAGATTAGCAGCTTCACACCCATTGCGGCCACGGCCGCAGCTTCACAGTATATATTGATATACTGCTGAAAGGTAAGTTTTTCCGTACAAAAGAACTCCCATTTCCAATGTTCTTGCAGACGGAAGCGAGCAAAAGATATCGTATATACTGAACACCCAGCTGGATGCCAACAAGGGGGGCGCCAAAGTGCGTGCACATTGGACAGACGCCGGAGAGCATCACACTGGTCTTTGAGGATCTGAGTCGTCAGAATTTTAAGAATGCCGATCGTCTGAAGGGTTTCGATATGGCCCAGATGCGCTGCGTGCTACGGAAATTGGCAGAACTCCATGCGGCCTCGGCGGTCAATCGTCAATCGAGGTTTTATGAATCCTTTTTTAATGAAGAAAATAGGGAGATTTCCGTGTTCAGTGAGATCCGTGAGCCACAATACAAGAAAGCCATGCTCGAGTGGGGCATTCCCGATGTGGATAGATAAATCAAGAAATCCCTGACAGACTCACAGTACTTTGATGCGGCGCTAAGGCTAAGCAAAGTGGACGAAAGCGACTTCAATGTGCTGAACCACGGAGACTACTGGTCCAACAATATCATGTTCAATTACAAGGAGAATGGGGAGATTGACAGACAGATTGACAAATGGGGCTCTCCCGCACAGGATCTTTGGTACATGATCACTGGACATCAAAGTCAAGGAATTCGATCATTTCATTCGGCTCTATCATGATCGTCTGGCCGAGTGCCTGGATATGCTTAATTACTCGAGGCCCATTCCCTCTTTGAGAAATATTCAAACGCAGATGTTGAAGTACGGTTTCTGGGGTGAGTCTTCAAAGGGGTTCTCTATGAATAGCTCTATGATTAATCTGTTACTTTTGTAGGTCCCCTTACGGCAAGTGACGGTGATCATTCTCTATCCCTCGGATAAGGACTTCAACATGGATATGCTAATGGGTGTCGGACCGGAGTCTGATGCTCTACGAGACAAAAGCTTCAAAAATCCCTACTACGTCAAGGCAATGAGGCAGTTGCTGCCGTTCTTCGATAACAAGGGTCTGCTGGATTTGGAGTAGTATATGGATATAGGATATATACTTATATATACTGTTTAGCTATAGATTCTACCTCTCGCTATATATTGTTCTCGTCAGGCTTTGATTTAAAATATGATTAAAGGAATTTATAATTGAAATCGAACAAAAGTCGAAGGTGTGATTCTATCCTGAGTCCTTTGTCTACGACACAAATATGTGTTCTATTATTAGATAAAGGAAATGATTATATGGCTGTGATTATATTGTTGCACTTTGTTTCGCCTACCCCCACTCCCCACTCAATTTTGTGGGTGTGTGTGTGCGGCGGCGTCTGTCCAAACAAACAAAAAACCAGTTTACGCTATCAGCACACACACTTCCGTAGTTCCATACACTTGTCGCGCTCTGGGGCTTACGGTACATAAGTGTGTGCCCCACCGTGCTGGAAGCTCAGTATTTGTTTGTCGTTAGAAATCGTCGGACAACCCAGCAGCAGCAGCAGCAGCAACACAGCAACCCAAGCAGTTCGTTCTCCCTCCCAGCGGGCATCCCCATTCATCAAACATTCAAATTGGAAATTTAGAAAAGTCGGTCAGTAATAAATCACAATAAAAGCGAAATTTAAGTGAAATGCTAAAAGAGATTTGCCAGCCTCTCAAGAGGTGATCCTCTCAAGAATATGCTACATGTGACTGCCTTTTGCCATATCTGAACTGAATGAAATTATAGTAAATTGTGCGCAACTGAAAGATAACCCAAACACCGTCTAAAGTTAGATAAGTTTCCTCGTTAGACAGTGTAAAGTGGCCCACTCATCATGACGCCACACTTTTTAAACATTAAAATAGGAAATGCTTTAGCATTGCTTAATTGTTTTGATCTTGGACCCACGATTCTGATCGTTTCCGATCTCTGATCTCTGATCTCTTGATTTCAGTGCCCGTGCCCACAATATGTCGCCCAACAGCAGCTCAGAGAAGCCGTTGAATCCCAACGAGCACCTGACCATACCCAAGTGGGTGAACGAGGATTACTTCTTGCCAATCCTCGAAAAGGATGTGAATGGCTTCGATAAGATTATCAGCTTCACACCCATAGCGGCCACGGCACCAGGGGAAAATTATACTTCCGTGATGATCCGAGTGCACATCGATGTGTTGCTGAAGGGTGAGTAGTCCCGTGCGAAAATCTCTTCGGAATGCCCCGTTTGTTTATCCCCAAAACCCAAACCCACCTTAGACGGCAGCAGGCAGGAACTGTCGTACATCTTGAAGACGATGCTGGAGTCCAGCGAGGGCGCGGATGCCATCAATATGATGGGTCTGTTCCCCAAGGAGAAGCAAATGTACGAAGTGCATATACCCCAGTTTGTGCAGCTCTACAAGGAGGCGGGTGTGGACATTGAGCTGGCGCCAAAGTGTCTGCTCGTCGATCAGACGGCCGAGGCCATCAGCCTGGTCTTTGAGGATCTGAGTCGGCAGAAGTTTGTGAACTGCGATCGCCTCAAAGGCTTCGACATGGAGCATATGCGTTGTGTGCTCCGAAAGTTGGCCGAATTACATGCCGCTTCGGTGCTGGTGTACGACCTTAACGGCCCCTACGACGAGCAGTACAACAAATCCATGTACAATGAGGATAGTCGTCCGCTATTCGAGAAAATGGGTGAGATGCGTCAGGCGCAGTACATCAGTGCCATGCGCCAGTGGGGCCTCAATGATGCCGAGAAATACATTGAAAAGTATTGGACTGGCGCTGAGTTTTTCGATCTGGCACTGCAAGTCAATAAGGTGGATGAGAGCGACTTCAATGTGCTGAACCACGGCGACTGCTGGTCCAACAACATAATGTTTAACTACAAGGATAACGGCGAAGTGGACAGAACAATCTTTGTGGATCTGCAGATTGGCAAATGGGGCTCGCCCGCACAGGATCTTTGGTATTTGATCTGCACATCCGCCCAGCTGGATATCAAGGTCAAGGAATTCGATCATTTCATTCAGATCTATCACGAACGTCTGGCCGAGTGCTTAAAACTGCTCAATTACTCCAAGCCCATTCCCTCGCTGAGGGATCTCCACATTATGATGCTCAAGTATGGCTTCTGGGGTGAGTTTGTGAAGCGTCTCTCGTTTGACTTCTCCGTTCTAAACTCTCATTTTTCTTTGCAGGACCCCTAACCGCCAACGGTGTGATGGTGGCCACCCTCATGCCCTCCGATAAGGATTCAAATGTCAATACTATGATGGATCCTGGTCCAAAAGGCGATGCCATGCGCACAAAAACATTCACCAATGTCTACTATGTGGAGGCCATGAGGCTGTTGCTTCCATTCTTCGAATTGAAGGGCCTTTTGAAGGAGTAGTTCTAGTATGTTTCCTTCTTGTTAGTATTAACCCACCTAATCTGTTGTGATATTATAAACTATATCATAGGAATGTGCAATAAATAAGAAATTCTATTTAATTAAACGAAATATTTGTTCGCTTCCCATTGATGAACTCAGTAAATGGCTGAACTTTGGACTTTTGGCAAGTTTCACTCGTAAACAAATCATCATGACTGGCTGAAAATGAAAACACGCAAAAGACGAGTTTGCTTAGCTTTGGGGTAATAGGGCTGATAGAGAGGCTGGGTTGATGGGTTTTAATTACGTAAAAAATACAACAAATTAGGTACGCCTCCAGTTATTTGTTATTAGTTTTTAGTTTCAGTTATATTTTTGTTATCTTTAGTTCAGCAATCAATAAAGAAATCTTTTGAGAAACTTTACAACTGATTGAACAAGACCGACCACAGAATTGTCTCCACACTTGTCAATCATGGTTGAGAGCACTGGTCAACCACATTTCTATATTTTTTCTCTGAGAAATAATTACCCACTTGTCATGATAATGAATGACATATGATGGCATTCGTCGACTGTTATGTATGCTCTTATGGGGTGGGTGGGCAGATCTTTAATTAGGAACACGCAAATAATTCTCATTCAGGGAGTGACTGAAATCAGCAATTCAAATGAGATGCCAACAGTCTGATAACTTTTTTTGAATTATCTCTTTTTTAATGTGTTGCGTAGTCAGAAAATTCTTTAAATTGTAGGGTGGGTTCCATAAAGCAGATAAAGAATATGAACATATATTACATAGTTCCAGATTCCACATACGATATAAGTCAACATTTAAGAGGTTCTTTTTTGCATACAAAATAATTTAGCAAAATTTAACATTTTTTCTTGAAAGTTTAATTATTTGCAAGCAAAAGATAATTTTAAAGATCATCTTGGCTGAAAGGAACACATAGAAACACAACACTTTAGGTATTTTTAAAGTAACCCAATTTCTCCCAGCGGGGCAATAATATGGTGACATCTTTGACATAACCCTCCAAAAACGAGGAATTTCTACGGATCTCCTCGTTCTGTAATAGTTCACCGAAATCGGTGGCCTTCTCCCTAAGGGCCCACATTAATGGCAGGAATGTGCTTAGCAGGAAAAAGTCTGAAAGGATGTGGGGATATAGGGATTGTATACCTAGGAATCGGAGCCACAAACTTACGAGAGTTTTTACGTTGATGGAATCGCTGCCAGAGTCCAGCTTCCGTGGGCATTTCTCCTTTATATCCGATCTTCTTCAGAGTTTCAACCAAAACGGAGAAGTAATGCTTGAGCAGCTCCTCCCAATGATCCCTTCGTTGTTGTGGCTCCAACAGCATATATATCGAGTAGATCAAATCATTGGTCATGGGGGAAATATTGCACATTTGAAAGTCCAACAGCATGACGTCCTCGAATACTCCTGTCTCCTTTTTGTGCTTGAACATCATATTACGTAGATGGAAATCTCCATGGCTGAGGACGTAATACTGATCTGGTTTCGGGTTCTGACGCATTTGCGTCCACTCATCCTTCAGTCGCTGTAGCAGGTCGCCCTTTATGCTCTCAAAGTATGCCTTGTACTTTCGCAGTTCGGGCTCTTTCTCTAGCAGTTCCAGAAAGAATGTCATCCCAGTGCCAATGAATGGTTCTTCCAACACCTTGGGCATATCAAACAGACCGTTGGTGTAGCCTTTGAGTATTGTGGGTTGCTATCAGAAAGAGAATCTTAGTCACAGTTTGAAGATCGATTTCCATTGGGTCTTACCTCGTGCTGGACTTTAATACTCGCCGCATGCAATTTTGCCAGTTTGGAGTAGACGCAACGCACCTCGTCGAGGTTTACCTCACGATCTCGTATCACAACGAAGCCCATCTCCACCAGATCCTCGAAGATCATCACCTGACGCGGCTTCAGACTGTGATAGATGCAGTCCACATAGAGTTTATCATCGTCCCCCGCCTGCCGGAGTATCCTCTCGAATTCTGGCAGTACTGTGCCGTACATTCCAATCTCCGTTTGGAAGATTGGCGACTCGCCCAGCATATCCTTCTTGTGACCCTCTTGCTCCGGCATTGTTTTGATGATTAGCGACTTGGTGGCGGCTCCTTTTCGAGTGGTGTACTCCACTTTGGCGCGAAACATGACGCTGGCATAGTGGTCGCCCTTGGCGCTGGCTGGAGAAAATTGTAGTCCGGTGACCTTTAGTTCGGCAGCCTTTTCATGCTCGCTCAGAACTTTTGTGATAAACTCAACATTCAGCCATTCAGGTGCAACCAGTTCGTCGGCATTGAAGTCATTAATACTCGTATCTGGATTTCCCGACATTTTTCTAATCGGGAGTACTGCTGGCCAAAAGTTCTACTAGTTTGTTAAACCAACTAACTGAACGAAGTTACTCCAAATTACACTTTATATGCTTTCGGAGAGAGCAAAACATTTTCAATGCGTAATGAAATTGTGGAAGCTTTCGCAGAGCTTTGAGTGTATGCGATTAAAATACAAAAAGAGATAAGAACTCTCTCGCTGGCAAGAGATCGTTGCTCGCTCTCCATGTTTAAGGTTGCCATAGAAACTAACTTAAGATTTGTTTACACTCCATTCATCATTTAATACCAACATTATGGTCCAGCCACTCGGGTGCTACCAATTCGTCGGCATTGAAATCCTTATTTTCAGCCATTCTGATGGTCCACTGCATTGATTTCCAAATTGCGGAAGCAATTTCTATTTATTTTGTAAACGATTGCTGGTGTAAGTATTTCTTGAGTTGCGAAAACATTTCATTTGAAATCTTATCTAAAGTTGAAAGAGGTTTTTAGTTCTCCATTTGTAACACTCAATAATCGAATTAAACCCAAAGCTCTCTCCCCCTTTCTCTCGGGAAGCTCTCATATGGCTATAACAAAAGCTCCAATAGATATGAATATTTTCCTATAAATAAAGAAAAAGAAATCACTGTGAGTAAAACTTCCAACAGGAAAGCTGGTAAATGGCAGAAGAGATCAAAAATCCCAATGAACACTTGGACATACCCAAGTGGATAGAAGAGGGGTACTTTTTGCCTGTCCTGCAAAAGGATGAGCCTGAGTATGCGAAAATTCTCAGCTTTAAGCCGGTGGCAGCCATACCACCGGGCGAGAATTTCACCTCCATCATGCTGCGTATTCATTTGAAACTACAGTTGAAGGGTAAGCAAGCCACAGACACTCGTATGGGATATGATATAACCAGAACTATGATCCTCTGGGGGGGTTACAATAGATGGCAGCACCAAGCCCAAGACATACATCTTCAAGACAATGCTGGCAGAGGAGCGTGGTGGCAAGGAGATCCGCGAATGTGGCATCTTTGACAAGGAGTTGCAGATGTATCAGACATTTTTGCCCGCCTTCGAGGCTCTCTATAAGACAGCCGGCGAGGATATTGCGCTAGCACCCAAGTGCCTGTTTGCAGAGCAGCGTGGGGAGAGCATTAACTTTGTGTTTGAGGATCTGGCCGTGAAGAAGTTCAAGAATGTCGATCGCATTCGCGGCCTGGACCTGCCACACATGCAGCGCGCGCTGCATAAATTGGCAGAGTTCCATGCAGCTGCATCAGTCTATGTGGAGCAGCAGGGTCCTCTGCCCGCAGAGTTCAATGAAGGATTCATTGCCGAAAATCAACTGTCTCAGCAGGTGCATGGTTGGGCGGTGAAATCGGAATCCTTTCTAAAGGCCATGGCCGGTTGGGGACTGGAGGATCAGGAGCAGTATACAAAAAGTTTTGTAAGTCACAGAAATGTCTTCTATTCTGTAAAGTGTCCATAAATTGTTGTGTTGTGAGCATCCATTCTCTCTCCCCTTTCAGCCAACTGCCAAGCAGTATGGAAAAGTGTGTGCTAGTAATTTGACTGTGGATCCTTTGGACTTTAATACCCTCACCCATGGTGACTTCTGGTCCAGCAATCTGATGAGCAACTATCGCGAAAATAACCAGATCGATGAGCTCATTATGGTGGATTTTCAGCTCTGCAAGTGGGGCAGTCCTGCGCAGGATCTGCTGTTCTTCATCACTCTTTCAGCGGCCAACGACATTAAGCTCAAGGAGTTCGACTACTTCATTAGGATCTACTGGGAGCGTCTCGTGGAGTGCTTAAAGTTACTCAAATACCAAAAGAAATTGCCCACATTGCGTGATCTTCAAACTTCTTTGTACAAAAAGCACAACACCTTCTACGGTACGTTTAGAAATTAATTTCGCTTTAAAAACTAAACATGAAAGTGGGTTTTCTTTAACAGCTGTCATGGCGGTGTTCAATCATCTGCCTGTCATCAAATTTCCCACGGACAAGGATTCCAATTTGCATAGCTTGATGCGCGAGGATGAGGAGGGGCACAAGTTCCGTCTCCGTTTGTTTACAAATCCCTCATATGTGGAGGCTATGAAGGATCTGTATCCATTTTTCTATAATCGTGGCATTTTTAACTTTAATGATTTCTATTAAAAAACGAGAAGGAACGTGTGAGTCGCTTCTGGGGACTCGACTCTACTTATACCCGTACTCAGTCAGCATATACATTTTTGAGCATATAATTATTTAGAATTAAAAAAAAAAAACATTTTACATTTTACATTTTTTTGCTACATCTGTTATCTACATCTACATATACTATGTATATTATACATCTAACATGTATATTCTACATGTACCATTTAGATTCTACATCTCCTCCGCTTGGGGTTGCTCGCGCACTGAATGCGGCAGAGTGAGAAGGAAAATGAGTTGCATGGTCGTTGGCAGGAGGGGGCAGGGGAAGCAACAGAAAATTAATTTCTTCATTCTGGCTATAATTATGATCCGATCTAGTTCAGATTTGGCAATCTGGTAGATATGGGCATTCTCTACGATACTGCGTTTTTAGTTTTATCGTATCTTTAAAGTTGTGCCTGCCACAGATTTTCGTCCTTTGTGGGGGCGGAAGGGGGCGGGGCGAAATTCTGAAATACACTTGTAGCAGTGTGATATCACATAATGCTTGAAACCAAATTTGGTTTCTCTAGCTCTTATAGTCTCTGAGATCCAGGCGCTCATCGAGACGGACAGACGGACGGACGGACGGACGGACGGACAGACAGACATGGCTATATCGACTCGGCTATTGATGCTGATCAAGAATATATATACTTTATGGGGTCGGAAACGTTTCCTTCTCTGCGTTACACACATCCACTTTTACCACAAATCTAATATACCCCTTAACTCTTTTTTGAGTACGGGTATAATAAATTACTGAAGGTAATGGTTACTCATACATAAAAATCCAATTCAAATCAAATCAGTTCCGATCTATAGAACATCGCTGCTAAAACTTACTCAGCGCCTTTTTTCACCTGCTAATGATAGATAGTATGTGATGTATGGTGACGTCTTAAGGCCCGGCCCACACTGGCACTATCATTATGACGGTGCCAAAAACTAAACTGCGAAAAAACACACAAAACTGAAGTCGTAGCCAGCCCCCAAAATGTACTCTGACAAAGCAGGTTTCACACGCAATCCACACGATCGCAAACAAGAATTAAATTTGTATATTTCTAGTCATGCGTGTGTCGTTTCAATAAAACTTTTGAGTGGGGCTCTATGGGGGTACACTATCTCAGAAATGTATATATATTTTATTGAGAACCTATTTCCTCTGGCAACACAGTATTGAATTTCTACAATCGACAAGGAAATATTTTCTACTACAAATTCATGTACGTGCTATCAATAATGTACGAGTATTTGATATAGATTGCACCAATATCATGACCAAACACTGATTAGTTTTTAGGTATTTCTATGCCTATCTTTAGATTCATAATTGATATTAGCAAGGCCCAAGAGGCGAATGCAAATACACTTGGAAAAATAAAGATTTTACTGATTTAGTGTAGAGAATAAAGCGTTTATTCTTCCATAATTACTATAACTATATTTTACAGCAATTCTATCCCAATAGATCCGTGGATTAACTGCACCATTAAGAAGCCCATAGCCAACCGATGGGCGCTGCTGCATGTCGCAACAGCAACACTTAATTAATAAATCTAATGGCTTGTGCAATAAATTCTCCCCTTAGAGACTTGTCAACTCAGACAGCTGGACAAGCACTTGCCATAGCTATCTGTAAAATATAGTTACGATTATTTGCACCCCTCCCAGAGTATATGTACACAAAAGAGTCTCTTGACAAACGATGCAAATTAATACTTAAATTGTAAAAAGCAGAAAAGTCATCGTATAGATAAGATTGGCAAGATAGTTCTAATTTTTAGCTACACAAAAGAGCCGACTCACTGGAAGAGTATCGCTCATATGTATGAGCTAATTTTTTTGCTGCCGATAAGGGACAACAAAATCCAATAAAAAATTGTGCTCAGTGCCCCAGCAGCAATTGAAGAGAAAAGTCGTGCTGGAAGTGGAAAGAAGGAATATACGCTGCTACAATGAGTGAGGAAATAGTTAATCCCAATGAGCATCTGATCATTCCCGACTGGATCAATGAGAAGTACTTTACTGGAGTGCTGGCCAAAGATGAACCCAATCATGTGAAGATATTGAAGTTTACCAAAGTGGCGGCGATTCCCCCAGGGGAGAACTTTACCTCGACTATGATAAGGGTCTACATCGAATTGGAAATGAAGGGTGAGTTTAAAAGTACATAAAACCAGAACTTAAACTGATCGAAATAGTTTTATAATCCTCTTCAGATGGCAGTGTAAAAACCAAAACGTACATCTTCAAGACCATGCTGCCAGAGGAACGTGGCGGCAGTGACATCAATGACTTTGGCCTGTTCCCCAAAGAGGCCAAGATGTACGAGAAATATCTTCCTGCCTTCGAGGGGCTGTACAGGACTGCCGGCTGGAAGATACAACTGGCACCGCAGTGTCTCCACACGGAGGAGCGCGAGGGCAACATTCACTTCATTTTCGAGGATTTGTGCGTGAAGAGATTCCAGAATATCGATCGCACCAAGGGCCTGGACTTGGAGCACATGACGCGGGCGCTGCACAAGTTGGCCGAATACCATGCCGCCAGTGCGGTCTATGAGGAGCAGCATGGACCCTATCCCAGTGAATTCCTAGAGGGTTTCGTGACCTTGAAAGCATCAAAATTTCACATGGATGCATTTAAGTTAAAAGAGCCTGCCTTTAAGAAGGCCATGCTGACATGGGGCATGACAGATGCGGAGAAGTATGTCAAGGAATTTGTAAGTTTATGAAAATACCGAAAAGAAAAGTTCGCTTAAATGATTTTCTCCTTCCAGCCCACTGCAGATCAGTATTGGGCTCAATCATTGAGTTGCCTGGATGTGCTGCCAAATGATTTTAATGTGCTGAATCATGGCGACTTTTGGTCCAGCAATCTGATGAGCAATTATCTGCCAAGTGGCAAAATAGATGAGCTAATCCTAGTGGATTTTCAGATCGTTAAATGGGGCAATCCCGCGCAGGATCTGCTTTTCTTTATTATACTCTCGGCGGCCACAGACATTCGCATAAAGGAGTTTGATAACTTTGTGCGAATCTACTGGGATCGTCTGATCGAATGTCTCAAGGTTCTGAAGTTCAAGAAACCCATTCCCACACTGAGGGATATTCAGCGCTCCATGTATGCAAAGGAGAATTCATTTTATGGTACGTTTCTTAAGGATACCTTCTATCATATGATTGACATATCTTTCGCTCTCCCTCTACAGCCTTCTTTAGTTTGATGAATCACTTGCCAATCATATTGTTCCCCACCGATAAGGACAGCAATTTGCACACTATATCAGCAGAAACCGAAGAGGGCGAAAGTCTGCGATTGCGTCTTTTATCGAATCCTGCCTTTGGCAGTGTAATGAAGGATCTGTATCCCTTTCTTTATAATCGCGGGCTGCTTAACTTTGCTGATTACGATGTCTGATTGTTTTATGGAAACTAATTTGCTGGCAAATAAAATGTAGACTGTAGTAAACTGTTCGTAATGGGTTTTATTAATGTTATCTGTACGTGATGTGCTATCTTTACTGGATAAACTATGCTTTCCAGTCAGTCAACTTGAAGTTTCAGCCAAGATCAGTCAGAGATCAGCATCATGTCCACGATAGAGAACCCTAACGAGAGTCTGGTTATCCCCAAATGGTTAAACGAAGACAAGTTCCTGGCACTACTGGCCAAAGATGTGCCAAATTTTGGCAGAATTCTACAGTTTACACCTGTGGCTGCCATCCCGCCGGGCAGTAATTTCACCTCCATTCTGGTGCGCGTTTATCTGCACTTGGAACTAAATGGTAAGATGAGTTATTGCAACTGCAGCATCAAGGATTTTAAACCCCCAAGCATCTCTTAGATGGCAGCCTTAAGAGCCAGAGCTATGTAGTCAAGAGCACCCTCGAATTTGACAAAGGTGGAAGGCTCGTAGAGGAGTTCCGATATTTCCAAAAGGAGCAGCAAATGTACTCCACTTATTTGCCCGCCTTTGAGCAGCTCTATCGCGAGGCTGGACATGCCATTCAGCTGGTGCCCAAGTGTTTGGAAATCGGCGAAATGGATGGCTATTTGTACTTCATATTTGAGGATCTGTCATCGCAGCAGTTCGTAACTGTGGATCGCAGCAAGGGCTTGGATATGCAACACATGAGCCTGAGTCTTCGTAAGCTGGCGAAGCTACATGCCGCCAGTGTGGTCTACGAGAATCGCCATGGATCCTATCCCATCGACTTTGAGCATGGCTTTGCCCATAAGGATAACACAGAGCATAGCAAACGGGGATTCGAAGCAAAGGTTAAGGAGTACACTGCAGCCATGCAGACCTGGGGAATCGAGGAGAGATATTTAAAGAATTTCGTATGTTTCTTAGCATCAAAAAGATGTCAGATCTCATGTATTTTCATCTCTATTTCAGCCCACTGCCGAGCAGTACATTGAAATGTGTTTGGATTCGCTGAGAACCGATGGCAATGACTTTAATGTACTCACTCATGGCGATTTTTGGTCCAGCAATATTCTCTTTAAATACAATTCGAATAACGACTTGGACAGCGCTCTCCTCTTGGACTTTCAGCACTGCAAATGGGGTAGTCCCGCGCAGGATTTGCTCTTCATCATCACCATTTCAGCAGGCAGGGAATTGCGTCTCAAGGAATATGAGAATTTTGTGCGAATCTATTGGGAACATCTCATCGATTGCTTGGGTATTCTGAGCTACAAGAAGCCACTGCCCCAACTGAGGGATCTGCATGCTGCGCTCTACAAAAAGAACAATACCTTTTATGGTGGGTTCTCCTCAAGGACTAAACAGTTGATTGCCTCTCTAGATGCACTTTCCTTTCAGCTTTCTTTGCGTTGATGAGCCATCTGTCTGCCGTTTTGCTGCCCAGCGACAGGAATACCAATCTGCACACACTCATGTCCCAGGACGAGGCAGGCAGAAGTCTGCGCACGCGTCTCTATACGAATCCCGCATTTGTGGAGGTCATCAGCGAGGTGTATCCCTTCTACTGCAAGCGGGGACTGTTCAACTTTGGCGACTACGAATGAATCGACATTCGTTGCAGTTGCCATTCTTTCCATTAAATAAATAAATGCGAATATTGAATCTGGTTTCAACAGGCTGCCCATCAATTGATACAAGAGCAGAGGCGGTACTTGAGCTTCTATTTGAACAGGGGCATCTCAACAGATGCTAGACAGACAGTAGAGATTGTAGGGTCTGGGAGATACGTCCATCAAAGAAGGAATAACATTTGCACCCCCTAACAGATAGAAGGGCTTCCTCCCTACCCATACCCTTCCGGTTATCAGGCATTCACATCATCAATGCGCTGATAAGACTGCGACTCCCCATCCCTATTCTCCCACACATACCTTAAATAAATATAGTAGAGGAGAGGGGAAAAGCTCTTTCAATTATCACAGTATCGCCTGTGTCTGTGTCTCGCGAGAGCGATGCGACTTTTGGGCCAAAACAAACCAGCAAACGAACGAAGCGATTCTCAGTTGACGAGCTGTTGACGAACCAGTTAGACGGGGCCGGGCAATTGGCATTGCCTGATAAGTGAGCGCTTACCTTGCCCCACCTGCCACCCTGCACACCCCACCCAAACAAAAACCGAAATAAGAAACAACATTCTCGATAAGAACAGGCAAAACAGAGCGCCACAAAAACAGTTGCACCCCACTGTTCGGTGCGAGAACAACACCAGCAGACAGCAGAGCCCCCCCGAAAGCAGAGTCAAGTGGAAATCTTTTATCAGAATGCCTGATAACAGCAATAAATTCTGCACTAGCCATAATGTGCGCATACCGGAGTGGGTCAACGAGTCGTACTTCAAGAAGCTGCTGAAACGTGAGCTGAGGGAATTTCGACGCATCTTGAATCTCTCAATTATACCGGCCACGCCTCCGGGCGAGACCTATACATCGCTGCTGATGCGCATTATCGTCGACATTGAAATGAAAGGTGAGAAAAAGGGGGTGGACTCTCGTTATTTGCACTAACAATTACCTCACTTCATTCACACACTGCCTGCCACACACAGACGGATTCTCACAGCAGAAATCGTACGTACTGAAGACCATGCTGGACGATGCCCAGGGCAATGGGTTCGTCAACACCCTGAATATCTTCCCGAAGGAGAAGCAAATGTACGATCTGATTATACCACAATTGGAGCAGCTGTACGAGCAGTCGGGCCTAACGGTGCAGTTTGCCCCGAAATGCCACTGGTCGGAGAATGTCAATGGTCGCATCTGCCTCGTCCAGGAGGATCTCAAAACGAAGAAATTTCGAAATATCAATCGTCTCAAGGGCTTTGATATGCCGCATATGAGAAGGGTGCTCGAGAAACTGGCGGAATTCCATGCGGCGAGCGCTGTGTGGCGACAGCGGAACGGCCCATTTCCGGAGGATTTCCAACGTACTTACCTGCCCGCCAACTACAACAAATCCAAGTCATATCAGGCCCGTGTCCAGAGCTACAAGGCGGCCATGGCCAAATGGGGTCTGGCGGAACATGAACAGTACGTGAGTCGCATTGTAAGTAGAGATCTATGGGATATTTATACACCAAAAGCAGATCGATCGATCAATAATGTTCGCTTTCGCTCAGCCCACAGCCGATCAATTTGTGCAGTCTGTGGCCCGTTGCTTCAACAGCAATCCCCAGGAGTTTAAAGTACTGAATCATGGGGACTTTTGGTCCAGTAACATAATGCTAAGCTATACCCAATCCGGGGAGATCAATCAACTGCGCTTTGTGGACTTTCAACTGTGCAAGTGGGGCAGTCCCTCGCAGGACCTGTGGGAGCTGATCATCTGTTCGGCCCACCATAGCATAAGGATCAAGCACTTTGATTGCTTCGTTAGGATCTATCACGCTTATCTGGTGCGCTGCCTGAAGATTCTCAACTACAACGAACGGATGCCACTGCTAAGGGAGCTCCACATGAGCATGCTCAAGTATGGTTTCTGGGGTGAGTACAGGATCTAGGCCAAGGGATCTTTATGTTATGTTTTCATATACGCAACTCTTTTGCTTAGGTTACTTTACGACCTTTACCCATCTGGTGTTCATCCTTCTGCCCGTCGATACGGAGGCGAGTCTCCAGTCCCTAATGCAGGCGGACGAAGAGGGTGATCGCTTTCGCTCCAAGGTCTACACGAATCCCCTGTACGTCCGCTCTGTTCTCAGCATATTTCCCTTCCTCTATAGGCGTGGCATTTTAGACTTTTGAATGCGATTCTACTTAAATATCTTATATGTATATATATGTATATAATTCTACTGTATCTTGTGGAGTGACTTTGGCTATCTTAAAGATTTATCTTTTGTTTAGCTGCGGCAATGCTTGTCTATTATACTTTTTAAGAAAATAAGCCAAAGAAATCCAGTGGGTTTTTGTTTTTGTTTTCGTTAGTACGCGCGTTGCCTTCTTATCATTATACCCTATTGAAGGAGAGTCTTATGGAAATTCCAATAGAGTTGGATATAACTTTTTACAGAGACTGTCACAACAGCTGTTTGCATTTATATCATGTCAAAGCATTTCCAATTATTATCTTTGGAGCGAGAGCGCGTGTGATGTTTGAATAAAGCGAGGCAATAGTTCCGTTCCACAATGCGTATACGTTCCATATAACTGATCGCATGCCACCCACTTTTGTTGTTCCACACGCAAGCCAAAACACACTCACACCAAGGCACCAAAGTTTACTGTGAGCAGCAGAGCGCAAGGTGTTTTTATATTAGGTGAGGAAAAGAGCGAGCCCTTGTTTTTCATTGCCTCACCTCACGTATACTTAATAAATAAATAAAAATTAGGTCCAAGCATGCCAAGGTTTTTCGCCCAAATAGGCACCTCTACAAATGGACTTACCTTCTACTTAATGTACCCCCCGACGAATTTATCAACAGAGAGGGCGCTTCCACAGTCACATGTTCTGCCCACACACTCTCACTTTCATAGCTCCCTCAGACGGTCGCACCAGCTGCTTTGGAGTTTTTTTTTCTGTACGCGCAGCAGTCAGGTGACTTGGAAAAATAAAAGAAAAAATGGGAACCGGCACAAAGAACTACCTTGCACCCGAGTGGCTGACGGTGGAGTTCCTGCAGGATGTGCTCAAGGAGCACTTCAAGGAGGAGACGCTGACCGTCAGCGAGCTGCTGGTGAAGAGCGCCCAGGTGGGAGACACGGCGGTGGGCTTTGCCAGCGAAATGCACCGGGCCACCTTCAATCTGCAGCGAGGCGAAGCGGCCAAGAGCAAGTTCTCGGTGATCATCAAGGACCATCCGAAGGGACAAACAGGAGCCGTGGCCCAGCGCAGCAAGCTCTTTAAGCGCGAGATTCTCTCCTACAAGGAGGTGCTTCCGAGGGTGCAGGCTCTGCTGGAGTCCATTGGCGACAAGAGCAAGATTGCCCCCGCTTGCTACTACACAACGGAGTCGCCGGAACCGTTCCTCATCCTGGAGGATATGCAGATGAGCGGCTTTGAGAACTTCGAGCGGGGTCGTCTGCTGAACCTGGACTACGTGCTGCCCACCGTCGAGAAGATAGCCAAGCTACATGCCTGCAGTGCCGTCATAGCCAAGGAGAATCCCGAGGTCTTGGAGTTCTTCGATGAGGCACCCATTTCCCGGAATCCCGATCGGCGTGACTTCCTCACCTACTTCCCCGTGAACATTCGCTGCGTGGCGGAAGAGCTGGCCCACTGGAAGGGCTACGAGGAGATCACTGAAAAGACGTTCATTCTCGCCGAGAATGTGCTCCAAAGAGCTCTGGCCATGTTTGACGAGAGCGAGAAGGGTTTCCGTGTGTTCAACCTAACGGATCTGTGGATCAACAATCTCCTGTTTCACATCAACAACGAGACCAAGGAACCCGATGATGTGGTGACTGTGAGTAGAGTCATCGTTGAATCTTTCAGACTCTTAACTTTAGTATCCATTTATTCCCATAGTTGGATTACCAGTTGGCATATGTGGGTTCTCCGGCCATAGATCTCAACTACTTCCTCTACGGCTCTCTCAATGAGAATGTGCGCAAAGTGCACTTCAAGTACATTGTAAGGACGTACCATCAGGCGCTGAAGCAGACCCTGGAGAAGCTCAAATATCAAGGAAACATTCCCACACTCAAAGATATCCATATCGATCTTATCAACACCAGCCTGATGGGTGAGTATTTGCCACTGCTTCCTTCTTTTGGATCTTCCTTCTATGATCATCCTCTGTTGCAGGTGTTATTGGCGCCACTTGCCTCACGCCTCTAATATTCCGCGAAGGAGCTGGCTTTGAAAATTTGGAAGATCTCAACTCACGCACTGAGAGCGGTGATCAATTCCGACGGGAGAATGTGGAGAATCCCAAATATCGTGCCTTCTTGCAGCGCACCATCAAAGAGTTTGAGCTCTCTGGATTTTTGGATAAATAGGATGATCCGAAGAGGCAGAGAAAAGGAGGGAGCATTAATCGAACAATAGTATTCATACATTCAATCGTTCCAGCATTTGTTATAAGAAGAGCACAATCAATGTAAATGTTGTACAAATAATTTTCCAAAATCGTTTTAAATATATTTTAAAGTGTTTACAAGTTACGGCCAAAATACCGAGAAAAGATTACCAGTCGCAGTGGGAATCTTTCTATAAATGCAATAGAAATACTCGTAGGAGTAACCAATTTTCGATTATCACAAAAATGTTACACATTTTATTTACACACTTAACAACAATATTTTGGTGCTTAAAAGTAAAAGAAAAAAATCTCCGCAACGCGTGCACCAAATTGCGGTTTTTTTAAAGGATAGCAAACAATTTTGTCATTCTGTACAACGGAACATTTTATGATAGATTTTTTTTTTGTGTGAAAAATTGTTTTCTCAAAAAATTGCAATTTGTGTAAGTACATTTTTTGCTTTTGATTATCATTGTTTATTTTCGATGATTTCCTAAACATTAAATTCATTTAGTAAGCAGCGAAGCGCGCTGGTCTGCTAGTTTGTTATATAATGTTAACTTATCACTTCCTACTCTACTCCCTAATCATTTAGAGATAACCAAAACTTGACAATCAAGGTTCTTAAAGCAATTACGTATTCGTAATCTACAGATACTCAAAAGTCATTGATCAGAACCCCATGTGTTCGTTGCTTTGTTGCTGTTGCTGTTTTCCAATTGTTGTCTTTCCCTAAAGATCCTTAAAGTAACCCAATTGCTCGAATAGGGGCAGCAGTTTCCTTGCTTCTGCAACGTATATATCCATGAGGTAAGCCTTCTGGCGCGTTACCGGATCTTGGATAATTTCATTCATCTTGAAGGTATTAGCTTTAACGGCCAAAATCAAAGGCAGAAAAGTGGTAAGCAAGAAGAAGTCTGAAAGAAAAGATACAAAGCAGCTTTTAGCTCAACAATCAATCCCCCACTTAAAAGATCATCAAATACTAACCATAGATTTTGTGGCGATGGATCTGCTGCCAGAGCTTCTCCTGGGTTGGCATGTCGCCTTTGTATCCAATTTTTTTGAGAGTATCCACCAGAACGGTGAAGTAAGAGTTAATCATATCCTTGCCATGGCTCCAGCGCTGCTCTGGCTCCATCAGCATGTAGATGGCGTAGATCAAATCAATGCTGATGGGCACTATATTACAGATCTGGAAGTCCACCAGCATCACATCCTCCAACACCCCCGTCTCCTTGTTGTGCTTGAACATCATATTCCGCAGATGGAAGTCTCCGTGGCAAAGCACGTAATACCCATCAGATTGGGGATTTGTGCGATACTCAGTCAACACGGCCCGGGCGCGCTCCAGATAAGTGTCCTTTATTTTCTCAAAATGCGGCTTGTACTTCTTCAGATCGGGTACTTGGTCGAGCATATTAATGAAGTTTGCCATGCCACTGGTTACCATTGGATCCTTCATCAGCGTGGGTAAATCGAACAAGCCATATTTGAACTCATCGATAACCGCGGGATTCTCATTGTTAACTTTCATGCTGGCCGCGTTCCACTTGGCCAATTTGGATAAAGCGGCGTGCACTTCCTCCTCCCGAATCGGACGACCACGTACGACCGCGTATCCCTGCGGCACCAAATCCTCGAAGATCATTACCTGACGCGGCACGACGCTATGGAAAATGCAGGTCGCATATAACTTGGTATTATCTCCCGCCTGCTTCAATATCCTCTCAAACTCTGGTAGCGCCTTGGAGTACGTTCCGATCTCTGTTTCAAATATAAAGGAGTTCTTCAGCATGTCCTTCTTGTGGCCCTCCTCCTCGGGCATTGTCTTGACGATCAGTGGCTTGATGAACGTTCCCTTCCCGGTTGTGTACTCCACTTGGGTGCGGAACATGACACTCGCATAGTGATCTCCCTGAGCGCTCGCAGGGGATATTTTTAGATCGGTTACCTTCAGTTCTGGTGCATTTTCATAGGTGCTCAGAATTTTTTCCAAGTACTCAGCATTTAGCCACTCTGGGGGCACCAGCTCGTCGGCGTTAAACTGTTCCGTATCTAAGTTTTCAGGCATTTTGTTTGTTTCGCGGCAGCACAATCTAAACACTTGTTGGTAGAACTGTTCGGATGGATGGCAAACAAGTTGTACTCATGACAAATAATTCCGCTCTCATTTTAAGCAAGAATTTCGAGCTCTGCCAAAGCTTTGGCTGAGCTTTTTTTACAATGTCAACTTTCAGTTCTTTGTGAAATTCATTTCCCAATTTAATTTATCTTATCGTAGAGTAATGTACAGTCCTAAGGGGACTTTAATTATTGGCAATAGAGTAATGTACAGTCCCATTATCCTTTAATTAATGGGAACATCACTGGAAAAACGTAATTTAATGAATTAAATTAAATGAAACAAGAATTAGAGAACAGCTGGTAGAAATCAATACAGATGCCTATGCTTGTATTGCAAACAACGATTATGTTTGATTATCTTATAAATAGTATACTATACCCTTTAAAATGGTATTATAGTTCTGCCATAATGTTCGGAATAATCTGCGAGTATATTCCATCTAGTCGTTGCGTTTTGAAGATACTCGTATGTAGTTGAAAATTAACAAATTGTAACCCCATTTGATCCCCTAAAATCCTGTAAAAGCTTATCAATTGTACCATTTAAAAGATTATATTTAAAGCCATATTTTCTAGCCTATAATTATAACTCTGAGTAGTCTCTGTCGAATAATCATACGAATGCTTTTTATATACTCGTAATCTCATAGTAGCTTTGGAGCTGATGGAACTAGTTTTGGTGGAAGAGCTTTCCCTTGGCTATAGATGCTGTTAATCGATATACACTGCCCTGCGAATACCCGTGGCATTGTGGTGGAATTTTCCATTGCCATTAAACCATATCAAACAAAAAACTTTATGAAACAAATATATAACAAAATGATCGATTGCAGTTTTGTTGCAGCTTTCATTGTTCACTTTATTCTTTCCTTAAAACATGAAAAAAATATTACCTATAGATCCTTAAAGTAGCCAATTTTCTCGTATTTGGGCAATAAATTCTTGATATCCTTGACGTACACATCCTGATGGTAGGTCTTCTCACGCGTTGCTCCATCTTGAAGCAGATCATTCATGCTAAAAGAATTCGTTTTGATGCCCAAGATTAATGGAAGTAAAGTAAACATCATGAACAAGTCTGCAGAAAAAAACAAGTGTACATTTTAGTAAGGGAAATTCTAGATGAAATGAATGACCTACCATAATATTTCAGTCTATGGATCTCCTGCCAGAGCTTCGCTAGTGTGGGCATTTCACCTTTGTATCCCACTTTCTGCAGGGTATCGACCAACACAGAGAAGTAATAGTTGATCAACTTTTCGCCTTGGCTCCAACGCTGCTCTGGCTCCATCAGCATGTGGATGGAGTATATCAAGTCCACGGCTATGGGGCAGTTATTACACATTTGAAAGTCCACCAGCATAACGTCTTCGGAGTCGCCCGTCTCCTTGTTGTGCCTGAACATCATGTTCCGCAGATGGAAGTCTCCATGGCATAGCACGTAATATCCATCAGATTGGGGATTGGTGCGATACTCTTGCAAAACGGTTTGTACCGTGTCCAAGTAGGTATCTTTTATTTTCTCAAAGTGCGGCTTGTACTTTCTCAGCTCTGGCCATCGCTCCAGCATTTCAATGAAGGGAGGCATTGCCGTTGTTATGAAAGGATCGCTTCCTACGGTGTCAAAAAAACCATATTTGAAGTCCTTCAGAAAATCGGGTTGCTAAGGGAAAAGAGAATCTCAGTCGAAGTTTCTGTCAATTGTTTTGCAGTTTCAAGAGCTCACCTCATTGAGCAGTTTCATGCTGACGGCTTGCCATTTGGCCAGCTTCGAGTAGGCTCTGCAGAGTTCCTCCTCCCTCACCGGACGATCCCGTATGACGGTGTATCCCTGCGGCACTAGATCCTCAAAGATCATAACCTGGTGTGGTTCAAGACTGTGATAGATGCACGGCACATATAGCCTTGTGTCATCTCCCGCCTGCTTCAGTATCCTCTGGAATTCCGGCAGGACTTTGCTGTACATTCCGATCTCTGTTTCGAAGAAATGAGATTCACTCAGCATGTCCTTTTTGTGGCCCTCTTGTTCGGGCATTGTCTTGATGATCAGTGGCTTGGTAAACACGCCTTTACGGGTTGTGTACTCCACTTGGGTGCGGAACATGACACTCGCATAGTGATCTCCCTGGGCACTCGCAGGGGATATTTTTAGATCGGTTACCTTCAGTTCTGGCGCTTCCTCAGACGTGCTCAGGATTTCGCCTATAAAATCAGCATTCAGCCACTCTGGGGCCTCCAGCTCATCGGCGTTGAATTGTTCCAAATTTTCTGTTGTCATTTCGTTTGGAGAAGCGGAACGTATTCCGTGCGATGTGTTCATAGAATGAAGCAATCAGTCTGATGGATGGCACATTTTATATAAAATATTTTGAGCTTTTTCAAAATTTTGTCCGCTTTATTGTCCATTATTATCTTATCAAAGAGCCTTATTGTCCTTTTAATTATTGCTTAGAAACATCCATTTTGATTATTCTTGAATTGCAAAGTATTGTGAAATACTTGGAATGTTGGGTGAGCATCTCCTTATAATAATTTTCGTATGCCTCTTGAGTGCTTTCACAATTTTCATACTTCGTTAATGGAAATCACAGGAATACAAAAACATTTTTTGATAAAAGTTATTGCCCATAGACATTAATTTTCAACGTGAGGGGTCTGTCTGCGATTGTTCAATAAAAATTAACTGATTGGCTATCATTACTGTGCGGAAAACTATAATCATTTTCAACAGTTACGAGTAGTATTTTAGATTGTGGTTTTGCTGTTCTACGAGTATTCGTAGATAAGCCTATAAACTGAAGCGTTTATACAAATGTAGACTACATCACCCACCTTAATCTTGAAGCTTTTGGAAAGCTTTTTAACTTAAAATATCATTGTCCATGGAAACTGTATTACCTACCTCTTGAAAGCTTAGTTCTAACTACTATTCATCATACGTTTTTTTTCATACTTACTCTCTCTCTCCTTTACTATTACGCGTCATGCGGCATCGCCTTTCTGTTGGCACTTTTCTTTTATGTGAATATCAAGTTGAATAATAAAATATACTGAATTCAAACATTTACTATATACACGAAAAAGCATAAACATATAATATATACAAATACATAATGAGGATAAACTATTAATTAGCCTAGGGAATATACATATGTACATTTGTAATTTTAATATACAGTATAACACAGTTGTAAGGATCATTCACGATCAGTCTCGAGTGATCATTGATCCGCATCGAGCAAGCCCTCCTGCTCGAACTTGGGCAGGAGTTGTCGAATTATCCTCTGACTAGCAGGATTGCCATTGCCATAGCAGGCATTCTTGAAGTTGATCGCCCGCTGATTGTTCTGCATCAATGCATTAAAATCGGCATCAGCAGTCTCCACATTCCGCTGAATGGGATAGATGGAGATGGTGGTGTGCATGCCTAAAAGTCAGAGGGGGGTGGGAAACCATAAAGTTACCATAAATAAAATGTAAAGGATGTGGATCTACTCACCATAGAAGGCCTTTTGTTGTATCTGCTGATGGAACTGGTGCATGCTGGGAATGGCAGCCTTGTAGCGGAGTTTCCTCAGTGTTTCCGAGAAGATGGTGAAGTAGTGGTGGATCAGCTCCTCCTGGTTGTTCAGATGCAGATCAAATTCCAGCGAGGAGTTCAGGAAATAGAAAAGATCAATAGCTGGCGAGCCCCAGGCGGCGTATTGGAAGTCAATGATGATCACATCCTCCGCTTCGCCCGTCTCCTTGTCATACTTGACCAGGACATTGTTGGTCCACAGATCGCCATGGGCCAGGACATTGATCTGGCCGGGACTCACATCGAAGATGCGTTTGCCCAGCTCCATGTAGACGGGCAACAGAGCCTCCAGCTTCTCGGCATACAGCTCGTATCCTGGCCACTGAGCCACCCTACGACTGGCAGCCTGCAGCATGCCCAGAAAGCAGGGCGCATAGTTATCGGTGTAACGGTTGAACATGCCCTTATCATAGCTCTCCAATACACGATCCTCGCGCTCGTTCAACACCGCCGATGTGGCATGCATCTTGGCCAACTTGCGAAGGACAAGACGCGCCAGCTTCAGATCGAGTCCGATGAGGCGATCGGGCATCACGAATTCCCGTGCACTGAGATCCTCGAAGATCAGCACGGAACGATCGTAGTCCACGGTCATGGTCTCGGCAAAGATCTGCTCCGCATCCTCAATCTCGTGGAGCAGCGCTTTCAGCTTGGGCAGCACCGCCTCGTAGATGTTCATTTCGCGATTGAAGATGTCGTACGGCTCCATGGCATTCCTGGCAAACTCATCGCTCTCAAAGGTGGACTTCACAATGTAGTGACCCAGTTGGCAGGTGCCATCGCGTCTCGTGAACTGCGCCTTCACACGTGTCAGCACTCCACCATAGTTTTCACCCTTTCCCAGGGCGGGATGCACCTGCAGGCAGGTGATCTTGATCCGCCGATCGCTATAGTAGTCTCTCAGAGCATCCTGCATGTAGGTCTCCGTCAGCCAATCGGGGGCATCCATGATAACCGAACTGGAGTTGGTGGAGGGAGCACTCAGCTTGGGAATGGCATCGAGTGCCCCGATCAGATCCGAAACCGACATGATGATAAATGATCTTTCTCTGCGATATTGTGTTTAAAAATCAGAGCACCTCAGCTTTTATATGGAAAAACTTCAGCTGTTCCCACGTACATTCGTCACAATTGTGATTTATAAAGCCCCCATAAAATCACAGACGTATGTAAATATAGACGCGGGCTTACAGATTACTCTTTTTATAACGAAACCCGCAACCCGAATCTCAATCTGCCATGGAAAATGAGATGCCTCGTGCGCCGGTGGGACTCTCACGCCGCGGCTTGGCTACTGCCTAATCGGACAAATTGTTTGAGTTTAGGTCGCTGGCAAACCTGTTAATCTATATAGCACTTGGTGTGGGCTTAGGGATGGACGACGACGCCGCCAACGACGACGAAACTACAAATGTTTTATGCCAGAGCTCAGAAATGCCAGGCATTTGCTTGACTCAAAATCATCTCTTGAAAGAGTGAACAACCTACGTCAAAGGCTAGTACTAAAACTGAGGGATACGGTGAAAAAAAATTATGGAGAATTTAAAGGATGAATGCGAATTGCAGGAAAATCCCAAGGAAAACATATTAAAAAGTTACTACATTACATTATTTTTTATCCAACATATAGTTTAAGGATTTTGTTAAAATATGGGGTATTTATTTGCTGCCTTGAATACTTAATGCAATCATTAAAAAATCCTCCAGAATAAGGTACATTTTAAAAATATTTCTAGGTATGATATTTTGATAAAATATTCATTTTATTTATTTATGGGAATATTTATTTTCTGTTTTAATTACTTAATGTAATCATTAAAAAATCCTGCAGATTTCTTTGCATAAAATCCTAGAAATTACATTTTAATAACTGCATAGTACTAGTATTAAAATGTAGTGTTATTTTGTATCTTCAACTTTGTTTTAAAATTATATAAAAAAGTCATGAATTCGCTGGTTTCACAATTTTCTTATAAGTTCTAGTCAAATAATTTAAAGCACTTACTAACTGAGTCTGGCCAAACAATCCTAAAGATACATTGCACTTCTGAGACACGAGTAATAGATTGCCATCATTAAGGCCTCTAAATTGTTTGCTTAAGCAGACGAGCGACTGTCGATGGGCAGATTATTGCCATGAATGGGGCTCTGCGTGATACACCAAGCAACAAAACACTGAAATAAACTATACTATATATTTAATACATTTACTATATATTTAATGGAGCCCTACTTTTGCCAGCTTCAGGGCTCCAAAAGAAATGGTAATTTTCCTTCAGTTAATCAGTGAAAAAAAAAAAACTGTTCCCAGCCGTATATAAAATATATTTATCTGGAGATCTGCGGCCAGTGAGTGGGGGTTGGCACACGTTACGCATTTATGGTGGCCTGTTGCCAAACGGATCTCCAGAGAGCAAAGTAATCCCCACACAAATGTTTGCCGAGCATTTTACGCTTCCATCCTAAATCTGGGAGGAGGAGCGGAATGCAATTAAAAATACAAACACGAAACACACGCAGATACGCAGATACAGATACAGTTACGAGCGCATCATTTCAGTCTCAGTCTCGATCTCAGTAGTATCATTTTCACCTTGACAAAGGCATTGCCTGTGGCAGATATAAAAGCCGACGAGTGCGCTTCAGTGTTCATTGTTCACCCGGAGATTGGAGACAAAATGACAGGCGCACCAGAGTGGCTAACCCACGACTACCTAGAGCATGCTCTGCGCTCTTACTACAAAGATGAGCAGCTGAAGATTGTCCAGCTGCAAATAAATCCCGCCCTGGGTCCTGGGGAAAATTATGGCGGTGTTTTGACCAGAGCCCGCATACATTTTACGCTTTCGAAAGATCCAGCGCAGGAGCAGCTGCAGAACCTCATTGTGAAGACGGCCATCGATGATGATGAGCTTAGCAAGGAGCTGATGGAGCCCTATGACATCTTCAATCGTGAGATGAACATCTACGAGGAGGTGCTGCCCAAGCTGAATGATCTTCTGAAGGAGATTGATGACTCTGAGCCGCTCTTTCCGACCGCCATCTATGTGGATCGCGAGCGTACGGCGATCGTCTTTGAGGATCTCTCAGTGGCTGGGTATGTGATGGCCGATCGCGTGCGACTCCTGAATGTGGAGCACACGCATCTCATTCTGCGCAAGCTGGCCAAGATGCATGCCACCTCGGCGGTGTTGAACGAGCGTCAGTCCGGCTGCCTGGAGAGCTACGATCGTGGGTTCTTCAATCGCTATACGAACAGCTATAGCGGATACTTTGTGGGTGGCCTCCTGGCCGCCGCCCGTTGGATGAGTCAGGTGCCTAAGCTGGCGGATTATGGGCAGAAGCTATTCCAGCTGGCGCCGCACTACATGGACATTGGCAGGAAGTGCTTTGCCCCCACGCCGGGACATGTAAATGTCCTGGCCCATGGCGATGTGTGGACCAATAATGTCATGTTTAAATACGATCCGTCCACGGGTCGTCCTCTGGATGTTTTGCTCATCGATTTCCAGTACTCCTTTTGGGGCTCGCCATGCATTGATTTGCATCATCTGTTCAACACATCGCTGAAGGAGCCACTGCGACGGGAACAGCAGAGCGGTCTCTTCCAGTTCTATCACAGCATCTTCACAGACACTTTGGAGAAGCTTCACTACCACCAGAATCCCATACCCAGTCTTCACGATTTCAAGCTGCAAACCGAACAGAAACGTTTCTTTGGTTAGTAGTCCCCCTGGGGTTATCTCTAGAAGGTATCTTTACTAAGGATATTTATTTGTCTCTCCGTAGCTATGCACTCGACTGTGGTTGTCCAGCCGGTGATGATCAGCGAGGATCCCACCGATGCCTGCTTTAATGCCCTGATGAACGATGATGAGCGTGGCATTCGCTTCAAGAATCGCCTCTACAACAATCCCAAAGTACAGGAAAATCTGAAGGCTATGGTGCCATTCTTCGATAGGAAGGGTCTGCTGGAAGTGGATCAGTGCAGCTAGGCACCAGGCTCAAGTGATTTTTTAGATTATTAGTTTATATTAGTTCTGTACATAAAAATAAAAACAAAAGACAAATTACAATTAAATATACGTAATGAATGTTACTAGAAATTTTATCATGAATGCTCTGCTCAATATCTATCATATATTGATCACACACATATATTATACTATTTTTTATATCTGCCACGAAAAAGATTGGTCCTAAATCCAAATAGTTGTGTAGAAATCTCTTTTGTTTCTGAGGATTATCATACCTCACGTATCAAAACAGGAATTCTATACGTAAGAAAAATACGTAAATTGAATCACCATTTATATCTTATATATCTTATGGCTCCCATGAACATTACGAATTTTCGAGCGTATCAAGTATCTTCTTCAATATATAATAATCCCTAGTATTAAATGCGACCGTTTCGGTTACACGGGTTGCGTTGCGCGTCATGTAGCAGCGCGCTTTGTTCGAAGTTTAGAATCCAGAGGTAAGAAGCTTTAACTTGGTGCAGTCATGGCAGGTCTAAGCCTCAATCTATCTAAATATACAATATCTATTTCCTTTTAGAAAAGCAACCAGCCTCCCTCACATTTCAATCAATGTAACAATAACTTCAAATCACAGTCAATCGATGGATGTCTTTATAGTTTGGCTATAGTTTCCTTATTAGATAAGACACAGCGTACCTAAGGCACGAGACACACTACTACGATCTAGCAAAGACTTTGCATAACAAATATACATACATACCCACGTAGTAAGATGGATTTATGGGCTGTGAAGCAGATAAATTTTTCGCTGGGGGCGAGAGTGATCTTTAAACGCAACGTCAGAGGTCGTCACTCGGTGTAGAGATGATTTACGGCAGTGCTATTGCCACACTTACATCGCGCTCACTATATTCTTACTATATAGTACGATATAGTAATAGATAGTTATATACTCATCCCAATGTCTGTGAGGGGTGTCGCACTCACTTTATGAGCACGCGTGTGTGTCGCGAGCTCTAAGCGATTCCTTTATCTATTCAGCTTTACTCTTAGATAGATCTGGAAGACTGTAAGACCCTGTACGTACGGAAGGTGCTACGTAATGGTCTGAGTCGGGTTGCTTTACAGCCATACCATAATGTGGGATCTGTCCGGCAGTGAGATTGCAGACTGACTATAAATTGGGCGCTTTTTACGCCTCTACGATTCAGATTCAAACGTTAAAGCGAGCGTCATGGTTGTAGAGAATAACGAGATCAAGGGGGAGACAGCGACCGACTTTCACCCCACACCCGTGTGGCTGAACGAGTCCTATATGGAGGCATTGCTGCAGAGCCAGAAGAAGGATGCCGGTCTGAGGATCATCCAGCTGGACGTCAAGCCAGCCACAGCCAAGGGGGACAACTATGCAAGTGTCATGACCCGAGTGAAGGTGAACTACGTGAAGAGCGGCGCCAAGACACCCGAGCAAGGATATTATATTGTGAAGACAACCTACGAGAACGATCCGTTTATATCGAACATCTTTTCCGGCTACCAGGCCAGCACCACAGAGATGCTGATGTACGAGAAGATTCTGCCCAAGTTGAGCGCCCTCATCGATGGCACACAGCAGCCCGAGAAGTTGTTCGCCAAGACACTGCATGTGGACTATGAGCACGATGCCATCATCTTTGAGGATTTGGCTGTGTCCAAGCATGTCCTAGCCGACCGCTTGGCAGGCTTTGACCTGGAACACACGCACATGGCACTGCGCAAGCTGGCCAAGATGCATGCCGCCGCCGCTGTGCTCAACGAGCGCCAGCCGGGTGTCCTCACGAAGCTGGATCATGGCATCTTCAATCGTCACACGGAGGGCTTTGGCCCCTTCTTTCAGAATATGATGGTAATGGGGGCAGAGTTTGCCGACAAGTGTCCGGAGCTGGGTAGCTATTATGGCGACAAGCTGCGGGCATTGGTCGAGCGGCTGATGGAGTACTCCACGCGCGTTTATGACCCCCAGCCGGATGAGTTCAACACGCTGGTGCATGGCGATTATTGGGTGAACAATGTGATGCTGCGTTATAACGAGGAGCAGCAACCCCTGGACATGGTTCTCATCGACTTTCAGTTCTCCAGCTGGTCCTCGCCGGCCGTAGATCTGCATTACTTCTTCAACACCTCGCTGCAGAAGCAAATACGATTCGAGCAGCAGGATGCGCTGATTCAGTTCTATCACAAGGTGCTCGTAGACACGTTGAAGGATCTGAAATACGGTGGCTTTATACCCTCGCTCAGGCAGCTTGTCCTGCAGCTGGAAAAGGGTAAATTCTTTGGTGAGTAAATACAACAGACATCGCATAAAGAAGTCCATTTGCTAAGAGAACGTTTCAACGCTTTTTTGAACAGCCGTCACCGTGTCATTAACCAGCCATGGCATAATGTTAAATGATCAGACAGCCGATGCGGATTTCAATGCCCTTATCCAGGACGATGAGCGGGGACGCATCTTCCGACGGTTGGTCTATAGCAACAAGAAGTTCCAGGAGTTTGTAAAACATTTGCTGCCTGTCTTTGATCGTAGCGGTCTGCTGGATGTCACCGACTAAAGAGACTCAGAGACTTAGCTGTTAAATGTATTGTAAACCAAAATGAAATATAAAATAAAAATAATATTACACTTTACTTTCCCCCTCTAAAAGTGTACTTTCCAGACTATTAACTATCTTTAGTAGCTGATAGTAGGTTCTATTTCACAATGAAATTAAGTGCCTGTAAGTGTTATCTTTAGTAGACTTTATTTAATGTTTGCCTTTGCCTCAACGCTATCTGAATTGCCATCACCACCATGAGGACCTATCCCTGCCTCTATCCCTGCACAGGTCAGTGCCAGAAAGTACTTGTGGTGAAATTGCAATTGCCATTCCCATATATTTTGTATATACACACATCACATTTCATCCAGCAATCCCTGCTGATCCAGAAATGGCAATGTTTGATGCAATTTCTTTCTTACAGACTCCACCTGAAAGATGCTATCCTTGTAGCGCATGGCACCTTCGGACTCTGACAGTATCTGCTCTATGGATGACTCCTCCTTGCCCTCATAGAGCATCACTGGCTCAAAGAGCAGTGTACAGAAAACAGCTGCAGGAAAAGAGTAAAATTAAACCTGCACTGGGATTGCATGCCACTCACCATAGAAGGCTCTTGCCCTGAACTGCAGCTGAAAGTCAAACAGTGATGGTATCTGGCCGCCATACTTGACCTTCTTGAGGGCTGCCTTCAGTTTGTAGTAATAGAACTGCACCAGCTCCGTCTGATGGTGCAGCCGCAGATCATCGTGCACCGATGTGGAGAAGAAGTAATGCAGATCGATGGCCGGAGAGTTCCACACACTAAATTGAAAGTCAATGAAGATCATGTTGCTCGGATGTCCCTTGGCGTCATATTGGAACATAAAGTTCGTTGTCCAGGAATCCCCATGGGCCAATGTCACAAAATCTCCTGACCTGATAGTCGTAGATTGTTCGCCATAGAGCATGATATTATCCACCAGACGATCGATCTTCGTTTGGTAGCATTTCTGCAGCTCCTTGTCCAGCTTTAAAGAACGAGATAGAGCCTTGAGGAGGTGTATCATGATCGGCTGGTAGGCACGGGTGTGTTTATTGAAGAATCCTCGATCGTAGTCCTTGGCAAATATGCCTGGCTTCCGTTCGCTGAGAGCCGCAGCGGTGGCATGAAAGCTGGCCATTTTCTCCAGCACCAGATGCGTATGCTCCAGATCCAGTTTCTTGAGCCGATCGGCCACCTTGTACTGCCCCAGCGACATGTCCTCAAATATAATGGAGTCCCTACTGCGATCCACATTGACAGTCGCCGCAAACAGTTTACGCGGATCTTTTAACTCCTCTCTGGCCATCTCGGCTAGCTGGGGCAGGATGTTCTCATACATATCCATCTCTCGGATATATACGCCATAGGGGAAGAGCACATCAGCAGCCGGATCCTTGCTCGTAAACGTTGTCTTCACCAAAAACGTAGTGGTCTGTGTGCCCTTGGAGGATTTCGTTGCATAATCCAAATGGATGCGCGTCATCACACTGCCAAAGTTCTCGCCATTCGCAATGGCTGGCTTGATGCTCAACTTGCCCAATTTTAGAGTGTCATCTTTGAAGAAGATTCGCAGCTTCGCCTGCACATAGTCCTGGGTGAGCCAGTCAGGCGCCGGATGTTTCTTCTCTGTGGCTTCTTTGGGCATGTTTCTAACCGTAGCTCAGGGCCTGCGTTTGTGCGCTTTCGTTAATAGAAGTGCATTGCTTTTATATGGAAATGATAAGTGCAAGTGCGCCAGCCATTATCATGCAGCAATTCAACGGTGTCCGTGTTAGAAACAGCGTGTACATTTATTGCAATACATGCTTGGGTCTTCCTCCCTCTATCTGGCTATCCCTCAAGTGCTTGACCGAATCGCAAATGCCCTAGGAGAGAGAGCTTTACTCTCGGAAACCAACAACTCAATGCTTTCATTCCAACTAAGGCAATGATCATACTTTAATATGAATGGGTAGCATTCCGCTGAATCACATGAAATCTCGAGTGCATTTTACAGATTGTACAAATTGTTTGAACAGAATTGCGCCCTTTGTTGAGTCTGCGGATTACACTAGATAAAGAGCGACGAGGCGGCTGTGTTTATTACAAATGTACATAATAAAAGTAAGTTTATTCTAGCCACGTGCTAGCCGCCTCAAATTGATCTTCAAATCTCGTTTAACTGCGTTTACTGCGTTTTTATTTTTAAGTTAGATATCACTAAAGTGCAAGGTACACCAAAAATTATATATATACCTTTTCTGCTTTTAAAAGTCCCAGCCGGCGTACTCCTTCACCACATCCTTGTTTTCCTTGCGATGGCGATGTATGGCGCTGGCCTCGCCCTTGGCCACACATTTCTTGCGCTGATCTCGCTTCTCCTTGATGTCCATGTTGCGGCGTATGCGATCTGTGATCACGGATGGGGCTATTGTGCTGGTCGTGGTGGAATACGAACGCTGGCTTCTCGCATCGTTGAGCATTTGCTCGACCATTTTCAGGCGATACATACGGGAGTTGGAATCCAAGGTGGCCAGCTCGGGCATTTCATCGGTTTCCAATTCATGGAAGCCAATGGATTTGTCATCATCTGTGGGTGCTTCGGCAGCAGGAGCAGCAGGTGGAAGAATGTCTTGAGGAGCAGGAGCAACAGGTGCAACATCTTGAGGAGCAGGTGGAACCACATCTTGAGAGGGAGTTGAAACTGAATCGGAGACTATTTGCTTTGATGGCAATGCCTGATCGTCAATCTCTGGACCAACAGTCAGATTGCCCAAATATTGTGTGCACGATTCAATGTAGCGCCGAATAGCATCATCTGATTTCTGTGCTGGCTTTGCCTCGCTATATAGCACCTCATTCTCCACCTGACGACGGCACTCGTCGATCTCCACAGCTGCCGCAGGCACCAAAGCAGGCGCCTCATTTTCCTCGTGATCACCGTCTTCTTCGTCCTCATCCTCTGACTGCTCTACCATACCATACTCCAGCAGCAGATCCTGTTCCATTTCCTTGGTGAAGCCATAGCCAGTGCAGTGCACCTCAGCATCCAGATCATCATCGCGCACCAGATCACTGAACTTGGGATAATCTTCGCTCTCGTAGGCGAATTTACGACGGAACATTTCGCGAACGCAGTTCACATCGCGATCAAAGAAACTGCAGAGGACTAGGGGTTAATAGGGATGAATCAAGGCAAGTTTTTGGATACTTACAATTCAGCATTTTCATGAGAGGTGGACATCATCTGGGGAAAATCAATCAGTATAGGCTTTCCTGCATCCGTGAGCATCAAATTGAACTCGTTAAAGTCGCCATGGATGACCCCAGAGTTGCCTAAACGGACAATCAGGTTCATTAGGTCATCATAGACCTGTGGAATATCCAGCAGCTCGTGCACTTGGGTCCTACGAAGAATGAAATCCATTTAAAAGTGAGTCAAAATGGAGTCAAAATACGAATCTTACATAGGCCAACCGTTGACCAGATCCATCAGAACGCAGTGACGATTGAAATCAATGGGCTTGGGTACAGGAAAACCGCGATCATGCAATGCCGACATGTAGGCAAACTCTCGGGTAGCCGAAATGCGCGACAAGTACAACCAGGAGGCCTTATGGCGACGTCCATGATAATCTCGCTTGGCTTTCACATTCCTGAAGCAGGTGCGGCCCAGACGATGCAGCTTCAGGCAAATGGGAGTGCCCTCCTCATCGGCCACCACATAAATGTTGGACTCCTTGCCAATGCCAATTTGATTGCCAAAAGAGCTCACTGACCCACGCAATGTGAGAGATTTCAGAGCCAGATAGTCATAGCCCGTGTTTGTCAAGCGATAGCCATCATCTGCAAGGCCAAATACGTTAATATTGTTAAGTTTTAGCTAATTATTTTACTTACACTTTTTCCCACGCTCGTAGGACAGTAGTTTGTGCTTGCAGAGCTCCTTGAGCAGCTTGTGGACACCGCCCGTCTTCAGGTTGGCTATGGCCGCGGCCAATGGTCCCGGCACCAGTTCGTGGTTTTTCATGCCCATCTCGATGGCGGTGAGGACGCGGAAATCCTCTTTGGTGAGATAGCGCAGCACTGTGACATTCAATTTACCCATTTTGATTGAATTTTGGCAAAATTACAACGCATTTAGTTATGTTTTCGTTTTACACGTGCAACGCACATCGATAGCAATAGATGATTCGATTGGGGCTGTATCGATAGCAAAAATAATAAGGGCATTCCTGAAATTGACTACGATGAAGCTTTGATTCTCTTTTATCAGAGTCGGTGCAGGTTCTTTTGGAGGAATTCGGGTTAATTTGAAGATAGAATTTAGTTAATGTACAGGAAATGAATCCATAATATCATCTCACATCATCCGATTGTGTTGGATTTCGATTTGATTATGGCCTGTCAAAATCAAATTAAAATCAGTTGCTGGAATATCATCGTTTAATATTTCAACATTCTATTGTTTCGTCGTCATCAACAGGAGAAGAAAACGAGGATATGGCAGGAGAGGATTTGATTGCCCAGTTTCAGACGCTCGGCATGAGCGAGCAAAAGGCCAAGGAGACGCTCAAGAATGCCAACGTGACGAAGAACCTACAACTGGCGCTGGCCCAGGCAGCCGGTGCTCCCCTCGCCGACGGAACGGGCATGTTGCTCTACCACATGGCCAGCAAACTGAAGCCGCAACAGGCGGAGCAGCTGCCTCTTCTGGTGCGCTACATTGTGGAGCGAAAGTTGGACAACACCCAGCGGGTGGATGCCGCCCTGGAGTATGTTCTCAAGTGTGGCCAGAAACTGAAAGCCAGCATCGATGTGAAGGAGCTGGAACGGGAGTGCGGAGTGGGTGTAGTGGTCACGCCGGAGGAGATCGAACGCATTGTGCAGGCCAAGATCAAGAGCAGCTACAAGGAAACTCTGCTGGAGCAGCGCTACCATTTCAATTCCTTCAAAATACTGCAGGATGTGAGGAGCGAGCTCAAGTGGGCGGATGCCAAGTCCGTGAAAGCAGCTATAGACGTGGAGATATTCGATCTGCTGGGACCCAAGACGGAGGCGGACTCGAAGCCACCTGCCAAGCAGAACGAGAAACCCAAGGCGGCCAAACCCAAGCCAGAGGCAAATCAATCTTCACAGGCTGTGGAGGCTGCATCCGACGGAGCCAACACCATAGCGGAGCTAATGAAAACGAAGGTTCACTTCCACGCTCCCGGCGAGAACTTCAAGACTGATGGCTATGTCGTGACGGAGCATACCGAGAGATTATTAAAGGAGCATCTCCAGAAGACTGGCGGCCGTGTCCACACGAGATTTCCGCCCGAACCCAATGGCATCTTGCACATTGGCCACGCGAAGGCCATTAACATCAATTTCGGCTATGCTGCTGCCCAGGATGGCATCTGCTATCTGCGCTATGACGACACCAATCCCGAGAAGGAGGAGGAAAAGTTCTTTGTGGGCATCAAGGATATGGTGGAGTGGCTGGGATACAAGCCCGCCAAGATCACCTACTCCTCCGACAACTTCCAGCAGCTGTACGAATGGGCTGTGGTCCTCATACGCAAGGGATTGGCCTATGTCTGCCACCAGAAAGCGGAGGAGCTGAAGGGCTTCACTCCCAAGCCCAGCCCCTGGCGTGAGCGTCCCATTGAGGAGTCGCTGCAACTGTTCGAGGACATGAAGAGGGGTAAAATCGACGAGGGATTGGCCACCCTGCGCCTGAAGGTTACTCTGGAAGAGGGAAAAGTTGATCCGGTGGCGTATCGCATCAAGTTTATTGCACACCATCGCACAGGCGGCGCCTGGTGCATTTATCCTACGTACGACTACACGCACTGCCTGTGCGATTCCATCGAACAGATCACCCACTCACTGTGCACCAAGGAGTTCCAGTCGCGTCGCTCCTCCTACTACTGGCTGTGCAATGCCCTGGAGATCTACTGTCCAGTGCAGTGGGAATACGGCAGGCTGAACATGAACTATGCCTTGGTCTCCAAGCGGAAAATTGGCAAACTGATTACCGAGAAGATTGTTCACGATTGGGATGATCCCAGGCTGTTCACCCTGACGGCTCTGCGGCGCAGGGGCTTCCCAGCGGAGGCCATTAACAATTTCTGCGCCCAGATGGGTGTGACTGGAGCTCAAATCGCTGTGGATCCAGCCATGTTGGAAGCCTCTGTGCGCGATGTACTCAATGTGACGGCGCCACGTCGTCTGGTTGTGCTGGAACCCCTCAAGGTGACCCTCAAGAACTTCCCGCATGCAGCGCCCGTGCAGTTGGAGGTGCCCGATTTCCCACAAAATCCAGAAAAAGGTTCGCACAAGATCACCCTCGACAAGGTGATCTACATAGAGCGAGGCGACTTCAAAGTGGAGCCCGAGAAGGGCTACCGCCGCCTGTCGCCCCAGCAATCGGTGGGCCTTCGTCATGCCGGTCTGGTGATCAGCGTGGAGGAGATTGTGAAGCATCCAGCCACCGGAGAAGTTGTCGAACTGATCTGTTCCAGCCAATCTGCTGAGCAGGCCGAGAAACCCAAGGCCTTTGTCCAATGGGTCTCCCAGCCCATACCGCTGGAGGTGCGTCTGTACGAGCAGCTGTTCAAGCACAAGAATCCCGAGGATGCCAATGAGGTGCCCGGCGGCTTCCTAACCGACATCAGCGAGCACACCATCTCCGTGGTCCAGGCCTTTGCGGATCAGGCCCTCGCCCAGGTCAAGGTCTATGACAAGTTCCAATTCGAGAGGATTGGCTTCTTCTCCGTGGATCCGGACACCACAAACAATAGAATTGTTTTCAATCGCACTGTGGGCCTCAAAGAGGACGCGGGCAAAAAGTAATTCTCACTTTTACAGATACGAAGAGAAAAGAATGTTTTTCGCACATTAAAATTTGATTTATAAAATCTGTAAATTCATTATTTCTTTCCCTCTACCATTATGATGTGATAGCCAAACTTGGTCTTGACCGGAGGATCTGTGTACACGGGATTGTTGACATTCGATATGGGCAGGGCGAAGGCGGCATCTTGGAACGGACCGACCATCGCACCACGTATCTGCCAACCGAGATCGCCGCCCTGACGCGCCTTGTCCTCGCTGTAGGCGGTGGCCACTTCGGGAAACTTTTGGCCAGCCTTTAGCTTCTCCATGGCCTCCATAATCTTGCCCTGCTTCTCGCACAGAATGTGGCGCACCTTGACGGCATTGCCGCCCTTCTTCTCCTTGCCGGCAGCTGCAGATGGGAGGGAGGAGGTTTCTCTTGATTCAGTTGCACATTTATTGTTTGCTGACTCACATTTATCTTCTGCGGCTGGCTTCTTTCCGCCTTTGCCCGCGTCCTTGCCGCCCTTAGCGTCCTTCTTTGGTGGCATATTATTTTATTATTTTTTTTTTTTTGGTTTTAACCTGTTGTAGCAGGTACGAATAGTGATGGTGGAATCGATACTATCGCCTATCGATACTATCGTCGATGGTCTTACATCTCTATTTTACCTGGTCAGGCGCCCTGCAGCAAACACTAAAATTCTTGTAAATTAACTTCTGCAAATATTAATATGCTTGCGGAAAAGGTAGAAAAAGAGGCTGCTGGCCAGCTGCTGGATGCCATGTACCTGGATATGTTTCATTTAATCGAAGAGCACACCCAGAGTCGAGTGAATTTGGAGAGATCGAACGCCAGCGGAGCCATACTTTTGGCCAGAACAAGATTCCAGACTGGTGGCTGTAATTCCGTGTCCAAGGCACAGATCCCAACGGAGAACAGTGCCGAATTCAATGCCCTGTGCCGGGTCATACAGGCCAAAGACGAGAATGGGATCAACATCGAGCGTCATGCGGTGGATAAGGCCAATGGTTACGTGGAGCCACTGCATTGGTTCTCGTAAGTAGAATGATTGATTATGGACAATGCAATGATGTAATCCATGTAAACGTAATTACATTAAATGTGTGTTTCTCTTGTAGGGTTCTGCCGCCCATGAGTTTACGCCATGCAGTGACCAAATTCAGGGATTGCATTGAGCTCGTTGCGGAGAGCACTAATCTGCAGAGGCAGCTGACAGATGTTTTGTGCTGGATCTCCAAGCTGCGACAGAGTGTGCTACAGCAGTAGATGCACCCATTGGGCAACCAATCAAATGTATTATTAAGAATAAAGTTAATTACATGAAGGCTCCATTTCTTTTCCGAATTGCCAAAATTTGTTGTTTTTGTTCTAATCAGCGTTGCCACCCGGCTGCAAACAAACACCCACTACAAAGAACCAGGGGCTGCACATCCAGCTGTTCGTCTGTCAAACCATTTTTCGCTTTGCTTTCGTGTTCTAGCAAAATTCAATTCAAACGCGTAATTAAGTTGCGTTGTTGGTACATGGTGAGTAAACTTTTCCGGAAAGATGATGACAGAGCCGTGCCAGATTTAATGTGAGAATTATCAAAACATTTTGGCAAAGGGCCCCTTGAATTCGACTAAAAATCGATAATCGCCAACAAAAAACAACTACAAATATTGAGACAACAATTAAAAAATAATGAAATAATCGAATTTCAGCTTGAATAATAGAAGCATATTGTTCAAGAATGCAGACGGAGCGGAGGAGATAACAAAGCGTACGCCCGAACAGTGACAGACAGAACCGAGCACAAGCAGAAGGCAGAAGCAGCAGCAACAACAGCGCGGGCCCTTTGTTGTTGTGTCTGCCACGAAAATTGTACATAATTCTGTGCGCCACCCAGCCACCCCCACACACACGTGCCTCTAAGCCTCCCCCCTCTCAGCCCTTTTCGCCATGAGCCATACACTGGATAAGGCGGATCCGCCACTGCTGCAGCTCGAGGATGAGCTGGATCTCATCGGAGACTTTGTCAAGGACCAATCCGTAGCCCCACTCCTCAATGGTTTCGACTCCAGCACGAACAGTGTCACCCAGTTGACCACAAAAGTTGAGGTAAGTGAACCTTGAGGCCAGCCCTGCCCCTCGCATACTAAATATATTACACTCGCTCTTCCGTAGATTAATACAATTGGAGTTGGAAAGCGAAAACCCAAGAAGAAGGCAAAGAAGGAACGTGAGCCGATGCTTCTGTCGGTAGACGACGACGACGACAACGATGAGGATGACAGCCAAGATAGGACTGTGAAAGCCGGTGGGGATGCGGCGGTGGCGGTCCATCAGAAACCACAGCTGGATCAGTTGCTTATCTTGAGCGACGACATCAACACAGATGGCGACGACGACGACGAAGTGGAAGTTTTACTCAACCGAAACTCGTCGGGCAACGTTGCGAGCGCCGCCCTGCGCAATGGCACCGTCAACGGTAGAGCAAAATTCAAAAATCACTCTGAGGAGAGCAGCGAGAGTCGTAGCTCTAGTGCCACGCCACAGCCACAGGTGATTAGTCACATTGCAACAACAAAGGCGACAGCATCAGCACCATCCTCTCCTCTGAAATCGGCAACGCACATTGGCATTGGCCGTCACCCGCACGACGAGGCCGACGATATTTGCCTGGTGCCAGAAATCGACTTTGAGGGCATGTCCACGGACGCGGGCAGCGATAATCGGGAATCCCAGCCACTGCTCGGAGGCGGCAGTGCCAGTCACGGAAGTCGCATTAGTGATCTGCTTGGAGGACTAGGCCGTGGACACGATCATGTTGATTTTATATCGAATACATTTGGTGGTAAGTGCAGCCAGCAGTGCAGAAGTGAAGAAGACATACAAGTGACCATCACATCCCATCCATCCGTCCATCTGTGGGGCTTCCAACTGGGTGCGTTCTCCCTCCCACTCTCTTTTTCTTTATGTTTGAGTGCATACGATTATATATGTACATATGTCTGTATGCATGTATGGATGTATGTGTTGCATGACTCTATTTTATTCTTTTTTATTTGCGTTAGCTAAGCCGAGGCTTTACTCATGCTGCTCTTATCATTTATAATGTGAATACCCTCACAAACAGATCTAGAATTGTTGTATAGTAGGAAACTACAGCTTTGTGAATCGCAAATACCATTTTATTATCTACATTCAATTTGTGGAGAATAAAATGCATAGAAAATGCAGCTTGAGGAGACCCTTTGCCGCCCTTTAATGCTGTACATAATCTGAGATTGTCATGAGAGTATTCCAAGTTCGTTTAGGAGCGCGTTACCCACTCCCGGACAGTTGTATACCATTGAGAGATAAGTTTCTACTGGCATTTATTCAGTGTCCCAGGGCTGTACAATGAATCGCCGCCTTTAAGGGTTTGGCTAAACACAGACATTGAGTCGTCTCTCATAATTTTGGATCAACAAATGTAGTACATACATTGTCAAACATCTATCGTTTCTTGTTTTTATGTCACAACAAATTCGTAGTCTTGTAAAAACTGTGGGTCTGTATTACCAAAACTATTGTAATCTGTGGTGTGTGGACGAGAGTGTGACACAACAAAATAGCAATCGTATACGAAAATGGGAGTTGCTCGAATGATTCCTGGACTGACTAACAATGAACAACGATGATCGGAAGGAACCCCCCGATCCCGATCCCGATCTCGATCTCGATGGCCATCGCCCGAGACCGCTGGAGGACGAGCAGCCGACGACGAGCAAGGCGGCCCTGGCCGAATCCGACAGTACGCGGTCTTCGGTGGACAACAAATCCGTGGGTTATGTCTGCATCTGCTGTGAGGTCAAAAAGTGCCATGCGCCAGAGAAGGACTTTCTTGAGTCGCCCTCGGACGCAGAGGGGGAGCCGCCATTCGTAGTGAACTCCCCATCGATGGTAACCGGCTCCAATGACACAGTCACCGTTCGCATAGCACGCCCCCGCTGCCAGTGCGCCAATTGCCCGCTGAAGAACATGTGTAAGTGGGCCACCTGCACCTGAGCGAGCGAGCGAGCCTTATCGAAATGCTTTCGCCATGCTAATTGCGACCTGTTTTGTGTCCACTTATCAACCTACACTTGACTCTGTTGCGTCTTCCACTTCACTTTACATGGTGCCGACACCAAATGTCGCGTCTATCGAGCTGCCGTGGCGAGAATATTGTGCAGGAAGTGTTCACCATTTGCCAGGATGATGACCAGGGGGAGTTTAACGACAACTTTGACTTTATAGGTACTGAATTCTAGAGGATTGAATCCTCTTTTATAATTGTTGCTTCTTCGTTGTCCGGGTCTCAGTCGTTCTTCGTTTTTCCAAGTGGCAAGGAACCCATCGTTGTGCTGTGTGTGCTTGCCCTTTTTTTTAAAGTTATTTTTAACCGACAGCTGGCACGCCAACGAAACCAACGAAGAATAAAACCTCATTAAATCCACTCGACTAGGGCGTTCCTTGATTAATTAATTATTTAACAATTTATCCTGAGAATACCGCAGTCTGCTTTCTGCTTCCTGCTGCGTAATGCGAATTTTTGTACTTCGCACAAATTTTATTAGTAATTTGTAGCCCTTGATCCATTGGAACTTTTAATAATAATGAAGTTTGCATCTAAATCCACAGATGATCCGCTTTTCTCGGAGATTGTGGCACAGGCCGAGGTGGCCATCGAGAATGGTGTGCTGCCAGAGCGCATTTATCAGGGCAGCAGTGGTTCCTATTTCGTCAAGGATCCCTCACATGTAAGTCGAATAAATATGCATATATAATATAAAGATTTGATTGCGTTTCGCAAAGGTTCAGGGCGTAAACGTTTGTTGGCCCTGCAACCTAGAGAATGAATAATTAACGCATAAATGAAAGATTCTGGCAAACGGGGAAGTCCTTGCAATTGAGTTATTTTGCAGGACTTTTGGTTTGCCTAAGATACAGCTCCTCCACCTGCCTTCAGGGTTTCCTTGAAGACATTGAATATTGATTAAATATTTCATGCATTTTGCAGCAATGCCTGGCTGTGTTCAAGCCAAAGGATGAGGAACCCTATGGCCGACTGAATCCAAAATGGACCAAATGGATGCACAAGCTCTGCTGTCCCTGCTGCTTTGGACGTGCCTGCCTGATACCAAATCAGGGGTAACATCAAATTCACCATGTCCCCCCTGACCATTGACATCCACTAACTTTTTGTGTACTATCTTTTGCGCAGATATCTGTCGGAGGCCGGAGCCAGCCTGGTGGATCGCAAACTCAATCTGAATGTGGTACCAAAGACGCGTGTTGTTCGTCTGGTGGCCGAGAGCTTCAACTATGCCCGCCTCGATCGACAAAAGGCTAGGCTGAAGAAGCGCATCAAGGAGCACTATCCGTCGGCCCATTTTAATCGAATGAGTCTGCCCCTGAAGGTGAGTATCCTGATCTCCTCTTTGACTGCCACTTTTGCTCATGTTTGTCGTGTTGCAGACGGGCTCCTTTCAACTGTTTGTGGAGGGCTACAAGGATGCAGATTATTGGCTGCGCCGATTCGAGAGTGAACGAATAGAACCGGGCGTGGCCAAATCGTTTCAGCTGGAGTTTGAGCGACTTGTCGTCCTGGACTACATTATACGCAACACGGATCGCGGCAACGACAATTGGCTGATCAAGTACGAGGCCCCTAGAGTTAGGAGCCAGATAGGCGGCACTGGTGGCAAGATGATGGGCGTTGTACTGCCAAAAATGCCCGCAGCAATGGGTCAGCAAATTGTCGATCTAAATGAATCGCCGCCCGACGACCTTTTGCGTCCGGTAGGGGGCAACCAATCCCCCAAAGAGAACGGCCAGCAGGATGGTACCAGTTTGGCCAGTAGCGAGGAGGAGCAACCCACCACAAGTACTAAGAATATATCCCCCTCGTCGGAGAACAACTGGAATATGGTGGACACGGCATTTATCAAAATTGCGGCCATTGACAATGGCTTGGCCTTTCCCTTCAAGCATCCAGACTCGTGGCGCGCGTATCCCTACCACTGGGCCTGGCTGCCGCAGGCCAAGATCCCCTTCAGCGAGGAGATCAAGGAACATGTTCTGCCCCAGCTGTCGGACATGAATTTCGTGGAGGAAATCTGCACAGAGCTGCTGTATCTGTTCCAGCAGGATCGGGGATTCGATAAGCGGCTGTTTGAGCGTCAGATGTCTGTGATGCGGGGTCAGATTTTGAACCTCACGCAGGCACTGAGGGATGGCAAATCGCCCGTGCAGCTGGTCCAGATGCCAGCCGTGATTGTCGAGCGGTGAGTGGCTTAAAACTATTTTAATATTCCATTTTTATAATGAGTTTGTTGTCTCAATAGGTCCAGCGGCAGTCGTTTCTTTTCGTTTACGCAGCGCTTCCAGAACAAGAGTCCCTTCTTCTCCTGGTGGTAAGCCTGAAGAATAAAATTATCCTTTTCTATTCGCTAACTTTTTTGTTCTTCCATGCAGTTGATTGGCCATTGGATTGATGCCCAGCATAAAACCCCCACCCACCAAAAAACCAAATCAGGGGCCCCCCCCCAGAGTCTGTTGCCTCGTCATTGTGTCTATGCGCTTCGTTGTTGTCTAGTTTATCGTCAAAAGTGTTTAGTTTAGTCATCCGAGGAACCCGAGAAATGTATTTTGTTTTATTTTGTTACTGTCACACGCAAAAGTTCATTTACATCTCATATTCCTTGTTAACCTTGCATCACGATTATAAAATCGTTACTCTGTTTTGTTTCTGTCAAGTGTTTTATATTATAGTCAAATGTGGTGTGGTGTGCATAAAATTTAAAACCAGAAAAGAAACGGATTCTAATATAATTCTAAATGAAGGCCATTCCAAAAAAAAAAAAAAAACAAAGAAAAAACTAAACGCTGCAGCGATTTATCATATAATTTACATATTTACCATACTTACACATCAAACATATCAGTGGAAAAGTAATCAAAACTCATTCGTATTCTTTAGCACTGAATAATTGCAGCATACCCAAAAGTACCCAAGTGGCCTATGTTGATATAGATTGATTGTTATTCACATTTATACTTATACCTATGCTTATATACTAAATTTAGTTGTTTCTTTATATAAACTATAATTTAATTTATTATAGAATGTACGGGGAGGAGTAAGGTAGCATACTGCACACATGGAACTTCATATATTTGAATATTAAGGTGGATTTAGTGGAATATATACATATATAATATCAAGTTGCAAATATATAAAAAAAATTGTGTATTCACATATAAGCTCTACATACATTGTACTCCATAAAGGTCTCCCTGAATCAACAAAATAATTCTGAGTATTTTACACTTTTAACAGAACAAACAATTCCTTATTTAGATAGAAAACGTCATAATAACGCAATAATAATAACCTGATATTTCTATGAGTCAATCCTAGCATCCGCTAGCCAATCATCGGAAGCATCGGATGTGAATCTATTGAGTATGGCTGCTTCACCCGCACTGGGCTTTGACTTGAGCGGACTTTCCCTCTTGTGAGCAGCCGCTTTGCTGGCATCACCATCACCTTGATGTTCTTCAGTCTCATCACGCTTATTGACTGTGACGTCTTTTTCCGAGGTGCTAGATGAAATGGTAACATGATCAGATTCATTTTCATCGACTGGACTCAATGCCATTTCGGTCCCTGATCGGCTTGATGGCAAAACATTGCGTTTTGGTGTGCCCATAAACGTCGATATTGATGGCTGATATCCCCTGGCCATCATAGAGAGACGTCCCTTAAACTGATGCCATTTGAGTGGCACCTTGCCCGTTACAAAGAGATTACCGCCCACTGGAACAGTGCTGATAACCCGCTTGGGCTTGAGGAAGCGCACAAATCTCTCTAGCTCCTTGTAGCTGGAATGCTCCGAGTATTCAATGCCAATTATGCTGATGCGCTTCCCAAAGGAGGGTTTACTGTTCTTCTCCCAGCCGCTGGGGCGAATGGCCAGCAGCATATCGTACTGATCTTCAAATTGTGTAAAGTACTCTGCCAAATACTGGGAATGCAAAACATACGTTAAAGGAAGGATAGCCTGATTAGGGTGATTGATTCTGACTTACCAAATAACTGACTTTTCCCATGGCTAGGACATGTAAGTTGGCTTGGTATGAAACATCAGTCAGTCGCGTTTGCAGGTCCGGCCACTCCAGACAATCGATGGCAACGCGACGATGGGGCTCTGTCCAGACTTTTAAAGAGAATTCGTTGGCCAAAGCTAGCCATATTTTTTCTTTCCCTATTACATACGACCCGCACACATATAGGACGCGTTTTCCTGGATATCTTTCATGGAATTTCGTCACCAAATGCAACGCTCGTTCGACACTTTCGGCCTGGTGGCAGAAATCGTAGTTTGCCGATAGATATGTGGTATCCAAATAAAGCAGATCTATGTCGATGTTATTCCAGAATATTGGTAGCGATTCCATTTCAAAGCTGGCACGAAAATCACCCGTATGAAGAATGCATTCCCCAGAGGGCAGCCTGAAGAGGAACATAAGAGCTCCTGGACAACTGGAAAGAGTACATAAATGGTAACGAAATGGCACCATAAAGATAAGTAGTTTCATCTCACTTACTGATTTGCTTCTATGCCGGTCACCTCGATGTCATCTACTACGATTGTCTCATCGACATCAATCTGATGGATGTACATCTCATCTAGTTTTATAAAGGCACGCACCAGGCGAGCCGTTGTGGGACTCATGAAGAGTGGAAATGCAAACTTCTTGGTTAGGCCAATATAATGGTCTGCATGGTAGTGGGTTAGGAAATAATGCGTTACTCCGGGTATCGCACCAAACTGGAAACCATCGACACAAAAGTTTGTACCCTCAACAACTTTATAGGGCGGACATGGTTTGGGCGCTCTCTTCTTACGTGCATTGCCAGTTTCAATTGGAACTGGCAATGGAGCAGCAATTGCAGCGATTTCATTGGGCTTTGGCGATGGTGGCGTAACTGATGCTAGGGCAGCCCCTCTATTGGCAATTTCACTTGTGGCTGAAACAGGCGAAACATTCCCCTCCAATGAAGTTCCTACATTTAAATTGGACAAAGCATTCGAACGGCGGCTTTCGTGGGAGACCATTGTGGCGGCTATTGACGAGGGCTGACTGAGCAGATTTTCTTTAATGGAAATATCACCAAGTATAAGTTCACTGCCGATTGAAACCATAGGCGAGGGTGGACATGGATCGTTAACCAAGCGAACTGAAACCATTGGCGAGGGTGGGCATGGTTCGTTCATTATCCGTGCGGCTTTGGAACTTTTGTCTGGTGGCGGTTCCAGTTTTATGCTTTTCATATCTCCAGAGTCCTCATCCGATTCCGAGCATAGATCAATGACATTCTCCTTGCCCCTTGCCTTTCGTGGCGGCTGTACCCGCTTGGTGAGCGGTTCCATGACAGACAAGTTAGTGGACGTTGTTGATGTGGTGGCCTCCTCTTCGAACAAGCGCTTGCGGGTTTTTTGAGACTTTCGATCTTGCTTATTTTTGGATGTCTTAGGAATTCCCGTTTTTCCTGATGGATATGTTTGTAGCCTTTCCACTTTGAAGCTTTTCGCGCTACTTTTGAAGAACGAATCTATGCGCAATTGTCCAGGAAGGGGCGTTTTCTTAGACGAACGTTTATTAAACGTAGCATTGGCTATGATAAAAGCATCTTCATGAATCACTTCCGACTTGGTTTTCCCCTTTGTAGCACCGTTCTTGCCTGTAGCACCAGTAGAAGTTTTTCCCGGGTTTTTCTTTTCAGGCGTTTTCTCACCGACATCTACTGATGGCTTGACTGATTTCTCTACGGCTACATTTATGTTTGTCGTGGCTTGAAGCTCAACAATGGATTTAAGTCGGATTTTGCCCACGTTCGACATGCTGACTTCAACAAACTATACACAATAAATCGCGCATTTCAATTGTTATCACTGAGGCAGGATAGTCAGTGCTGCCAAATCCGCTTTTTTTTCCCCGTAAAATCTGGCTGTTTTTGAAGACCAACTGCGGGAAGCTGGTTAATTTTTTAAATGAGTTTGGCCTTTTCTCTGTTTTTTTTAATGCTGCCACCTTAAGCACTATCATCTCTATACCAAATGTGGATTAACATGTATGAACATTTTCAAAATGGAAAAAAATAAAAGAAAAGCAAAAGTGCCCCAACTATGCATAAGGTATAATGAGTTAATGGAGTTAATACTTTAAAAACATTATTAAGTATCACGTTACTAGACAAATTAATAAACCCATAAATTACTTTTTTCTTTCGGTTTTTTTTTGGAATATTTTTTGTTCTATGTCCAAGTTAGCTTTTTCCTGATTTAAAGTTGGCAGCACCGTCAGGGTGACAGCTCTAAAATACAGATGATTTCGAACAAAAAAAACAAGCTGCAGGGCGTAAAGTTATTTGTGGTTGAAATTATTAAACTGGGACTGTTTGTCCGAGCTTTCAGCATGGCCTGGCGTTCCGTTGGAGCTAGCAATGAGGATCTTATACGCCAACTCAAAGGTGAGTGGCCTTTTGCTTGTCCCAAAGGCAGACAAAATAATTGGTGTCGTATCAAAAATTCACAGAGTACGGCGTCATTGGATCGGACGCGGTGGCAAAGGCAATGATTGACACGGATCGAAAGCACTACTCTCCACGTAACCCCTACATGGATGCGCCTCAACCAATTGGCGGCGGAGTCACTATTAGCGCACCGCATATGGTAACAAGTGTCTGTTGGGATTAGGATTAAATACTAAGGGGTTTCTCGCACTCTTCGCATAGCACAGCACGCCTTTGCATTGGAATATTTGCGCGATCATTTGAAGCCCGGTGCGCATGTACTGGACGTGGGCTCTGGTTCTGGTTACCTAACCGCCTGCTTCTATCGCTACATCAAGTCGATGGGGGCGAGCGACTTGACACCACATGCAGACACCTGCATTGTGGGTATCGAGCACCAGGCTGCATTAGTTCAAATGAGCAAGGCCAATTTGAATTCCGATGATCGCAGCATGCTCGACTCTGGAACTTTGAAAATTGTACAGGGCGATGGACGCAAAGGATACCCGGCACATGCGCCCTACAACGCCATACATGTGGGAGCCGCTGCTCCCGATACGCCCACCGAACTCCTCAATCAACTGGCCAACGGCGGACGCCTAATAGTGCCAGTTGGGCCCGAGGGCGGCTCGCAGTACATGCAGCAAGTGGGTTAGATTATTGTTATAGATTGTTCGACGCCTAACGATTCTTTTTTTTGCAGTACGACAAGGACAAAAATGGAAAAGTAGAGATGAAGCGTCTCATGGGTGTGATGTATGTACCTCTTACGGATTTACGCTCTTGATGCCATAAACTGGGACAGGTGCTAATCGTTGTGCTGCTGGTTGGCATAGTTATCTATCAAATTTGGGAATTTTTTCGCTAGTTGAATTATTTGGTCAGCAGGCAGCAAGAGGAACGGTATCCAAAATGAATCTACATATACAACCCTACAAAATATCAAGTCCTCTTTTTAAGTTGAATTAATATAAATTATTTGTCTACATAGATACATATTATACGGAGCATAATTACGTTAATTAAAATAATCCTATTCGGCTTTTAAGTCCCGAGCTTAACAAAGTTATTCGATTTCGATTTCTTATAAAACCTAGCGACTAAATATTAGAGTTAAAGCACATTCATGGTCATATGCTAACTGACTAACTGCAAAAACATAGATGTCCTATGAAAAATCATGAAGTGAGAATGAGAGAAATATATGCATTTAGCTGATTTTCCACTTAAGCAGCGGTTGCAGCAGTTATGGATACAATTTTACATCATCCGCACCATCATTTTACATCAATTCCCTCTTTCTATTATTCTCTCCTCTCTCTGCATCAAAAAATACAATGGAGTTGAACTTTGTTGTTTCTGTCTCCCCGATTGTGTCGATTCATGTGATAGGTGTAATATTTTTAAATATTTGTTTGGAGCTACAAGGAAAAATAAAAACATAATAATAATAATAATTATAATTATTGCAACGAGCAATAATTCGGACTTTTGTCTCTCATGCTATCGCTCTCTCTCTTAACACCAAATTTAGCAAAAGTCTAATGTTATAACACCTTAAAACATTCCTTTAAATCAAAGAAATTCAAATAGGATACTGATCATAGTCAATTTCAGGAGTCCCCATTCTGTATATCGTTAGCCCATTGTCGACCAGTGCATATTTAAATACAACCACGAATATTATGAAACTTCAAAAGTTTTAGAGCGTAGCTCAGGTGTAAAATATTGTGGTCATATTTTTTTGTAAGTAAAGAGATTGGATCTACAAGGAGAACTGACAGATGGTATTATTTTGCGCATATAGCTCAAGTTGTTCCCTCTTTAAATAGAGTGGGGTTAAGTGAGCTAAGTTTGATTTTTATTCGGTATATTTCGAAAATGAGAAGGTATATTTCGGTATATTTTGGGTATATTTCTGAGGGTCATGCGGTATATTTGATAGTTAAATCCGCGGTCACACTGGTGTACACACGAAATAAATGAAAATTTGTTTTTCAATTTATTGAAAAACGGAAAAACGTTGGCTGCAAGTTCTCTATTCGGTGTTAAAATGCATATACTATCTAAAACCACAGCAATTTGATATATGAAACAAGGTAAACGGCGTCTCCTAAAAGTCAAAGCTGAGAACGACAAGTATAGAACAAATGGCTGGTGCGGCAATTAAACAATAAGAAGTGCTGGGGAGTTGGTTAACTGGTGTCTTGTATAGGGCGTGGAACGAGGCATTTAAGGGGCCCACAGACCAGCCGTGTAGTTTGTCTCATTAAAGCAACCGAAGCGCGAAATTAAGTCGTAAGTTGTGGTAGGTGCTGCTGCTGCCTGCTACCTCTGTGTGGCAGGTGTAATTCGAGATGTGCGAAACGTCTGTCCCCCACTCCCCTTGACTCCACTCCACCACCTTTCCAGCTAGTTTGTCAAACCCGTTTGGACTTTCTGGCAGAGTGGCAGGGGCTAATTTGTGATATGGGAAATTCGTTTGAGTTGAGGCTAAAAAATTCCACGCGATTCACATTTGTTTACATCCGATCCGAGCCCTCTCTCGCAAATGCTCTCCCTGCTTCTATATCTGTCTAGAATTTGTACAATTCTCAGCCATTACACATGCGCTGCGCGAGTGTATTTTCAATTAGATCATTAATTTTAATATTGCGCGCGTTTGTGCGATTTCAATTAGTTTGGCCTGCCACTAAGAGTGTCAGTCGCAAGCCGAATGAAGTTATACGCTTCTATAAATGGTCATTCGCTTAAATGAACCTGATGCTCACAGTGGCAGGGCGACCAACTTCTTCTTTATACTCTTTGGAAGGGCATTCACGTTCCGCAATCATAACTTTTGCACACACAAATAAACAAATTATTTTCATTCTATCCAGCATTCTCATTTCGGATCACGCAATGAACGCCGCAATATTAGAGTGAACGGAGGCGATCGGTCATCAAAACATGCCCATGTCCGTGCAGGCCGCTGCAGCCCCGGCACCAGCCCCGGCTCCAGCTCCAGCTGTCAGTGCCACGGCAGGCAACCAACTACTGCGCCCCCAAACGTTGGCCGGTCCCGAGCGTGAGCCCATCGAGTTCAATATCAAACTGGTGGGCGCACCGCCTGAGGTGGAACAGCTGGTGCAGCAGATCAAGAGCGTGGCCGAGCAATTCCTATATCATTGGAAGAGTTTTCCCATTGGTGAGATTCGAGGCATGCGAATGATGTGCATGAGCCACGCTAATCGTGTCTTATTGTAGTTCTTCCGCAAGCATTGGCCAGCAGTGGCCTGAATCTGACGGCTAGTAATGCGACGAACAGTGTCAGCAGTCGCAAAGCGCGTCCCATTAATCTGCGTGACCTATTTATAGCGCCTCCCTTCGACGAACTGGATGCAGTGGCATCCGATGGTAGCGGCGAACCGCGCCGCCTTACAAACGCCCAATTGAAAACGCTGCGGGAAACTGGGTGAGTTTTGGGGTCGGTCGCAGACGAGAGCCTGCTACTGCTCATGATGGATAGATTGATGGATGAATGGATGATGGATGATGGTTGGAGACACATCACGCAATTATGCGCTATATAAGAAGCAAAAAGCAAAGACACGTCTAGTAAAAAGTGCAGCAAAACAGTTTTGCCAATTGCTGATAAGCTTATCTACCCACACACCACACACTTTACCCTCAAATGATTATAATTGTGTGTTTCCTTAATTTCCCTCAAACATTCGCCTATATCATTCCTTGACACTTTTGCACAAAAAGCAAACGCAAATGAATCAAATTAAAGCATGCCTCCAAATCCACCAAAAAGTAAAACCAAAATGAAAGACGATACAGGGCTATTCCGGCTGTCTGCTGTCTGCTATCTGTTATCTGTTTTGTGTTTAATTTTATTGTTTCCTCTCCTACTACTAAATGCATGTACGAAACTGAATCGAATCGAACAAATCCTTTTTGTTAATCAAACATGAAAACGGTTGACAACAACAATTTGTATGTGAAATATTTTTGTAAAGCTTGCAAAAGGATAAATATGGAAAGCCGAAGAAATTAACTTTGGAACAATTGGAAACAATACGTAAAAATGGGTAAATAATCAACACTAAACACAATAAAGCCAACGAACAAAAATCTACTACTACTACTTACTACTGGGCAAAGGCATAATTAAATCGTAAATGTCTTTCTGCCTGTCCTGCCTCAGCATTTGAATTAAGCAATTGTTTAGTCGGTGTTCTTCCGTTTGTACATATGCATACTTCTTTTTCATTTACTGAATGTTATTTTTATTAATCTGTTGTTCTCTGTTGTTTAATCATAATCTACTATAAAAATGCTCTGGAAATTGTGCATGCTAAAACAAATTGAAACAAAAACGAATCTATCTGCATGCAAAAAAAAACCCTGGATAGCCGTTCGGGCTCTAAAGATCTTAAGAAATCCGTATACTAGTAGTTACGAATTATTAGTTTGTAAAGCTCTTAATGGAGCGATTCTTAAACCATTATACTCGTATGTATCCACTCCACACACACACACACATATAATGTGTACACTTTACACCTTGGAAACCTTGGAATCGGGCAAACATAATTCTGAATCTGAATCTGGTACACGCTTGTGCATGCCAACAATTTGTCATTTAATATAGTGTTCATTTATGTGTGTTTTTATGTTGCCTTCAGCTTCTTCTCTTTCCACCATGAACCATGTGACTGACTAATGCTCTCTGTCTCTCTGTCCTGCCTTTTCCTACAGCGAATTCGATGTGCCGAGCCTGCATTTTCCGGGTCAGGTGCACAAGTGGCGTCTGTCGCAGCTGTTGCAGAAGGGCCGACTGCGTGCCCATGACTCCTTTCTGAGTGATCTGGCCCTGGCGGCCCGCTTTGTGGTGGTCACCGCTCGGTCGCGCATCTTCTCGCATTTCTTTTCGGTTGTGCATGCAGTGCATGGCTTGATCGGGGCATTTACCAAGCTGACGGATATCTTCATTGGCGTGCCCGCACTGCTGGCCCACAATCTGGACTACAAGATCAAGGAGGAGAGGTGTCGTTTTCTTATAGCCGAGCTGGTCTGCAGGGTATGATTACTTTGTTTGCTCTAATTGCTGTGTGATTGGTTGATTGATTGAATCTTTCCTTCCCTTCCATCTCCACAGCCGGAGTTCGAGGACTGTCTGGATGGCCTCTGCTCCTATGTCCGTAAAATGCTGCGCCGTGCCACCATGGAAAAGTTCGATTTCAATAGCTGTGAGGTCAGCCAGCCCGTGCCCTATTTGTTCCTCACACCCAAGGGACAGGAAATCGATTTGCGTCTATTCTGTCGCGACATCATGCGCAAAGCTTTGCCCATCCTGATTGGCATTTTAGAGAGGGAGACACGTGGCTGGTTTTTGCATTTCCGTGAGCGTCTGATTGCCGAGCTGCGGGCCAAGAAGCTGAACGATAAGGAAATCGAAGAGGAGGTCAATGAGGCCGTAATGAAGGAGTACTTGCAGCGTGTCTACAGCTCCATTGTGGGCAATGCCAAGCTGGCAGAGCTGGGCACTGGCGTGCCCGAGCTACTCGTCCAGCAGGCCCAGTCCGTGGTGATCATGTACAAGGCGGTGGACAAGGTGCAGCAGGACATCAAGCGCACGCGTGAGGACCACCAAAAGTGTCTGGCCAACGATCACTCTGTGTTGTCGCGTGTGGCCCCCTGGCTGCGCTCCAAGCTACGCAACGCCGAGGAGAACCGACTGTACAAGTGCGCCTGGTCGGCACACGAGGAGGCGCTGAAGATGTGCACCCAGCACCAGCTCCACCAGACGGCCTACTTCCTCTCCCGCGATCTGGCCTTCATGAAGGAGCGTGAGCCAGTACTGCTGAAGGAGCTTAAAAACGCAAAGACGCCCACGCGCAGCTTTCAGTGGGCCTGTCGCATTTGGTCGCCGCAATCTTGGATCATTCGCCGCAACTTCCAGGGCCAGTCGGATGTGATACCCACGGTCATCAGTCAGCATGCCACGTCCATTGTGACACCCCGGTCCGACCCTAGCCAGCCCGTGTTCCTCGTCGAAAAGGAGATTATACGCACCACCAG